TAGTATTTAACACCTCAAAAGGTGTGATATCACCCAAAAACTTACCTTTTTAAAAAAAGGTAAGAAATGCACCAAGTATAAGCTCTAATGTTACTCTATCTCTTCTGCAATAATTTTTACGCGACGACTTAAAGTCGCGCTGTAGCGTCGTCATGAATGATACTCTATCGACTTAAAAATTACGAGACGTCGTCAGAATTAATGCCACGGCATAGGATATCGCGTTTAAACTTGGAATTTTTACGTTTCGGAACTTATAATTTGTACGCGACGACTTAAAGTCGCGCTGCAGCGTCGTCATGAATGACTCTCTATTGACTTAAAAATTACGAGGCGTCGTCAGAATTAATTCCAGGGCATAGGATATCGCGTTTAAACTTGGAGGAATTTTTACGTTGTAAGCTGCTTTACTTTGCACTTTTAATTTATTGTCTACGTGTTGTCTTATTATCTAATTTATTGTCTTTCTTGTTCTTTTGTTTTTCCGAACATCTGTTTGGCTAATCTTTTTGGTAAATATGTCGAACCGATATATGGCGAATCGACGTCTTACTTTCCGTAAATGTTCCAATTTGGGTCCTAATAAAGTATGTTGCACGACGCTTCGAAGTCCAGCACGTGTAGTTCACGAATTGGCCGTTCGACCATTCCAGACCATACTGCGAACAGCACCCATGAAATGCGACCACATTTCAGCCTACCCCCACCACTGATTGTTGCAGGAGTTGAGTCTCCTGGTCTCTAGTCTTCTTGGCAGTACTAACCCAGGCGTGATTCTCCCTTGTCACGATGACGAGACAGAGAAAGAAAGTTTTCTTAAATCTCCTCCGTCTCTCTCTCTCTTCACAAGCTTCAGCTTATTCAATGGGACGCTCAGTCTACATATATTTACTATGTCTATGATACCATGAATGGACATGAATCACAATGAAAATGAAAGAAAATTGTTTTTTAATATTTTTGAATATTAAAAATAAGCAAGACTAAGTACTCACCTTATTGTATCAATATTAATAACATAATTGTATCAGTATTTTAAAATAATATTGCTACGACATTACTAAAGTAATATTGTAAAATAATGTTTCTGCAATATCTATGCAACATGCGATGTTGCTGCAAACTTCTGTGGCGTGTGTGAAGTAACGAGTTACTTCCCAACCCTGCAGACAAATCAAATTATTATCAGGCAATCGAATTATTTCGCAAATCTATATATTTCTATTCAATTTACTGTCCCATGAACCTTCCACTCTATAGTCTGTAAAAAGAACAAACCTCGGGGTCAATTCTGTATCTTACAATAACGTGAAAATGCTAAAAGTGAGCTGCTTTGTCTCTTTCTAAGAGGACAGAGACAAAGCTGCTCACTTTTAGCGTTATCACTATAGTGTAAGATTATACAGAATTGACCCCCTTCTGACTCGAAGATCTCGACACTAGCTACGCCCAAAAAAGCCTGGTTTAATAACGGTCGACGAACAGGATATTTTCTAGACCGCACGGCACGGCACGCTGCGGTTATCGCCAACTCTCGCTTCGCTCAACCGGCTCAACTACGCTCCGCGTTAAAATCGTCCGCTCGAAGGTGCGTCTAGACGCTGCAACGATTTTGATCAACGTGTTCGCGCGGTGCTCAGAATTGCGCTCGGTTATTTCTCGCCGTCGAGGAGTCGGACAGAGATCGGGGATTGTTGTCGAGGTCGAGCCGCCCGTTCGGTCGGATAACTCAGATTGGTGGGATCCGCGGCACGGATACCGGCGGCCGAGTCGAGCACGCGCGATCGTACAATGGTAATGTGACCGTCGCACGCGTCGATTCTCCTGAGTCACCATTCGCGCCCGCGTGTCAATTACAGCTCTCGCGTCCAAACGCAGAACGCCCGCCGCCGAGCTCGAGAGCGAGATAGGTAGGTAGGTAGGTAGGTATACCGTTCCCGCGTGTTCTCGACCCTGCCAGTATTTACGCAGTTGCGAGCACGCTCCCGCGTGCGCGCGCGCGCGCGCACCGATCATCTGACGCTGTTTTGTCCGCCAGCGCGCCGACGTCGGAGCGATGTCATTGTTCCGCGGCGGCGGTCCGGGATTTCGCGTGTTGACTCGCATCTCTTTCAAGGGGCCGCCGGCGCCATGAGCACGGAGATGTGGAAACCCTGGGGCGAAACCCTGAGGCCGGAGCCGACGGATTCGGCGATCATGAAGAGCCTGGACAGTAACCTGGATAACGGTTTTGACAAGCTGCCCGAGCTCAATGCTGACCTGATTATCGCGAGGAAGGGCCCCCTCATCAACTCCTGTACCAAGTGCCATAACAACAACAACAGGAGTTTCCTGCTATTCAACGGATGGGAGAACCTGCAGGTATCCAGCGCGGAGGAGTTCCTGAGAAAGTTGAATTGCACGAGGGACGACACCCGGGTCAAAGTCGTGTCGATATTCGGAAACACGGACGACGGGAAGAGCCACACCATGAACCAGATGTTTTTTAGGGGCGAGGAGGTGTTTCAGACGTCGAACGACCAGAACTGTTGCACGCTAGGCATCTGGGCGGCATTTGATTCAGCTCTCAATGTTGTTTGCCTCGACACGGAAGGTTTACAAGGTAGAATACATGTTGTTATAATATAAATCAGTGTGAAGTAAAGGCCTGCGTCCGCGATGCTAGAACTTGGTAGAACTTGGACAAAGTTCTAGCATCGTGGACACAGGCCTTAAGAGAGCCAATACAGTCCGAGCGGGATGTAGGGTGCAGCCCAAGATTTGTCTTGCGAATTTTTATATAACATAAGGTGAATTGTCGGTGCTGAATTCAACAAGCTTGCGTTGCTTATCCAGGTATCACTGCGAGCTGCGAAGACGTGCGGACGAGGTTGCTGCTCAAAGTACTCGCGGTCTCCGACGTCGTGATCTACGGGATCCATTCCGAGAGGTTGAACAGGGATCTGTTCACGTTTTTAGGCGCCGCGTCGCGCGCTTACAGCCATCGTTTCAAGGTCGCCCTGCAAGCCATCGGACAGAGAGAGGGGATCTCTACGTTGAGCACGCTCGGGCCTAGTGTCATAGTGCTGCACGAAACCAGGCACACCATACCTTTGATCAACAGTACATATTGCCACTCTCTCAGAATGACAGTAATTTCACTCTGAGAACTTCGTTACAATCGATAATCGCTTGGCCATCCGCGACGTATTGATTAATTCTTTTGCAGACGGGTCAGAAAGCGCGGAGGACATCCTGAGGGCCAGATTCGCGCAGATGAACCTTGAGATCGACGCTTTCAGCTCCATCAAGTACGTCGGTTTGCAGGCGGTGAACGACGTAACAGATTACGGAGAGTTGCGGTCCGCCATCGAGAACGAGTTGAACAATACGACGGTTCGTTCGGCCAGAAACCTGCACCTGGTCTACAACACTCTTAAGAGGCTACACGACGAGCTGTCCAGCGAGAACGAGAACCTTTCCTACGCTGTATTCCCAGAACAGTATTTCACTTGTCCCGCCAAATGTCTGAGCTGCGATAGCGGCTGTAACAACAGTATGGGACACCTTCGTGAGGGAAAGCCACACAGTAGTAACACCAGGTTGGTCAAAGATAGATTTCTCGCGCGCCGCTTTAATCACAGCTTCTTGCGACTAATGGCGTTTGTTGCGACAGGTGTAAATTCCAGTGTCAGTATGAAAATTCGACATACATATGCAAGAGATGTTACAAGAACGGAAACGAAGTTGAGGTGAACAGGCAGTATTACGAGGAAAGCCAAAGCAGCTGGTACAGTTTCGCTAAGAATGCCTGGTCGGGCTACGTCATAAAATGCCCGCACTGTGGAGAAATATACAAGAGCAGGCAATACTGGTACGGCAACAATCCCGAGGACGTCGCCGTACGCAAAAAGATCACGCACGTGTGGAATACGGTGAATATCGAGAGTGAAAGGCCCTCCCCTTTTGCCCTCAGTACTTCTTCGTCTATGTAACTGTTTCTTTATGAGAGAACTCGTCTCACCATCCGTATTCTCTTTCAGTCGAATCGTTCCATAGCTCCCCAGAATACGGCGCAACGGGTTATCGATAGCGTGTCGTATATCACCGAAGCCGTCACGAACGCTTCTCTGCAGCCAACGAGAGCGCTGAGAGCCTGGGCCGCGGATCAAGTGGCACCGTCTTACTGGCGACCGAATAACGAGATAAAATACTGCTACCAGTGTAAAGTCGTGTTCAGTCTGGCGGACGACAAGCACCACTGCCGCGATTGTGGGGAAGGCTTTTGCGCGCAGTGCTCGTCGAAAACGAAATGCGTGCCCAACAGAAACTGGCACTCGCCCGTTCGGGTTTGCGACACGTGCTACGAGAGAGAGACAAACTGCTCCAGCGACGACTCTCTCGAGCCCGCCGAGGACGTCGGCGTACGAAAAGTGACGGAGCACGTGGTGTCAACGCTCAACGCTGTTGGGACAGTTTTCACTTATTCCAAATGTAGGTAGAGACGTCGCAGCTGTTACCATTGGTATCGCGATCCCGTACGAATCTCAGATCAACTCTGATTGCCTTCCATTTTTGCACAGCATTCATAAAAGATTCCGTACGACCATCTTATTGGACTCCCGACTCAGAGGTGGTCAACTGTTGCGTCTGCGAGCGGAAGTTTTCCTCGACACTTCCGTTACACCACTGTAGAGCTTGCGGACGCGGCGTGTGCCACGAATGCTCGCAGCACCGTAAGCCTGTACCTCATCGAGGATGGGATCATCCTGTCAGAGTATGCAACGCCTGCGTTTGAAATCATTTGGAGGCGTACGTCTCAAAAGCAACAGAGCCCAAAAATATAGAGATCTCCGAGACAGATGGAGAGAGAGAGAGAGAGAGAAAGAGAAGAGAATGTTCACTTGAAACGAAATAAATTTATTTATTTCACTTTTGCTTTTATAACAGTAAATTCGGTTGCTTGCACTGGTGCACACTGAACGTACACTAAGGATTCTTCAGTGTTAGTTCTCATATTTACGGATGTTTTAAACGCACATTAAAAACTATTTAGCCAAAAACAAAAAATCCGTATGATGGCGTACAGATAATTTTTCTGGTTAAAAAGTACAAGAGACATTTAAAATAATTCTTAAATATAAAAAGTGACTATAAACGAGCCATGCGCACTCAATGCACACTGGTGCAAGCACCCGAATTCGCTGTAGAATATGGTAAACAGAAGTTGTATTAACTTACTTGTGAATAGAGTATCTTAGATTTGTATGGCCAAATCTCGTAGTTAAAAACGTAGTGTTTTGAAAGAACTTTTTAATATAAAACTAGAGAATTTTGACTTTTTAAAATTTTAAATAAAATTTTCAGCTCAATATTTTTTATTTCTAATGATGTGATTACTTTATCATCAAAGCTGTGCGATAAAATATCTGAAAAAAACAATTTTTTTTACCTATATATTTTCAAACATAGAGAACTTGAAGTATATATTTTTACGATTTTAGATTGAGAACGTCAGATTTTTTTCGGGAATCTAGAGTTGTGCCGAAAAATCGTTTGAAAGCTCGTTTATTTTAGTTTCTGTAATTAGGAAATAATTTTGTGATTAAATGTACATAAATGTATAATTGTGCCATAATTGCGGTCATCACTGTTTGACATCAACTTCCCGAAGTGTATTAAAGACACGCTACCTTTAACGTACAATTTTCTATCTCTAAAAGTTACAGATCGACATTACGCTTGAACATTGGTCGGTGAAGAGCTGGTTAAAGATCTATGTTGACGATAGCAAGTTCCATATATAATACAGCATTAGCCTTTGTACATATGTACAGTAATGACTCGTGTAATGACCGACAGTTGTAGCATAGTATAACTAGTAGGTCCATTCCGTCATTTCTTTCGTTTTGTATCGATCCCTTCTGCGCGTCCTGCATTGCTCTAGGCAAACCAATGAGAGAAAAGGTGTATGTGGTAGTGTGGCTTCAATGAGTACGTATACACATACACGTCGCTGATTCCTGCCCGGATGTATGGTGGAATACCACGTGATCAGGACAGCAAAGATCAAAGAGGCCGGCAGAGAGTGGACCTACTTCTAGTTATACTATGAATGTAGGAAGAAGATTGTTTACAACAAGTGTAAATCTCATGGCTGTGACAATTGTTAATACCGGCATACGGCGTTCGAAAACACGTATTCAGATAGGACACGCGACAGCACGTCTTCGAAAATGGGAACTATTACTTTTATTTCGTTCTGTATATTATGACACGCAGCTTGAAATAAACGAATGCTTGCAGTAAGTCGCTGCCTTACCTTTATTTCAAGATGTCGACCATTCCAGGAGATTGAGAAGAGCGTAAGACTCCTGAAGAGTGTACAAGCGTCTAATTAAGTAATTTTCTAAATTACGTGTAAGATATATGCCAAGAAATATGAAGTCCATATGTTTATACATGTATGACTTGCTTTGTGAGAAGAATACGCTTCCAAAGTGTTTGATATGTTTGACAATCGAGATGTTTGAAACGTGCTGCACTCTCTACAAATCAATCAGCGAAGTATCAATGGAAACTGAATAGTCACTGATTTACAGCTACGATTTTCAGTAGTATACTTATAACTGCAAATCAGTGACTGTTCATTGTTCAGTGATAATCCACCGATTGACTTTTAGAGGGTATACCGATGAGATTGAGAGACTATCAATGACCCTGAAATTATCGAGACTATTAAAGGCTCAGGTTCCTGGAGATATTCACTATAGAATTAAACTTTTAGATTGTCCCAATTGAATGTCCCGCCCAAATAACTTTTATCAAATAACTTTTTTATTTCTGATCGCAGAATAGAACGTTTTTTTCTGCGATTAAAAGTAAAAAAGTTATTTGGGGTGGGACATTAAATTGGGACACCCTGTATACATATACATAGCGCTTTATCATTAAAAAATTACAAGTTCGAAATTAAAATTACTGGATTTCGACGTGGACCAAATTTTATATTATCTGTTTCCATCTTACTTTTGTCTTGTATTTTGTAATTTTACTTTCATTCGACTTGATTTATTTTACTGCGCAGTTAAAAAATCTACAGTTACATACATGTTTTAAAAGATTTGCAGATTTACGCATGTTATACGGATTTATAAAAATATTGTAAAAATCGAAAGACAGCGCTGTAAAGCCGAGAAGCAAGCAAGGATTATCGCGAAGAAAATGTATCGTCGACCCGCGGCAAAGTGGCGCTCTAGTTCGAATCGAAGCGAGAATCAGCGAGAATATCGAATCGCGAGGGGAACACTCGCGGTGTCCCCGGCGTGGCGTGTCCCCCCCTCAACGCGCGGTGACGTCAGAATATGGCGTCTCGATCAGCTGGATGTTGTGTAAAGTGTGCCTGGCTGCGATGTCCGTCTCGCGAGATCTAGCGGAGACCACCGTCTGTCCGCCGTGATACGTGAGTTGAGGCATCCGCGCGACCAGAGGCGGCCCCGGTTACCCGCGGGCTCGGCCGCGGGCGGGCCCACGCGAGTGCGGGAGACGCAGAGACGCAGAAGTCGTGGCACTCGTGGGCCTCGAGAGGGGAACCGCGGCAGGGCACGGCGCGAGGCGGCCGTGCACGTGAGAACACGCGTTCGCGACGCCACGTTTGGGTCAGGTCCGACCTGCCCCGGGGCCCGTCTGCGCTCCCTTCGCGCCGAGGTCGCCCGACGTGGCGCGACCCCGGGGACTCGCCGACGGCGCCGAGCGAGAAAGTAGAGTGACGTCGCGGGGGAGCGGAAGACAGGATCCGCGGCGCCTCCGGCTCGCACCCCTTCTTCTTCCCTCCGCGACGCTACTCGCCGCGGCGACGCTCGGTTTAGCTTATGTAATTCCGCGCGGGTGCATCGCCGCGGCCGAACGCCGGAGGCTCCGCGTCGTGCGTGGCGTGGCGTGTCGCGTGTGCGTGTCGCGTCGCGTCGTGTCGCGTCGCGTCGCGTCGCGTCGCGTGTGCGTGTGCCGTGTACGTGTGCGATGTCGTGGCCATTTTCGCTTCGCTTGCCCTCGCGTTTCGTAATCGTTATCAGCTCCATATTTGAATTCAACAAGTAACGCAGGCCGCCACGCCGCCCGAGCGACGCGGCGCCGCGGCCCGATCTCGAGAGCCTGCGTTTTTCCGCGGACGGCGACGAGCGGGCGACGAGCGACGTCGCGCGGAAATCGGGAGGAGAAAATCGGCCCCTCGCGTGCCTCTCTCGTCGTCGCGCCGACCGTGCGGCCTGCCGATCTCTCCGGATTTTTCTCCGCGGCCGAGAATCGGCCGATCGCGTCGTGAGGTGTGCGAGCAGGTGGACGCCATTAGTTGCAAATTCCACGGGACGGGCGGGGGGGAAAACGGAGGGAGGGAAACGCACTCGGAGTGACCGCGACGTCGGCGGTGACGACGCGGCGCCGCGACGCCGCGCCGCCGAGGATGACACTCGCTCGGTGCGTGTCCCATTTGAAATTCCGATGCGCGCTCCCGCGTGATAGCGCCGGCCATTTTGTCGCTTATTAGTCGCGCGGATAAACAATCCCGTCGTGCGCGACGTCGCCCGTCCGTCCGCCCGCCCGCCCGCCCCGCGTGACGCTCGCGGCCTCGCCAGCGGGGCTCACATGCGCGGAGATTTCAATTCCGCGACTCGCTCCCGCTCGCTCTCCTCCCGTCCCCATCCTCGCGGCGCGGCGCCCCAAAAATAGAAGAGCGTCCGGGGGCCCCGTGCGTTTTCCGCCTCGGTTTCTCGCCGCGCGGATTTTTATGTCGTAACGCGATATATCGCGGCCGGCGCGGGACGACTCGCGGATATCCGGCTCGAAGAGGCTTCATTTTCACGTTGTCCGGGGATATTAATAGATCTGCCCCCGTGCCGACGCGAGTCTCGAGCTTCCTTGATGTAAGAATGTAAAGGGGAGAAGAGAGAGAGAGAGAGAGAGAGAGAGAGAACGTTCTGCCGTAAGCTGATATACATGGGTACGCTCCGGGAAGGGAGAGATCTCGTTCCGCACGTTTGCACCTCGTCCTTCCACGAGGGGATCGTTCCTTTTTTGGTCGCGCCATCGTTTTTGCATCACCCTGTATAACCTGGACCTTAGATACGATTCGGGAGCAATTATTTCCGCGTGCGGAAACGCCATCGTTGTCGCTCTAACTTTTTCTTTTTTTCCCCCCCAAGTCTCCGGCGTTGTTTCTTACGTGGCGTATGGGATGTTTTACAGAGTTTAACAGAGGGACAACTTTGTTTTGCAGTGACCGGAAGACTCTATGCAACATGCCACCAGATAGGCCGGATGCATCGGGTATCGAAACTGACGTGGAACTGAACTCGCCTCGGGACTATAATTTCGGCGAGAACGCCTACGCGATGAACGACAAGGAGAAGGAGAACGCGAGCGTGCTGGCCGACGCGAACTCGTCCAACGAATGCCAGAGCGAGATCCCCAGGTGGGACAAGTCCATGGAGAAGAACAATCAGTCGGACGACGAGCTGACGTCTCTCAGCTGGCTGCACCAGCAGAACTTACTTAAGGGTCTGGACATTTCGGACCCCTCCAAAGACATGAAGCACGAGAACATGCTGAACAACAATATCTGCGACGACGTAGCGGATTTCTCGGAAAACACCAACTCCGTGTCGAGCCTGGATGATAGTTTCTGTCCAGGTAGGGCGCGCGTCTCGATCCGCAACGCGCCGCGCCGCGCACCCGGGTGAAACTTGTGCTAACCCCTGTCCTTTTCTTTCATTTTTTCAACGCCACGTCGAGCAGAGAGCAATGGAAAGGCGAGCGTGACGCTGAACGGACACGGACAAAACTATCAGCATCCCGGCAAGAATTGTCAAAAGCCCGCACAAATATTTCAGGAATCCGCGAAAAGCCATTGCAATATTTCGCCAAGTAATCAAACGAAGATTTCTTTGAGCAACAATAATTTGCCAATGTCTAATCGCAACAAGCACCCTACCCATATACCGTATGATCCTCATTTACACAGAAATAGCAAACCACCGTATTCATTCTCCTGCCTCATATTTATGGCTATCGAAGATAGCGCCGTAAAGGCGCTACCCGTGAAGGAGGTTTACGCGTGGATCCTGGAGCACTTCCCGTACTTCAGGAACGCCCCTACCGGATGGAAGAACTCGGTCAGACACAATTTGAGCCTCAACAAGTGCTTTCGGAAGGTGGAGAAAGCTCCGGTGAGTACGAGGCGAATTTCTCCTCGGGGAGGGGAAATCGCCGTTGACGTTGCGTACACGTTTGCACGGCTTTCTATTCCTTTTTTTTTTCTTTTTAGAATTTAGGGAAAGGATCGCTGTGGATGGTGGACGCACAATATCGCCCAAATCTGCTCCAGGCGTTGTCTCGTGCGCCTTTCCCGCCCCCTACGACCCAAAATTTGTCTTCGTCGGAAAAGATGCCCAGAAAGTGTGTAAATGCACGTCTCCCGGATCCGGTTCTCTTTCCGTATCTATCCAAAAGACTGGCGTCCAGCAATATCAACGATAGCGCGGAAACCGAGATTGATAGCGACGTCGACGCGGCCGCCGCCACTATGCTCTCCTTCAAGCATGGACCTATTATTCTGAATCACAATAAAGGTATTTGAATGTGCACGTTTGGAATAATGGATGCTTTCCAGCGAGAGACACAAACCAGCACGGTGCAACACAGAGTATCATTTCATCTTTGTTAATGATGCAACAACAAATCAAACGATAATCAATCAAAGATAAAATAATCCCCTTAACACAGTGTGTACGCCACTAGAAAGCACCCAATATGAGACACAATCCCCCCGCCTGCGTTTCGTCGAGACAATTTACATACTTACGTAATGTACGTTTCAACGCAGATCGTAAGCGAAAAATGCCGGAGTCGGAAAAACTGGTGCCTGTAATTACCAGGAGTTCCAGCGAAGATCACACTTATAGCTGTATCGCCTCGATAAAATTGGGAAGGTAAAGATATAGTGATCCCGCGTGATGAGGATTGCGCCAAGTGAATTGTATCGTTTCCTTTTTATTTCTCCCGCAGCAAACATTCGAACGAGGAAGAACCGTGTAATCCAGACATAGATGAACAAAGGAAAATTGCAGAGGGTGCGGACGCGCTCCTGAATTTGGCGGGCGTTAGTACAGCGCTAAATCACAATAGAACGCATCATGTAACACAAGGTATTAATACGGCATCGAAATCGGAGGTTGTCGCGAAGCCAAAAAAACGTTCTACAACGAGCGATTACTCGAGCACGTCTGAGAAAAGACGCAAGAGATGGCGAGACTGGAAGGAGGGAAATCGATACCTAAAGCAAATTAGGGGTTAACGTTGACACACTTTGTTACATTTCGCAAGAAAAAAAGAAAGAAGAAGAGGTGTACGTTGTCGAGAGCTCTCCGCTTGTGCGCGAGTCGGAGGCACTTGAGAAAGTTTTACCATCTGGTAACGAGAAAGTACTTTTGTTCTATAGTGCCGTCGGTAAATTCTACATTCATTTCTGAACGCGTTTAGATCGACTCTCATGGAAATCTCCTCGACCAGGCCAGTTTCTCGTCGTAAACAACACAAAGCGCGCATGTAAATTCTTCCATATAACTTCTAGTTGTACTAGTAAAGGAGAGGGGTTGTTGGATGCATTTCGAATTGATTGGTGTGGTTGCTCAGGGTTCACAACATGCTATATGCCAAAATACATTCGGTAGCACTAAACAACAAGCAATAATAGAGATGTAGTGTTAAAGAGATACTTTTTAAACACGCTGTTGAAACAATGATACAATTGAATAGTACGTGGAATATATATCGATAAAAGGAATTATTATTACACACTGAAGTAATAATAATCATTTTAGAACTGTTGCAAGGCGATTATATTAAGTCATAGAGAGTTTAATTAATGATAAAGTTCTATATCAGTTTTCTTTTCTCTTTTTTTTTGTAGATATGTATAGAGGCATAATCAACATCTGCTGTCGCGAAGCCTGTCCCAACAGTAACGAGACCTATTGTTTTCAAACGTAGCGCGGCGATTTCCGACATCAAAATCATAGCCCGGTTTGAAGCCTAGTGTTACCATTATTTTACTTCAAAAGGTGCTATAGTCCCGTTATTTTTGAGACAGGCCAATCGTATTCAATAGAGAAAAAGAGCGAGGGGAGAGATCGATAATATATTTAAAAACAATTACACGCATACATACTTCTATGTACATGTGTATATATGTATATAAAATGTATGTATAACGTGCATGTATATGCAGATGTACACATTACACGCATCAAGCCCGACATACTCATTTGTGTATTTACAGTCGGACTCCCCGATTCTCGAGATGAGAACGACCTTTCCGCTCTCCCTTTCGATTCGCGCGCACACAAAATGCAAATTCCATCGTATGTGATGAGTAACGAGTGTGAAAGGACGAAACAGCCAGAGGTGTCGCGTTTACGGAGGTACAACTGCTTGAGAACAAGGGAGTTTGATTGTACGTGTACACAGGGTGTTCTTAAATTTCTGACGAGGAACGTTTCCGAAAAACTGAGTCATAAAGCACGTCCTTGTCCGTTTTCTCTTAGACTCCCAACAGTTTTCAATCCGCAAGTAGTATGTTCGAACTTTGTTCAGTATTGGATAATCGTTTATCCGTAGAACCGGTTGATACTAATTTTACGCGCTAGACAATTTACAGGCAGAAGTACACGCGAATGTCCGACTATTTAATTCATTATACATTGTAGATTTTATATTAGACTTTCCATTCTTTCGCGATTGAAGAAGACTTAGTTTTTCGTAGACCGTCCGTCACAACGTTCTCACACACGTAAAAGTGAGGGCACCCTGCATGTAAGCACACACACACACACATACGCACATACACACACATCCCGTGTGCATCGTTGCGCATGTACAACATATGTGCCACAAACTTATTATCAAAAAAACATATTCAAAAAGAAAATAAAAAGATATTGAGATACCTTCAACGTGGTCTCGACACGAGGAAATGTTATCATTTCACATCTTTTTCTACTCTCTTTGTGGCTTTCAAAATGATTTTGAACAGTGTTGTACATATGTAGACCTAATGTATCCACAGACCAGTTTTAGTATTCAGTTGGAAACTGAATATACAGCGACCGTGCTGAGATGTTAATTAAAATCGGATGGAGATGAAAAATAGCGCTACATGGAAAGACAACCTATTTTTATAAGAAAAACCCGTAACACTAAGAGAGAGAAAGAGAGAGAGAGAGAGAAGAGAGGGAAGGACTTGATAATACCTTGTAATTGTAAGATATGTACGTGTGCTACAAAGACATGCGAGAGAATATTAGGCAAACTGGTCTTGTATACATTAATACGTAGTTGAGTATAGAGAGAACATATATTTTTACAGGGCGCTGCCCGCGTGATAAAGGTTCTTCCTAGTAATTCGCTGGTACGCAGTTTATTAGCTTAAATATCACTCTACAAAGTATAAATATTAGTGACTCTGTCTCTGAATGAGAGGGAGAGAGAAAGAGAGAGAGAAACGTAACTGTTGTAGCGCAGCCTGATACGATTTCTACATATCAACGTTCATGATGCGCGAAACGTGCTCCAACAATTTCGTAAATGCATTCTATTTGTCATTTCGGAATTCATCCGGGATTACTTGCGACGATCCTTTGATATATCGCTCAAAGAGCTCAGCGTCAGCACTATAGAATGCTAGTTTCATAGCATAATTACGTACGCCACTGTAGAATTCAAACAGTGTCTTAAATAATTGATAATTTCGAAGCGTTCGACTTTCGTTAATTTCGGTTTCTATTAAAGCAGTAGATCAGTCGTGACAAATTGAAAAGACGAAAATCTCACACGGGGGATATCCTCTAAAGAGAACTAGAAGACAATTTGTATAATACGCAGGATGCGCTACATCAAATATTTTATGTGATTGTAGCTAGTCAGCTACACCAGAAGAAAATTCAATCGGAAGGTGCAAGAAAGAATGCCATGCTCAATATGATAAATATCGAATCTACTAAATAAAGAGAAAAGAGAATATTATTTAAATAAAATTTAAGAAACTACCGAAAGAATTAATTTCCAAGACTTTTCCATCTTCTAACTTTAAATTATTCTACGTATCACGTTGTATTAAACGTACTCTGCTCAACATTACATAACTTGTATGAAATTTAGCTGCATGCGATCTACCTTTTTTTTGTTTTTGAATTTTATTTTACTGTTGTTATCTCTGTGATATAATTGCAAGGGTGAATACGATATTATCGTTGTTATACTTCAGTGTATCCGAAGTTTTAGAATTCTATATATTATGTTGTTTAACGAAAAAGAGTTTTATATACATATATCTAATATATAAATATTATTAATTAACTGGCATTCTTACTCACACCTCGAATACTCTACCTTGATATCGACCTTAAAACAAGCTGGCATCTTCAAACTGATAATCGTATGGAAATTTAATGTTATAGCTTCACGATTTGTTAACATTCTCTTAGTCTAGCTCGCGTTTGCTACGACTGAAGATCTGCTCTTCCACGTATAGCTAATTCTAAATTAATCGGCTATAGAGAGCGGGATGCCATTGATCATAATACTGTGTAGCTAATCGATAGGTTTAAAGAGCGTAGAATTAAATCGATTAGTCGCATAATTTAAAGCAATACACCAGTAAATCCTGACATTGGGCGAAATACTCTAGTCAGCCGGTTTTTCGCTGAAGGAAATGGGCTTATGTGCAATCGCGTTAATCGCGGAGTCGGTACGACGACAGGATAGACTGTTACTCTGTAATTGCATTAGAAAGAATAAGTATTAACATCGCATGCATCCTTCTTTTCTTCTTAACGCATGGCGCCGACTCATTATACACGATAGAAATTCGTAAAATTCACAATTATTCGTTTTACGCGGGGACGCGCTGTTATCACAACCGGCTGACGGGCGAAGTCATCCTATGACAGACACCAAAAAAAATACAACAAAGTATGGAGCAAAACAGATTACGATGTGTCATTGTAACTAGCCAGGGACAATCAAAAGACATGATGAGTTTGGTTTGCTTCCATTACATGACATCGTGCCAAATGCAGAATCCTTTGGGTTTGGAAGATCAGAGATATGTTAATTTATATGTACACATAATATATATATATACATATATATATATCTACAGATTGTATATTATAAGAATTTTGTTGGCGTAATATGTAATATTATAATTATATATATATCATTATTATTATTATTATTATTATTACTACTCATTTTAGATAAATCATGCTGTAAAATGTTTGTTAAGTTTTTGATCTTGCTTATATATATCTTGAGTATATTTAATATTTTAGGCTGTAACCACAAGAAAATTTTATCTAATGAAACAAATGAGGAAAATTGCATAACTTGTTGGTTATTTCATCCAGCATTTCTTATTCCACGTAGCAATTATAGCATACTTTCATTAATACATGTACATGATTTAATAATTATAATAATATGATTCAAATAATTATAAGCGATACAATGATGTTGATCGTAAAGAAGCGATTTAAAAAATGTAAATATATTTTCTAATAGTTTGGAGTCAATTTTTCCTCGGTAAAAGCTTCGGGTCGTCACATTTAAACATTTTGACCAAAAAAAATGTTAAAAATATAGGAGTATAAAGTATCGACGAAAAGATATTTATCAAATAAATATATTAAGATTTATAACAGATTCAAATTTAGAACACCTCTATGAAAATTAATGACGTATACTATTCAGATCCAATTCAATTAGATTAAATAATTAAAAAATGTTAAGTGAACATATAAAAAAATAACACTGATTATATCAAACTGAGATCCATTCACGAGTCATTTAATTTAATTGACTATAATGTAAGGAACTGTGGTATAAATTTATGATAAAAAACAAATCATTCGCTATTATTTTTTCTTGCGATAATCATCTAAATGTTATAAATAACCTATATTGAGCATTTTCTTCATGAATTCTACGACTCCATTGAAGTTCTATTTTCCCTATTATATTTGGAAAGAGTAGATACATTTGTTATATTTTCTCACTAAGATAATGGGGCATTATCTTTGGATATTACTATTTTTTCATTCCAGAGAGTTTTGTGACTCGTCGAAATATTGCAACTGTCTATCGTGTGAATTGTGCTATTTATACTACAAGTCTGATAACCAGTGTCTTGAAGCGAGTTCGAGATACTCTGCTGCTCGAACGTGCCGGACGTTATGTTACTCTGTTTATGACTTTCGCGCGAGAAATTTACCGTTTCCGGTGGATCTTTTAAACTAATCTTATTATTACGTACCACATCATTAAATACGACGGTGTTGGAATGCGCAATATTGTCAGTTGAATTTATACATTTTGGTAATTCCTCCACATTAATAGAACTACGTGCATTTGTTATATCGTTATTTACAATTATCAATTTTCCACAGCCTTCAGTGCGTTTCACATCATTTTCGCTATTGGACATATCTAAAACATATTTTTAACACAACATTGTTACGAGCGTACCTGTTTTGCACGAGGTAAACATTGATACTGCAATTCGTTAATAGAAAAGGTGGTGCAATAATTGTTAAAAATTTACTTTTCTCTAAAGATAGTCAATGTATAATGTATGTCTAAACCACGGTCTTGTATACCGTGGTCTAAACCTTTTTTTTCTATATCTTCATTTATTTAACAACAAATTCTAAAAGTATCTGCTGCAAATATTGTTGAATAAATGTATATGCCGGTAGAAATATAACGGAATATAATGGCAGATTAACTGAAAAAAACTGAAAATCTGCTATTTTGAATAAATAATGTATTTCATTTAAATGTTTGCGAAATAACAAATCGTGTCCGACAAAGCACGAGTTTAATATGGACTCTGATACCGGATCTGTTGCCAATATCTGAATAAATTTGTTGTCATACCGCGGGCAGCTTGTTTACAAAGATGATAATGAAAATGCTATCTTCCTCATTTCGTTAAAACAAAGGTAACTCCTTTTCCAAAGAAGTTATATAAATGAAGATAAGAAAAATAAAGGATAAAAGAATATATTAAAACATGAGGCTATAACGGGAAACAGATTTACCTAAGGAACAATAGCTATCGATTGAATTTTTATCTTTCCTTTCAGCTATACCGTCTGTGCTCGTGTTGATCGCAAAGTTCAGCCTAGTGGCCGGAGAACAACGTTCGATTCTCTCGTACAACCTGTCGGTCTCACGTATCGGCGACATGTTAGGTGGCGATAAATCTTCATATATCATTACGGACGATCCGTTGCTTTGCCGAATCATTTGTTGCTTCTGAAACACGTCGTTATTTTTAACCGGACAAACTGCCGCAATCAATTTGATTTACCCAAGAATAAAATTGTTAGTCTCATTAAAGAATTATTTGAATCCTGCTCTTCGCGTACCTTCAACGGCGTGCCGTGAACAAACATACCACTTTGAGGAGGGCTACAAGCTAACGTCATGGACTTGCTCATTTGAACAGGTGACAACGATTTTAAACTCTCGCTCTCGGTGTCAGTGCCCTCGTCATGACAGAAGAATAATTTCCTCCTCAGTGAATTGTTGCTCGAATTCACATCTTCGCACTCCGTTACTTTGTTGCTCGAATTTAAATCTACATTCTGTTCCTTTGAATCATACAAGCACGTTTTTCTTAAGAGAGACAACCGACATTAAGACACTTGTTCGACAACCTGACTTCAGACCAACCTGAGTAAAAGTGAAGAAGGGCCTCAAAACTTCTTCCACATTCGAGGGCAGATTCTGCGGTAGAGATAACACTGTCTGGCTCCACCCTAAAAATACAGCAGTGACGAAGTCAATTGAATTCAATATTCCTTGTCAGTCTTACCATCTTTTATCGGCTTCGAAAGCTCAGGAGTGGACTTGGTGTCGTTCAGAAACCTATCGGGAGTGTTCTGAGACAAAAACGACTTGATCCTCTTCTCCCTGACATCCCAGGGGCTGGGAATTATCTGATTTTGCCTAAAGAACCGATCTATAGCTGCCTGGGCCCTCGTCTCCAATTCCACGTCCGGCGAGTGCGTTTGCTGCAAAGGTGAATCTTCGATCCTCGCCGGTCTCATGCGAGCTAGCTCGTCTATGCTCCATGTAAAGTCTGGTGACTGCTGCATGGGGCTGGGAGCCTAAATATCACAGCAACTTTAGATACGCACCCACTGTCGATCGTAGGTAAATTATAGAGTAAAACAAGGATATATTCTTCCATTCTAGCTTACTGCACTAGTTTACCAGTGCAGCAATGGAAAATACGTCTCGCGATACTCCCCCAGCAAACACAGAACGTTATGGCAATGTTGCAACATTACTGCAATGTCGCTACAATGTTACAACATTGCTGCAACGCTCTGTGCTTGCTGGGATCCTTGTGTAGAGCTTGCTCGAGCAAAATGACCTTGGTGAACATGGTCGGGCTGATCGTGGACAGGTGCAGACTATTGATCAAGTCGGGCTCGAATGGATTCTTGAACTTTCTCAGTTTGGACGGCGGCGTGCTGTGACTCGGCAGAACGCCGAACGGCAGGCACTGCGCCAGGCGTTTGAGGTGCGCGTCGTTCCGCTTCACCGGGGTCTCGCGCATCCAGGAGCTGCACGCTAACGGGCTCCCGCCCTGCCGTTTCTCCTTCGGCGTGCCCCATTTCACCCGCTCCATCAGAATGCAACGGACCGCCGCACTGTGCCACTCCGCGTGCACGCGCTCCAAGTCGAGATTCGTGCTCTCCGCGAAGACGCTCGGTTGATCACGAGGTGGATTTGTCGCAAGTCCTCGGTCGATTCTACCGATATTACTTCGGTCTGCACGACTGTCTCGCAAAAGTCCGCTTATGAATTACAAATCGGGGCTCTCTGATACCCAAGGGATTAAAACTTCTCGAACTTTTCAACACCTAATGTATGAAAACATATCGGACTCGTTTCAAATTGACACTGGACGCGTCATGCTCAGAGTTTCCAACCTGCTAATCATGGGGAACATGTAGAAATACCCAGGAATGCAACCAATCACTAAGGCTGTGTCATGGCGCTCTCAGGTTTCTCTCTGGTTAATACTGTGGTTTAAAATCCCCTGGAGAATTCGTTTATTCGCTCAATGTGGACGTAGCTTACCACGGTAAAGGAACAAAGTTGGCTGACAACGACAGTTTTATGGAGCACTCGTAACTATTCTCTTGTGTATAAATTGTTCAAAGTTTTTCTTTCGGATAAATCCGAGTAATTTCGTTTCCGCGCGAGAGTTTTAACGAACGATTCTAACCAAATATCAGTTCTAACCAGAGTAAACGCCACCATGACTCACGCGCTGTGTCATTATTAATTGTTTTCATATTTTGCGGTTCGAAATGTGTCGCAACAGCACCAGGTAATGCCCCAAAATTCTAGTCGAATCACGTAAATCTCGAGTGCAAGCAGTATATCAGCGGAATATGGCAGTGGAAATGTGGAAGCTCGTTTTGGCAGTAGTCATCATAAATTCAGGTAACCGCGAGCTCTACGCGCCTTGCGCGCCATTGACAATTCCAATTGCATCCAATGCATCCCATTGATCGGGAAATTCAATTTCTAGCGACCTCCGAGAGAATTAAGGACATGATATACATGCCCTTGGAGGGAGTAGCTGGGTGTTTTCGAAGGCACAACGGCACGCATCAATTCGGATGTTCCTGTAAGAATCGGGCACTCGTTCGCTCACCTCCTCGACCGTTACTCCTCAGTCTCCTATCGATCGCTTCAAGTTAGGCCAGTGAACTCTATACATACTGGAATGAGTGATCTATAGTTCTGGCTGTTGCCGAGAGAGAGGTGCGTTGGGTGAATCCTTGTCTCCTAGTACTACCTGATTGGATAATCGCATATAAGTGACGCCCTTCTTCTCGTCATTTATATGCGACTATTCAATCAGGTAGTACCAGAAGGAGACAAGGATTCACCCAAACGCACCTCTCTCTCGGCAACAGCCAGAACAATAGATCACTCATTCCAGTATGTATAGAGTTCACTGAGTTAGGCCGATGGCAGAGAACGATCCGTAAACGCTTGAGACTGTCTTAGATCGTAGACGTAAGGCAAGGCAGAGAGAAACTTGAGTCGTGAAAGTCTATTGTATACAACTTAAGTTTTTCTCTGCCTTGCCTTACGTCTACGACTAAGGCAGTCTTAAGCGTTTACGAATCGCTCTCCGTCATCAACCTTACGTCTACGACTGGGATAGTCTTAAGGGTTTACGGTTCGCTCTCTGTCATCAGCCTCAACTTGCCGTTTGTGACGTTCCATTATTTATTCCAGCCAGTAGATCGGGAAGTGTGGGCGTAGTGCACCTGGTTGAGGTGGGCGACGATATCGCTTGGATAGAAAGGAATGCCACTGCCGGCCCGTACACCGTGGTCCTACCGTTCGCGATGTTCAGTAGAACCACGCTCGTGAGACTCAGGAATACGAACAACATAAACGGCGTACTGCTCACGAAGAACATCAGCCACGAACGTCCGCTGGAATATTCGCCGGAGGACTCGTGCCCGAATCGATACTCCGGTTACAAGGGGTGCAACGAGACGAGCCCGTGGAATCCTCTCGGGTCGGCGTTGCTCATGGAAGACTGGCCGTTTCCTATGTTCTACACAGAGGTTTGATCTTATCGTGGATCTACTCGTGGAACGAGTGGTGTTGACAAGCGTCCTGCTTTCAGAATCAGACGATCCTGGAGGCCATAAAGACCTGCTTCTGGGCGCACAATGCGCACGACCTCGAGACGCAGTACCAACGATCCCTCTGCGCGATAGAGATGAAGTCGTTCATGTACGCCGCCGTCAACTCGGAATCCTGCATAAAGCGCACGGACTTCATGATGAACTTCAATCCGACGCAGTTCTGTGACCCGCTCGGGGACAGGAATGTACACTGGCCGCTGGCGCCCCTCGACGAGAACAATAATAATACGGTGATAATGGTGACGGCACGGCTGGATGCGTCGTCGTTGTTTGACGGTATGTCGCCCGGCGCGGGTAACGCCGTGACGGGACTGGTCACACTGCTCGCCACTGCGTACTACCTGAATCTCTTGAACGCCACCGTCGACAGTACGTACTTGTTGACTGATCTCTTTCGCAAGGTCGTATCTCGATTTTACGCAATCTTCGATGCTCAGTCGTATTTGTCTTCATTGTATCTAGAAACGAACGTCGTGTTCTCTCTGCTGAACGGAGAGGCGTTCGATTATATAGGATCCAGTCGTATGGTGTACGACCTGAAGCAGGACAATTTTAATGCCCTCGGTGGAACCAATTTGAAATTCGACGACATCCAGAGCGTGATCGAATTCGGCCAGCTGGGCAAGGGAGAGCTATTTCTTCACAGCAACGGCGAGAGCGACGTGATACACCGTTTGAAGCGCGCGTTGAATGCCACGGTTCTAGACGGGAGCGTTCCACCCACGTCCGTGCAAAGTTTCCTGGAGGCGAAGCCGGATCTGACGACCGTCGTCATAAGCAATCACGGCGGACAGTTTAAGAATCGATATTACAACAGTATCCTGGACGACGCGGAGAGCCTCGGCTTTGACAAGTACATACACAGCTTGCTAATATCTCGACATACACTTGATCTTTTAGCATTGACTTGACTGTATGATTGAGATTCTCTCGTGTATCATGTTTTAGAAACGATACTAGCACGCTTGCATCAGATTTAGCGAAAATTGCTCTTCAGGTTGCGAATGAGCTTTACCGAGCGGTGACGGGCGAGGCGCCGCAGCCCGCCGATCTACCGATATCCCTGGAGAAGCTCACCGCGGAAATGCTATATTGTTATATGGAGAGCGCCAAGTGCACTCTGTTTCGCGCGGCTTCGGCGCCCAATGCCAAATTGATCGATCAGGTCCTGCCCCTGTACGTCGGGGTGCACAGGGCGCTTAACATTGCAACGACCCTGACGGGCCAGCTTTTGGCCTACCTGACGGGCGAGAGGCTCCACGATATGAACGAGACGACGTGCCACGAAAATCGGCTCGCTTGGATGGGCGGTCAGAACTTTTCGGGCCTGTGTATCAATTCGACCGTCAATTACAGCACGGCTGTAAGCCCCGCGTTTATCATCGAGGGTAAGTCGCTGCGCTATTTACGCGTAGACGCGGCACGCGTCCAATTGTTTCTCCGTTTGTAGGATACGACATGAAATCGGGCGTCTACTCGACTTGGACGGAATCTATATGGCAAACCTTAAGCGTTAGAATGTTTCTCAAACCAGCGGCGGCGACGGAACGTTTCAGCATGATTCTGGGTAGCTTGGTCGCCGGTTTCTCCTTTGTGTTGGTGTGGTTGATCAACAGTCGTGCTGATGTACTATTTAATTCGAGGTTTGTATCGTCTCTCCGAGGAAGATTAACGATCTGTACAGCATCCGTACGGATCTTTTTTCGTTTTTGTAAGCTAAATGGTCTTTGAACATGTATTTAAGACAAATTAGTTTAATAACAATTTCATTCGGTGCGCACTAGTGCGAGCAACTTGAATTCATTATAAGGTGAATTTTAGCGCGCACACACACATACTACGTACTAATGACCTTTTCAGGAGAACCGTTGATTGCTAGGGATACGCCGCGGACCACATATCAATGACCGGGTTGGATAATCATCGAGAAAATCAAGATGTTCCGGTAACTAGCCTTTAACCGTATGTGTGGTACGCCCTCGGACGATTTTTTATACCCCGAAAAAAATACCCGGATGTGTCTCGCTTTATCATCTTTACAATTACCTTATTTATCATCATCGTCTCCATCGACAGTGGTTCAATTGGGAAAAATCTCGAACGTATCTTTGATACCCGATGGCGAGATGAATCTTTCCTTCACTTTCTCCACGATATCTATATTAATTATTTATGAAGTTACGTACCAAAAGAGACATTAGAGATGACTGAAACGGGTAGCTCGATAAGTTTAACAATTTGTATTGTGTATGCGTGTATATAAGGTATGAATGTGTATACAAGGTAGTCGCGCTGATACATATAAGATTTTTTTAATAAAATTTACGTAAAAGTGCTATAGCTACTTTAGCGAGTAAAATTCGTGTAACGTTAAAAAGGTCGAGATACGGATCGGTAGCGGAGAAGTGTGTCCCTTTCTCTCTCCCCTTTTCTTTCCTTCAACTTTGGTTTTTAAGGGGCAAAGGATACAGGATGTTTTTTTTCGTCACAAATATTAAATCTCGAGTGCATATTTCCCTAATCACTTTCACTTTATACAATGTATCGCTCTTCGCCGCAGCAACGGTGTAGAAATATATCGACAGTATTGAAAACAAATGGCATCTTACATAATTGCGGTAAGAATAAAAAGGGGATAATGCAAGCGTGATGGCGTTTATTATCGATAAACAACTTATTTAACAGGGCGTTGATGTACACGGGAAAGAAGTGTTTAATTTGTATATCTATGCTTTCCTTTTTTTTTTAGTTACATTTAAGTATATGTTTCTCATTTACGTCTTGAAATTTGAACAAAGTTAGAAATGGGCCATTCTCGGAGAGAGGTTGATTCAGACTCGAGAGTTGTGTGCAGTTTCGCTGTACACATTTCTTAGGTCTCTGTATTCTGGATAACTAGTTAATCAGGATACTCTTAACCGGCTCCAACGTCTAAATGGACTATTTTTCCTACTGCTGCTTTCCTACTTCATTAGGCGTGAGTTTAGCGTAAAGTGAAAATGTGCGCATGATAAAAAGACGCGATATTTCCACTTTGCGTAAATGGCGTTGAAATAAAGACTGAGACTGTCCAGAGTTGGAATATTCACGAGTTTGGGAGTACGAAGTTTTGATTGTAGTACGAAGCGAGCACGCAATTGTGAAATTCCACGAACAACACATCGCTCTCGTGTCGATTCTCGTAGAGACACCTTGTGTGCAATATAATTTCCGCATCTTATCGTACAATTACATTATACATAAATATCCACGAGAAGCGGAACGGAAACGAGTTATTCGCCGAATACAAAGTGGGTGTCGCTTCGCGAGAGCAGTCCGTCAACTGGCAGTCTTCCGTCGAGAGTAATCTCTTCTGAATAATCGCGAGACCACTTGTCATGCCGGAAGCCACGTCGTATAAGCAACTTGGCCCATTTCTATCTTTTATTATATCTCTTTCTCTTTAATCTAATCCTCGATAGATTTTGTTCGACGTTAATGCGACAGACGTTTACGTCTTGTACCGTACAAAGTGTCCACATGCACGCGTCTTGGTGAACTTTTCACGGACACCCGTGCAAGGTAGAAAAAAAACAAAGCCAGAGTGTCCGGTGGTGAAAGATGCGCCAGGTGCGTACACGCGGTTTCTCCGGTCAGTCCGCGTGCATATGGATGGAAACGTTCTGCGCAACGCACGTCCCGACATACGTTCAACCTCTTCGGTAATCGTTTGCGCCTTCTCTCAAACTAATTTTTAGTATACAAGGAGTGAAGTAGGAGGCTGGGCACCGCCCACCGAATTATCACAGTCGTCTGGTGCCGCAGCACATACGTATACGTGGTTCAGCCTTACAACCTACCTCTTAATCTAAGCGTTATCTTACGTTCGTTTAGTTCTCGGATACAGTATAGCCCCGTACGAGGTAGCTCGTCAAAGCGACAATTACCGGAGGAGGTGACATTACACGGTTTTTCCTCTTTTTTTTTCTACGTTACGTCGCGACTGCAAGTTATTGCTTTGCTTCTACTACGAACCATTGAGAATGGCACAGAGCTCTCTCTTTTGTTGAATTTCTCTCCCTTTAAGGGAGACAACGCCGAGTCTGTCGTTCCCTCTTTTTTTTTCTTTTTGGTGTTCACCTTTGTTACAGCCGCTCGTTATTTCTTTAAACAAAACTGATAATATCGGCACGGCACCGTGCACGGGAGCTATACTGTCAGCTGTCTGCAATTGATAATATCGTTTTACTCGAGTCATCGCGTATTCAAATGTTCCGCATGATCGCGACGTTACAATTAGGCGACAATTGGGCGTAGAAAAGTCGGTTTTGAGAAACGGAACGAAAAAAAAGAGGAAAGAAATTTACAGAGTTTGCAAGAACAGGTCGAACAAGCTACTAGTGGAAGCACTCTGTCAATTGGCTATGTACATCGACGCAAACGCAAGAGTTATAAGTACAGAGGAAATAACATTTTTGGCTACTTAAGGCAACCACGTCTCGACAGGCTACGTTATATGACACATTCCCCTCCTATCGAGTGACTAGTGTCAGCTTATCGTTAACTGCGATATCCGTGAGAAAGGTGAGATAACGGCGATGAGATGACGGCGGGACCGAGACGGGCTAAGAACGAAACGGAGATTCGCCTTCGCTCCCTGTGGAATTGTCAATTTGGAAACAACTAATTTACGCTACTATGTTTACCTTCACATCGGGGTCTAACAGGTAAAGACGGTCTTAGCCATTCGAGTCTCGATGGACGGATCGCGTGGAAATGATAGCGCCGGAGAAAGCATAAATATACACGCGTATATGCTTATCGGGGAAAAACACGGTATTATGTACACGAGAAATGCATCGGCGAGAAAACAGTCGGCTCGCGGGCGGATATCAAAAGTTCGCCTCCCGAAGTGAGCGCGCGTAAGATTTCGGCTGGTAAAACGTAATGATCGCATGTAGACAGCCGGTGTGTTAAACAATATCCCAAATGTCGTACATATCGTTGGATATATTCAATTTCTTTTACCCAAGAAAAAAGTATCAGTTTTTTTCTTTAACATACTTGGTAATATTTGTTCTCTGCTTTGTCCGTCTCGCTCCTTCTTTCTCTCTCTCTCTCTGTCTCACTAACAGTTTTCCGCATGTAATATGTACAGTAATCATGTAACGCGTGCGGTACACGCTCAAGGGACGACACTTAGAGTTTAAAAATATAATCATCATATATTTAAAGTAGTATCAATATCGTCATTGTATTGTGGTTGTGTTGCTGCTGCTGCTGCTGTTGCTGTTATTGTTATTACTATTATTATAATATAATTATAGTTATAATTATTATCATTATCAATAGCGTAATAATTATTATCATTATTAGTTATATTATTAATTATTATTATTATTATCATGGAGGGACAGCGTTTCGCTATGCCACGACACTGCAGAGCTGAACAAAGACTAAACGCGGAAGTTACCACGCTCTTTAATGGCACGAAAAATACAATTAACATTGCATGCTACGAACTATAATTCTCAATCTAATTTTGGAAAATCAAACAATTACCCACGTCATCTTTTTTTTTACAAATGTGCCACGTGACGCGTCTGATCGAATAGACTTGCGACTTTCGATCAATTATTGGCAATAATCGCGTTACCACTTCTCACACACTCACACACTGTCCACATTGGATCGCCTTATACAAGTTGTAAATTATAAAGCGGGTTAATTTTTCTCAATCTTGAAGCTCACACGCATTGTAGTAACTGCAAACAAAAGGACACGCGGATACTTCGTTGTGACGCAAACGTGACGATTATTGTAGTAGGAGCAGTACAGGTATTAGTAGGTAATAGGTAGTAGTAATAGTAGTAGTAATTTAGTAATTTAGTAATAGTAGTAATAGCAGTAGTAATAGTAGTAATAGTAGTAGTACTGGTAATAATAGTAGTAGCAGTAGCTTTAGCGGTAGCAGGAGCGATAGTGTTAACAGTAATAATATTGGTAATGATAGTAGAAATAGTAGTATAGTAATAGTAATAGCGGTAATGGAAGGAATAGCAATAGTAGTAGCGATACTATTACTAGAAGTAGCATAGTAGTAATAATAGTAGGAGTAATAGTAATAATAGTAATGTGGTAGTAGTAGTTGGATAACAGCATGAATCGTAACAATAGCAGTGATAACGTAGTATTGCTGGCAAAGCTAACAGAAAAAAAAAATTGACTTTATCATGTTTTATTATACCTGACGTATAACAGGATCAAAGTTATATACGAAAGATTGAGCGACAATTAATGCATCATTAATGACAAAAAGAATAAATTTGTTTAATTCCTCAATGACACACATACTTAAGAATATACGTTGAAAAAGTGGCAAATCTTTGTTCGGTAATTCATGATAATATAATCACGTTATATTATATACACTTTATATATATAATTATGTTATATGTATTATATACATATAACTATACAATATAATATATATAATATAATGTGATTATATTTGAAATAATCAATATCTTATATCTTTTGCATACGTTTGTAATTACAGTATGTATGTGTTATAAATAATAGTATCATCAGGGACGTACGTTTGTTAGAGGCGACGTAAGATTAAGCTAACAAAAGATCGCGATTCTAAAGAAAGCTCAGATTTACCTTTACTTGTGCGCGATTCACTTAAAACTTTGTCGTCGAAAAATAAATAACATTTCCCGTAGCGTAATGCAAACGTATATATATTTTCGCTCGAGTCGGATGTACTTATAAGTAAGCTGCTCTTTCTAGTACCTATTCAATCTCAGTTCTCGTCTCCGAGCCCGTTCACACTTGGATAATTTATGAGCCGAGATGAAAAATCTAAATCAGCTGTCGTAGAAAAGCAGACGGGTAGCCGGTGAACAGTCAAAGTATCGAATGATCAGAGAGCGTGATAACTACCCGCTTATTCTTAACTTTCACAAGATTAATTACGTATTTGACAGTTAAAGCGATATCTATTCCCGAATACCTTAATACTGTAATGAGCAACTGGATTTGAAGGTACCGTAAAGAGGTTGACGTTTCGGTGATCGACAGAGGTCAGTGAAGATCATCCTCATCGCTATCGTTACCGTCTTTCGATCTAGCGGCACCTCCCTCACCGTCGCTAGAACCCGAATCACTCGCCGAATCCTCGGACTGCCAGCCGCCCGCCTGCTGTTGCTGGGCCGCCTGTTGCTGCGCGGCGTGCTTCGAGGGCTTGTGACGCTTGCCCGCGCGCGACGCCGCGTCCGTGCCCGCGCCGTCCAGCATGGGCTGCAGGATCCGTCGGCGGGCGTTGATGAACCAATTGTTCACTTGCAACAGCGTCAGATTCGTCTGGCTGGCAATCTGGCGCTTCTCATCCTCGGTCGGATACGGATGCTGCGGCGGAACACAAAGCGCAAGTCAGATTATGATCGCACGGGGCAGACACGATCGCCGGCACCGCGTTACTCACTACTAAATGCTGAAAGAGCCACGTTCGCATGATGCTGGTTGCGTGTTTGGGTAAGACGCCTCGCTTCTGGCGTCCCTTTCGAGCACTACCGTGATTACTCCTGTGATTCCCAGCGTGATTCGAGGCCGTGTTGTTGCCGGCGCTCTCCTCCTCGTCCTCGCTCGCCACGGGAGAAGGCGAGCCCGCAACTGTAATGTCTAAACACGACCGACGCGGTCCATTAAACTCGGGTCAGCCTCGACGCGGCGACACAACCGTGATCTGCGCGTTGAAAGACAGCGACGCGAGTCGCATCGCTATTTTTCAACGCCCACGCGTGGAAGGAAGATGCGTGTCGTGTTCCTAACCGAAATACTTTTGATTAGCACTCCCGACATCCGTGCACTCGAAGTTTTCTCGCTCTCGCAACGCGACTAGTCCCCAGTATCCGGCTTCCTCCAGGTATATTCTGTTGGAGATCGTCCGAAGATACTCGCTACTGTCATCTATAAACGGAAGCAGGGGAGATCCGCAAGATCGTGCGGAAGAAGAGGAGCAGGGGGGATCAATGTTTGTGCACGAAAGAGAGAAGCAATGACCGCGGTCGATTCCTGAATCGATCCACGATGGACAATCGGCGGCGTCTCGCGGCGCGGACTCACCTTGGCCGAGATACATGTCGTTAACCGGGGCGCATCCATGCGCCCCGATCTGCGAGAGAGGCGTGCTTCCGTGCACCGTGGACGGCGAGAGCGGGTCGTCGTGGTCCTGGCTAGTGGATTTGCCCGAGCGCTGGACGGCGGAAGACGGTCGGACCGACGACGACAGTTGGTCGTGATTAACGCTCTCTTCGCGCGCGTGCGGATTCGCGCTGTCGTTCTCCGCCACGGCGACGTCCCCTCGGCTCACTCTGAATCCGTTAGCTCCCGACTCAACATCATTGCCTGTAGATGACAGCACCTGGCAAATATATGTCTCAACTAGCCGTCAGAGAGCAGGGATGGGAAATTCAGTAATCAATCTCAAGAGATGTACGCGCGTACGCGATGATCGCCACTTCAACCGGGAGTCCCGACCGGCGATTTGCGATCGCCGGTGCGCGCGGGACTCCCTCGCGTACATCCCTTCTACTACGGGGATATCTACGTTGGTAAGGGGATAGACCGGGCGAACCGGTGGAGAGCCTAGCTTCATATCGCGGCGTATCGGGCAAACGTCTAACCTGCAACGGACTGCTGCCGTTGCTCCCGCTCGACGGGCCCATGTCGTGCCCGTGGTGGCTGTAGTCGCTGCGCAGAAGGTTCTCGCTCTGCATCTTGCCTTTGAGACACGTGATGTACCTGTTGCAGAAGTCCTTGCACAGCTCCTGCACCTTCTCCAGCTCCAGGAGGTGGATGCGAAGCACTTGTATCGCCTTGATCATCTGCAAGTGAGCCGAGTGAGCGCGCGTTCCCGTGGAAACGCCCGTTTTTCGCTACGATCGTCACTGACCGTCACCGATCGTCTTATCTCTCGCCGCCCTCTCCCTCGTTCATTTGTCCTCTCGGCTCTGTTGTTTGGCTTTCGGCAGAGGAAGGGCTGCCTTGCAACTGTTGTAAAATTCGCGAATCCGACTGGAGCGTGCTCTTGGATTCAACCAAAATTAAAAGAATGTAACGTCGATCAGATTCAACATTTGCGCAACAGTTGCAAAGCAGGGGGTCAATTCTGTATCTTACAATATAGTGAAAATGTTAAAAGTGAGCGGCTCTGTCTCTTTCTAAGAGGACGGTTAGAAAGGGACCAAGCTACTCACTTTTAACATTTTCACTATAGTGTAAGATACAGAATTGACTCCTCGCTTTCTCTGGAGCTGAATTGACTGCGCCAGTTCGGGAGGACGCGAGGCGAGGGAGGGAGGACGGGCGAGCTTCGCTCCCGATCTTACCAAACCGTCAATCTCGGGGTCATTGATCAGGAAGGGCTTTCGGTCTCTTTCTTGGTGCTGGACGAAAGCCTGTATATCCATGTTGAAGCTTTCGGACGTGGAGTTGTCCGAGCTCTGGGTCGCCTGTTCGCATCTTTCAAAGAGTAACGCCAGCAGCGGGAAGAGCGGGTGCTTGTACACGGCCCTCTTGTCCGCCTCGAACTGGGCCTGGTCCTGATGAGTCGTATAGTCGGCGACCCCACTCGCAGGGTCCTGGTCGTATCCGGGGGTCACCATCGCTAGCGCAACGGCGGTATTGCCCTCTTGCATCCTGCCGCAGATGAAACAAAAAAGGAAACATTCGCGGGAATCGTGATTTTCCGATCGGCGCGTCGATCCCCCCCCCCCCCGCGCTCGAAAAAATATAGCGAATCTCAAGCATAGAAATCATTCAAGCACAGAAATCTCTTTAGGTTGCCAGTAATAGATAACAACAATCGAGCTTTTTAGTCGACATTATCCGGCCAGTGTTTGAACCTGGACTTCCCTTCTTCTTCTAAGAATGGGACAATGTCGACTGAAAAGCTTGATTATTAATCATTCACACTGGAAACTAAAAATGAATGTCGGTGCCACAGCCAGAGGAATCTTCGTAAGGAATGTAACTGTTTACGTACCACAATCAAACGTTACAATGGACGGGGCGTCACAGCAAGATTTTCTTCCCAACATTCGCCAACGGTTGAGACAGAAATTCTCTTTCTGTTATTTAAATCGCTTAACTTCAATCTTTGTTAGCTGGATTCACGTTTGTCTCTTTCTAAAGTGTCAGTCGAGAAGAAACAAAGGACGAGTCGGGCTAAGCTTAAAGTTAAGCAACGTTGGTGAAACCGAGCCTGAATACAAAACCTATGCGACCTCGCAGATTCATTATTGTATCTGTTATTCTTTGACACCTAGAAAGTTGTTGCCGCAAGATCATTTTCTTTAGTGCCGCTCGATCGCCCTTTTACAAGCGATGGGCGATTTTCACTCGATGCATTGATGTTCGATTCTTCTATTCTATTTTGAATTTTGATTGATCGCTACATCGCTAGTTTTTTCATTCGATGTTACTAACGGATTACTTTAATTTAGGGTCTTTTTCACCAACCTCGGTTACTGATCTCGCTCATATACTCTACGGTGTCTCTTAAATTATTAGTAGAATTATAAGTTTGCTCGTGCTACGTAAACTTTCCGCGCTTAGATTCCTTGTTCTTCTTCTAGCCACCGCTTCAGTACGAATCCATGTTTTCAAATAAGGATAAGTCTGCAGAACTTATGCAATGCAAACCGCATATTTATAAAATAAGTATGAACAGTCTATTATAAATTTCATATTAGACAGAAATAAGAAATCGAGAAACATATTATCGATGTTTTTCACTAACAGTCGATTGGGAAAAATCGTCATTTATGGTTATCGATTATTTCTGCCTCGATTCTCGCCCATCTCCACCTCTTACCTATCATTCCCCCTTGGCGATCCCCATTCTCGTTTGGATCCCCCGCGACTCGTTCCCTCCGCGCCGCCGGTCCCGACCCCGCTCGTCCAGCAGCGAATCCTCGTCAGATCCCGTTCGGCTTGGGGGCAGCTGGACGGAAGAGGCGAAAATCGCGATGAGCACGACCGAGTGTGTTTACGACGCCTAATTTCCTAATCAACGAGAGCCGTGGCGACGGTCGCCCCGCGAAATTCGGCGGGCGCGTGAGAGAGAGAGCGGGGGGGAGGAGGGAATCTCGAGGGACGCGCGAATCGATTGATCGAGGGGCGAAGGAAAAGGAAAAACCCAGAAAGGAGGAGGAAAAGCGCCGCGTCCCGCCGCGGCGCGCGATCAATCGAACGATGCGGCATCGCATTTAAATGTCATCATTAGACAGCATCGGCGCCATCGGCGTCCAGGGCTCCCATCGATTTCGGGACACGGGACGTGTCTCACGGCTTACATAGCGCCGCCGACCGGAGGGAAGGGAGAAAGAAAGGACACGAAGGAACGCGGCGCGCGCGACAGAGATTATCCCGGCCAGTTGGCGCAAAAACACCGGCGGCGAGCGGCAAGGTGCGAGGGGGCAAAGTCGCGGCCATGAGGTCGCCTTACGTAAGGGAGCCGCGAGTGCTCTCTTTTCCTCCCGTTCTTTTTGTTTCTTCACGAGATTGAAAGAGGGGGGGGGGGAGAGGAGAGACTCCGGCTGTCAAGATCGCGCTGTCGCGGGACCCGTCGTGGACGCGGGCGAGCCGTCTACCTCGGCACACGTGGGTCCGCCGCTCCGAAAACGGAGCGCGAGAGGCACCGGCCGCACTGTTTACTGCCCGTCGATCATCGGCCGAGCCTAACCTGCGCGACAAGGGGACTCGGCCGAGCCGCGCAGGGAGCAAGAGCGGCCCGCGGTTAAAACACGCCCTGCGAACGTTACACTTTACACGCGGGGGCGAGGACAGGAGGCGGACCGCGCCTCCTCCTCCTCCACCGCCGCCGCCGCCGCCGCCGCCACCTTCCCCTCTTCCACCTCGCGCTTCTTTTCCCGGCCTGTCATTGCTCGTTCGATAAAGTCGAAGGGTGATATCGCCGCCGCGCACCCTCGGGATTAGGGACGAGACACGCGGCGACGGCGTCCCTCGCGGTGTCTCTGTTCCTCGCCCCGGCGACGGATCGTACGATACGTATCAGCTGATCATCCCGCGGCGACGACGTCGGGAGACGCGCCGTCCCGTCGCGTCCGAGAGTACCGCGCGTAGATGACGCCTTGTTTACGTCGAGCGTTTTTCTCCTCCCCTCCCACCCCGCCGCCGCTCGCCCTCCTCCCGCTCCGAGGGACGAAGCTGCGCGCTTCTGCGAAGGATCCGCGAGGCGGCCCACCTTTTTCGTGCAAAAATGTCGGACGGCGAGCGACACGAAGGGCGACCGAGCGCCCGCCGATTGTCGAGTGCCGCGGCCACGCTCGCCGGTGCGCGGACGCACGAGGATGATTTTCAGCCTTTCCGCTAGCCGCGCGTAGCGCGACGCAGAGTCCGCGCGGGAATCGCGCCCCGCGTCTCCCGCGGAGACACCCGCGCGACGTTCGCGACGACGCTAGCCCTGCGAGAACGCGCGGTGTCACGGGAATACGAGGGACGGGGGCGACGACGTCGCCGTCGGGCACGCGAGGACGCGGAGCGCGGCGCGTCCGCGGCCGCGCGCGCGGGCCGACCTCGCGGGGCCCGTCGCGAGAAAAATGGGCGTTCACGCGGGCCGCGCGCGCGTTACGCCCGCCGCGCTGGAAGCGAGCTCCGGCCGAACCTAACCTCGCCGCTCGCGCCTTCGGGCGCGCGGATCGCCTCGTGACTCCTCGCGGGCCCTTACCGTGTGCACTCCTGTGCGGCGTCGATCCACCCAGATGCACCTCCGCTCGCGCGCGATACGCCTCTCGCTCGTCTTGTTTTTCTCACGCGACTACGCGCCGCGATCGAACGCCGTCATAGCCGTCGCGCGCGCGCGAGCGGCAACCGACGGGCGCCGACGGGGCCGGGGGAGAGGGCCCGTGTTTTTCGCCCCGTGCACGTGCCGGCGGGCAGGAGGCGCGTATGCACGCACGTATGCACGCGCGCACTTTGCGTCGTTCGCTCCCCGGAGCGGCCCAACTCCGCGGTGTTGTCCGACGTGCCGGGTGTCCGCGCGCCCAGCGCCGCTCGCCCTCACGCGTCGCTGATCGCCGAGTGTGGTTTGCGCCGCGCGCGCGTTCACGTAGACGATAAATCCCGGTAGCCAGACATTTTTTCCGCACAAACGCGACTACTCCGTCCACCCCGTCTCCACTCCTTCCACTGGCCCCGTCTTTTGTGACGTCATCGATTCAATACTTTTCGCGACGGCCTCTCGCCGCGGCGTGGCGGCGCCGCGTCGAGGTGCGGCGCGCGCCCGTCGGATGGCGCCACACGCTCCGTTCGCCGCGGCGACTTTGCGATCACCCACTGATCTGCCGCGAGATACTATAATGTTTATGTTTCGGGTCGCCCGTCGCTCGCGCTCGCTGCCGCGCTCGCCACCCGCGCCGCGCTCCCCGCCGCGCTTAGGTTTTTTCCCCATCACGGTGTATCTCGCGCGTCGCTCCACCGGGAGCTCATCGATCGATTTTCTTAAATGCCTTCCGAGTCCGGCCTACCGTCTCCTGCATCCTCATTCGCTCAAACGTGTAAATTAATTACTCGATAAATATTGTTACTTTTGTACCGCGGCACATGACATTTCTCCTTAAGTTTAACCCAATCTATCACTATTTTCAAGTTGGCTACTTTTGCATCAGACACCCTGTATAATTTATATTATGTATAAATACAAAATATTAGAAAGGGGAAGAGAAATACATACGCGACGTGCGTGTGGCGATCGTGGCGCAGAGGATTATGCGCTGGTCTGGTAATCCAAAGACCCGGGTTCAAAACCAAACAAAAACGTTGTTGGTTTTTCGTTCGATCGCCACATAGCGAAGAAGCTTACCATATAAAGGCTCTGCCATTAGAGTCCGTTCCTAATTTCAAAGGTATCTTCTTTTTCTGGCATTCATTTGACAAGAAAAAAAATAAATTTTGTCAAATGAATGCCAGAAAAAGAAGATACCTTTGAAATTAGGAACGGACTCTAATGGCAGAGCCTTTATATGGTAATGAGCATCATAACACTGACTGAGGCGAATTGATTCCTCTTGCAACAATTTTTGCATTTGTTTGTAGGTATTTATGTACTGATGCTTATCTACGGAACTGAATGTCAGCAATTTAGTTTTTGCTTCAAGCTCTTGTGCACGTTCAAGTGCGTCAAGATTGATAACGTCGCTATAATGCACAGGTTTATAAAATGGATTTGGTCTTGTTATAATATTGTTAAACACAAATTCTCTCCTCCAGTGCTCGTGGTATAATTCCAGGTGAAGTAGCGGTCCCTCGCAAGGTATAAGACTTGCCAGAATTTGTAGTACCTAATTAAAAAATTACATTACTACCACTAAGCATTTCTTTATGTGTAGGTTCATGAGTTTCTATATATACTACAGATTTTTGACAATAATAATGTTCTGTTGAGCAAATAATATTGAAAATATAGACAAAATTTGTATTATCAGCATATCGACATTAAATATAAAAAGACGAGAAATTAAAGCTCTTTGAGAAAGTTATAGAAAATTTGTGATACAGCGTCTTGTGACAATTTTATAGCGCTTGCTAGTTAATTTTATAAGTTTCAAATTGCAGTTTTTGGATACAAAATTATCTAAAGAGCTTAATATATTTTTCAATTAACAATTTACAAGATTTATATAACTGTAGGATAACTTGTTAGAAGATATAAATTTCAAAATTTTTGGAAAAATGTGTGCTTTGCAACAAAGAGTGAAAATCTATCTTGGATAAGAATACATTGTGTACATCTGTAGTAGACGTAACACACTTTTCCCACAGCATTCACTATCCAGTGATAAATTGAGATCAGTGCTCCGGCCCGACTGGTGGCTTGCCTAGAGACCCCGTAATCAGAGACTGGCCATAAGTGTTCGTCAAATTCCTACGAGCGAAAGAGAATCAATCGTAGAATCGTACAAGAGTGAGGATTTTGACCAACTCTTATGGCCAGTCTCTGCCCATACAGCACCGAAAGATTGCAGAAACATCACAATCATAAAGTTAACATTGTATCTTGACCAACAGCCTAAATTTCGACAGTTTTCCGCCGACTTCCTCGTCAATCGACGCGACGCGAGGTGAAAACTAAATTGAAATTTATTTCTTTCGCGCGCACCACACTGCCAGCTGAATACCGATAGTCGGTAACGTCCCGGTAGTCCCAAGTTTCGCCGCACGGCAGAAGATGTCGCCACCCTGACGCCTCTCGATGACGATCGATCGCGCTTGTGACCCCGCGTTTCAAACTGTAGCTCCGATTCCGACCAGCGATTAGCTCGCGCGGTCGGCCACTTGAAAGATTCATAGCTTCAGTAAGTACCGATAAAATCTTCGTAATAACACGCTGCGCATTTAAAGCGGCGAAGTCCCTCCGCTTCCGTCGCGAGATCCTCGCGACGCCCGCGACGCGCGAGCAAGCCGCCATAAAAAAAGGAAAAAAAAGCGCTAAAACCTCCACCGGGATCGCGCGTCTCGGCCGAGCCGGTCCCCGTTTTAAGGAAGATTATTGGCTAACGCCTCGTTTCACTTTTCCAGCTCGTCCTAAGCGATGAGTAATTAAGCGATGTTATCTTATCGCGCGCTACACCTCGTTATCGCGTACGCGGGGCGTCAGATACGGCGCGGGGTACCGATTTCAGTCGAAGCCGCCGGAAGGCTCAGTGAGTCGCTTCTACGCGCCAGGATGGATCTCCGGCTATTATCGGTGCCTCTGCTCGCGATAATCGTCCTCGCGAGGTGCGGGAGCCCCGCGGGAAACGCGACCAAGCCGAGCGCGATTAAAGCGGACAACGCGACGTCGGGGTCCGCGAGTATATGTGACGTGTGCTCCTGTACAGGTAGGGTCGCGGTTTAAAACTATCGGCTAGCTCGACGAGTCGCGGAGATTCGTGTGGCACGGCTTAAATAGTTTCGCGCGCGCCAGACGTCCATTCCCAATGTGGATCAACTTTAATCTCGGGCCCAACCTACTGTGCAACGTCCTGTAACTTTATATACGTATAAGAGACCTGGTTTTGTCCTTCGGCAGAAAACCGGAAGCACCTTGTCGCCGGGAATTGAAAGTTTAAAATTATGATACGTAGCAAAGCGCAGAAAACATTTTGCGAGCAAACATCTAGCGTTACGACGGCGCGCCGGGGTAGGATTTCGCTTGCGTTGTTCAGCCATTTTTGTAAGCGAGTGGTCAGGCATTTGCGCGCGACATTACTTACGAAACTGCCTGCGTGCAAAAGTGCGAGCAGAACTCACACAAATCTCGTGCAAGTCCGCGTGCATAAGACGAGCGAAATTTGCGCGCAACAATTGTTATCTGGGAGTTACGAAGTGAAGAGGTATCTTGTTGTATTTAGAAAATCTCTCTAGGGAAACCGTGTTATCCACGGGACGGCTCTTTCAACTCCTACTTTTAGAACTAGTTCAACTCTTACTTTTCATCTTCCTCTAGTTTTAAGAGTTAAAAAAAAGGACGAGGCGAGTCAAGCCGAGATTAAAGTCAATTCGCGCCGATACGCATAGACTGAGAGCAACGCACTTTTCAGATAGCTACGTGGACTGCAGTAATCGGAACTTGGAGACGCACTTCGAGAAGGCGCAATGGCTGAACGTAACGGCGAGGGTGGTCTCGTTCGAGCACAATTGCCTGGTGCACGTCACGCCCTTCCCGCGGATAGTCGTGGAGAAACTGATTCTGCGAAACAACCGCATCGCCAGGATCGACTATCACGCCTTCAAGGAGCTCGTCAATCTCACCGAATTGGACCTGAGTCATAACCAGCTCACGTCGCAACAGCTGCAGCCGCACGTCTTCGAGGTAATCGGCGCGAGTTGGGCCGATCGGAAGGTGGAGCGAAACGTGGCTCGCCTCCGATTCGTCATTCATTGATCGGCCAGAGAGATTTTGACGCTCCGCCGCGATTCCGGGCACTCGGCCTTCCCCCTGTCCCCCCCCCCTCCCCGCAGCCGCCCCAGGGAGAAATGACTCGTCGATCGATGTCGAAACAATGTCGAATCGACATCGATCGACGAGTCATTTCTCGCTGGCGCGTATTCAGAATTTTAATGAAGCACTAACTGTCGTCTAAATTTTCATATCCGCGAGCATACCTTCCCAGCAAACACAAAACGTTTGCGGCAACATTGTAGCAATATTACGGCAGTTCTTATCACCGAACCATAGCGGCAATTTAAAAAAAAACCTTTAATTTCATTTAAAGTAAATTTTCCCAAGGGACAATTTCCATGCAGTACAAATTATTATGGACAACTGCAGTAAAAGTGACGCGTAAAAAGAGCCCTTGCGCGTTTTCAAAATATCTCGCTGAATCGCTAGCTCATCATGAGGTACGTGTAAAGATATAAATACTTACATTTTGTAGCCGTTAAATAGTTTGGGAGTGAAAGGATTAATCGCGCGACCTTTCTTCCGACCGAAAATTGCCGTCGCGCATCGATCGTTTGTTCGGTTCGCGAACAGTAGAGAATAACGAGGGAGGGATAAGCCACGAGAAAGAGTATGCCTCTTCGTTTCCTCTCGTACGGATAAAGCGAGTTCGCGTGAAGAATGTACTACCACAGAGGGCTGAATTCTCGGCACTCTCTGGATTCGATAGTTTTCAGAATTGATAGATACGGCAGTGAGACATCTCGTGATAAGATTATCGATTGACGAGCCTCGTGTGTTTCATGGCTACGCTATCCTTGCGTCGCAGCAAGTGTTTAACGCTGCTCCCAGATAAACTCCCGCCGATAGAACCCTCGCTTATTTGTTTACGTAAGTCGCATGAGGAGATCTCGCGACTTTTCCGCTCAAACTGATCACCATGCGCCGCCCGCCCGTCTACTTATCGTGGACAATATCACTCCCGATCGTTTCAGGGGAGATTTTCCTCGGAAGCGTACGAGCCCCTGAACCTGCAAGTCTTAGACCTGAGCGGCAACGTGCTCCACTGGTTACATCAAAGCATTTTCGAGCACCTCGCCGACCTTAAGGTGCTGAAGTTAGCCAAGAATCCCTTCGGCGCGTTCGACTATCGTACTTCTATAGCAATTAGCAGCTTGTCGTGCTTGGAGGACTTGGACCTGAGCTACTGCCAGCTGAGAGAATTGCCGAATCTTCAGTTCTACCATGCCAAGTAAGGAACCGAGAAGTTATGTGCAACGATTACAGTTGAGTTTCGGCGTGGTTGCGCTTACCAGGTCGCCCGAGAACGCGCGCTTCCTGAGATCTCACCGCTGCTCTTCCGCAGATACTTGAGGAGGCTGAACCTGAACGGCAATCGACTCGCAGCCGTGCCCAGACCCTTGGAGGATGCCAGGAACTTGGAGTACCTCAGCTTGGACGCCAATCCGATTCGCATTATCAATATGGTGAACGCTTTTCCCAAACTGACCAAGCTGAAGGAGCTCAGTCTACGCGACATGCCCAATCTGACGGAGATCGGATTCGGCGGGTTGCGGGAACTGACCGGCCTGGAGAGCCTCTACCTGCAGAACTGCAAGAAATTACGAAGGATCGACGAGTACGCGATGGCGTCCCAGGTACGTTGTAGCTTGCGACAGCCGACGGTGAACACACGATATATTTGCCGCGTGTTGCCTGTAGACCTCCGAGGGCACGGTGTGGCCGCCATTGAAAAGGCTGAGCGTGGCATCCAACGCTCTCCAGTATCTGCCGATGCTGCTGGTCGGCAGGTGGGACAAGCTCGAGGAATTACGCCTGACGGACAACCCGTGGAGCTGCGATTGCCTTAATCAATATCTGGTGAGTTCCGACGATCAAAGGACGCCGTCGGTGGCGGGGAAAAAGTGGGTAAAGAGGAACCGACTAAACGGATCGTCTCTCGATAGATCGGAACCGTGTTGCCGGAGGACGGCGAGAGGTTGATGGGAAACGAGACCGACGAGCTCACCTGTTCCGCACCGCCGGAGCACGAGGGCAAGAAGCTCGTGTCCTTGGCCGACCGACACCTACGCTGCTTGGATCTGTGGGGCGCGAGACCGGAAAAGGACGCCGCGATACTCGTGGGAGTGCTGATCGGCCTGCTCGTCGCGATCCCGATCGGCATGGCGTTCTTCGTCCTCTGGCGACGCGGCTTCTTCTTCTGCGGCTTGCAGGGTCCTGCCACCTTCTCCCGTGCCTTCTATAAACGCGCGTCCAACGACGATGACATTTAATTATACTTATTTTTTAAACGCAGTCGCACCTCTTTGCCAATTGCTCTTGCTTTTTTTTAACGTTAAGCAAACATCGAGAAACAACGAGGTACAAAAGGATAGTATTTAGATCGCAGCAGGATTCGCAATAGCGGATGATCACATCGAATATATCTAGTCTAAGCTTTTTCAAATACGCGTGGCGTAATCTTTTGTACATTTTGTTAAGATATCGTAAAGCGCCGGTATCGTCGCGCGAGCGAGTTCGGTGTACATTATTCCCGTTGGAACAAGCGCGCCCGTGCGAGACGCATCCCGCGTTTCTCAGGCTGCTCGACTGTATCGCATGACGTTCCGCAATAAAACACAAAACTTGAAAATTAATGCGCGCCTGCCGTTGCTTGCTCTCGCGTTGTCTAACGAGTCCCCGGAGGATCCACGAGTCTCGGCGAAGGACGTTCCCTGAGCCGCGCGGCCGAAAACCCCGGACGATGGATTTTCGGCTTTACAGGCAGAGCCGCGCGGAGGGCGGCTCTCCCTCCCTCTCTCTCTCTCTCTCTCTCTCTGGGCGCAAATGCGCGGAGGGTGCGAGGTGAGGCGAGGGTTACGCGACGCCGAGCGACGCGGGCGGACGCACACGGACGGATGGACACGCGCCGGTAACGCAATTACCGCGACGTTAATTTACTCAATAATCGCAGAAGCAACCCCGTCTAAATGTCGGCACGCGTCCCTCGACCCTAATCATAGCCGGCCGTCGTCACGTACGGCGGAGCATGGTGGAGAGGCATCGTCGGGGAATATCGGCGGATACGCGAAAAGCCGAGAGATTAACGCTAAGACTGTTAAAATGTAAGATTCCTCTTATCTTTCCCCCCTTCTTTTCTTAACACGAGGACGACCGGCGGAACGAGGGACTCGAAACTTCTCGTTTCAACGTAACAATAAGCGAACTGGCCGTTTAATTTATGTGAATAGCACGAATAACAGCAACGCACTATCCCTGTTAAAAATTACATTAGATTATATGCAATTTCAATGTAGATAAATAAGAGTTTTATTAATTTTCATCGAAATTGCATTCGATCTTACGTAATCTGATCATATTCTATCTGTTATTTCAAACAGGGATACGGACCGGCTGAATCTTATTGTCGGACACCTAATAATATGTTTGCGTGTATGTCTTTTCCCAACACAGCAAACTGCGCGCCGACAATTTTCGATCACTTGAGAACGTTGGTGCAAGTCTTAACCAACTTGACTGAGGCCCGGTTTCACCAAAACGTCGCTTAACTTTAATCTTAGTTTCGTTCACGTTTGTCTTTTTCTAAAGTAACAGTTGGAAAGAGACAACGAACGAATTAAGCTAAGCTTAAAGTTAAACAACGTTGGCGAAACCGGACCTGAGGCTTCTTCTTGCTTTAAACTGCAGAAATGATTAAAGGCCAGTTTCACAAATGTCGGTTAACTGCCAACCAGAGTTGAGTCAACTCCCTGCCTTTGTCTATCGTGTTATCTAAGAAGAGACGGAGAATCAATCAACCTTCGGTTAACAGCTAACCGACGTTTGTGAAACTGGCCCCAAGGCCCGGCTTCTCCAACGTCGCTTAACTTGAAGCTTAGCTTAATTCGTTCTCTACCTCTTTCTGACTGTTACTTTAGAGAGAGAGAGAGAGAGAGAAACGCAAATTAAACTGAGATTAAAGTTAAGCGACGTTTGGTGAAACCAGGCCTCGAGTGCTTTCGTTAGAATTTACGTTGACCTTTCATCGAGATAAGTAGATGACGGACTAGCGCCAATTTATTCTCCATCGGCCACCCTAGTCTCAAAATTCCCGAGCACACGGGACGTCTACAAATTAACGGTCGGAAAAGACGTCGCGCTCGTCCCAACCGGATTTCTCAGGACTGCGCTCTTCCGTCCTGTTAATTCGCTCGCCCTCGGACCTCGCCTCTCGTACTTTGTTTATCGCTCGAGTATGGAGATGACGCAGTCATCTCGTCAAGCGCCGCACGCGCTTGTACCGCCATTTGGAAAGCGCCCCGTATACACGATCCGCTAAGTAATTTAATCCCGCGTTTCCACCCGTCCTCTCGCCCTCCAAGATTCAATGCCGATACGACGCGGGGTGAGGGCGGGGTGTCGCACGAGGAACCTGATTACGCGGGATATGCGGGGGCACGACGCGACGAGTCGAGCGAGAGAGCCAAAGGCGTCGCGACGCCGCGGCAATGCCGTAAGAAGGTGATCGTTTCGGTCGAGTCGAGTCGGTACCTCGAGGAGGGTAGCGACACTTTCGAAATTAGAGCCTCGTCTCTTACGCGAGGCGGGGGAGAATTGGTTTTCAAATACTCGCTCGCGGGAATCGTGGCGCGTGAGGGAGAGAGGGAGAGAGAGAGAGGGTTTTCGTAACGTACTCTTACATACACATGCTTGCACTTCGCATTATTATCTACGCGCGAGAGCGCGGCAGAATGGAGAGGAATCGCGCGAATACGAAAGGATCCGTCCCCCTCCCGTTTCCTCCCCGTCCGCCGCCGCCGCCTCCTCGGCGCGGGACGTACGCCGTTGGATTCACGAGTACCCGAGCGCGTGTCCATGGAAACGAGTGGCCGAGTCCCGCCCCCGGGAGCCTCGCCGGGCCAACCCCGGCGACGGCGAGCGTCGCGACGCCGGCCAATGCGGGCGCCAGGCCGGCCTTGGATACACTCGGGAGTCGGGATTCAAGCGGCGCCCTTCCACGGAGGGTACGGGGCCGCCGTGGTACGCTAACTAGCGGGAGGGGCTGCCGATCATCTCACGCCGCGGGGAGGTTGAATCGCCCTGAATCGCGCCGCGCTCGACCGATACGCGCCCCGAGCCGAACGACGACAGGGTGAACGACGGCGAGGGACAGTGAGCGACGGACGGCGTAGCGCGCGATTTCATACTCGATCCGCGCTCGACGATCAATTCGCGATTTCGGGGGATGAGCTCGCTCGTCGTCTCGCGCGACGTCCGATCAGCCGACAAACCGAGCCGGGCCGAGCGAGCGCCGACACCCGCGGACGACGTATGACGGGAGAGGAGTGATCGGAGTTCCGAGAGTGAGAGATTCCCTCTTCGCGGGCCCCCCCCCCCCCTTCGTCGTCCCCCGAGACGTCGTGCGCGTAATCGTAAACACGCGCGCACGCGGTACCCGCGGATCCTCCGGCGAGGAAAGAGCCTGGGGCTCATCCCCCTTGAAGCAGGACCACCCCACCCCACCCCCGCGATCATCTCGACCAGAACGCCCGGGCGAGAATGTAATCCGCGGGGCATGCCACGCGTCGTAAGCCGCAGCAGCGTCGCGCCGAACGAGGAAAGATGCAGTCGACCTGCCAGCAGCAGCAAGCTCAGCCAGGCCAGAACGGCACCTCCGCCAGCAGGACGTCGTTCCTCATCGAGGATATCCTCAGCCGCGGCACCGTCACCCCGCACACCCATCATCACCAGCTGCACCACCAGCATCTCACGTCGACCTCCGGCCACGGGCAGCACCACCAGTACCAGCAGTTCGCCAGTCTTCTGCCCGGCTACCCCGCGGCGCCGCCCGCCGCGGCGGCCTTCTTCCTGGGGCCGCTCTTCGGCAGCGCCGGCATGGGGGTCGGCGTCGTGCCGGGGGTCGGCGAGCTGGCGGCCCTCAAGCACTGCCGACGGCGGAAGGCCCGGACCGTGAGTCAACTTCCTCGATTCTTCCCCCCCCGGACCGGCAGTCGACGAATCGCAGTCCGTGAATAACGTCCTTTGCCCTCACAAACTGTAAAGACCGAATCAGACTAGCAGTTGTTGACTCGGATTCAATTAGCGATTGACGATTGTTCTTCAGCCAATGAGAGCAAAGCAGCCTACGATTTAATCGGCTCTCAAGTTTAGTATCCTTTACTCTAATTGGTGAAATTTCAATCTAATCTCAATCTCAATCCGTAGTCTGATACGGGCTTTAGGCTGATGGCAGAAAACGATCCGTAAACACTTAAGGTTTCGTCGAACGTTGCTTAACATTAATTGGTTTAATTCACGTTTGTCTCTTTCTAAAGTAACAGTTAGAAAGAAACAAAGAATTAATTAAGCTAAGCTTAAAGTTAAACGACGTTGGTGAAAGCAGGCCTAAGACGTTCTTAGTCGTAGACGTGAGGCAAAGCAGAGGAAAACTTACGTCGTGAAAGTCTATATATGTATACGACTTAAGTTTTTACTGCCTTGCCTTAGCCGCAGTCTACAATAGGTGATGCAAGTCCTAAGCTCTAAGAAATTGGTCAATTTCTTAGGACTTAGGGTTTAAATCGCCTATTGTAGACTAGGGCTCTCATCTACGATTAAGACAAACTTAGGCATTTACGGATCGTTCTTTAAAGGATTGTCTACAATAGATGAAGTAAGCCTGGCGTAAGAAGTAAGAGTAGGAGTAAAGAAATGAATCACTCGCATTTCTTACTCCTACTTCAGCTCTGACGCTTACTCGTGCTATAAATATTTAAAAAAGTTATGCCTGTACTTTAGCTTTTACACTGATAAGTAAGTGCCTATCTACAATAGATGTTAAGCCTTAAGAAATTGACTAATCACAGTTGCGTATTCCACTCATACTTGACCATGATTCAATTTCTTAAGGCTTAGGGCTTAAATCATCTATTGTAGACTGGGACTAAAGGTTTTCTTACTTCTTGCTGCTTACTTCCAATGTAGACGGTCCTTTACGGCGTCTACACTGAGATCTTCAAGACGTAAGATTAAAGAAAGTGACCAATCGCAGTCGATTATTCTCCTCACATTCGATTGTGATAGGTCACTTTCTTAAATCTCACGTCTTAAGAATCTCATTGTAGACGCTGCATTTACCATCAACCTAAGTCTTAAGCCGTAAGAAATTGACCGATCGAAAGCGAGAAGAATAATCGCCTGTGATTAGTCAATTTCTTAAGGCTTGGGGATTAAATCACCTATTGTAGACTGGAATTCCTTACGGCTTAAAGCTTACACCTTACTTAAAGCAAGATTGGACCGGGGGTAATGAAATTGCACACGACGTTAAATAAGTATCCGTTAGGGACGGACTGTAAAGACTGTTGCGAAAAATTATCTCAGCCAGGATGCAAAGCTGGACCTCCCTACTTAAACGTTTCTGAAATTGTTCACCTCTCCGACTGCTTATTATACATCGACTGATCTCTTTCGCAAGGTTGTACCTCGATTTTTCGCAATTTCCGTTTTTTCCAACTGTTTACTTTAGAAAGAGGCAAACGTGAATTAAACTTCAGCGACGTTTGGTGAAACCGGGCCTAAGCAGAAAAACCGCGGAAATGACGAAGAAATCGAGATACGACCTTGCGAAAGAGATGAGTCAATTTTATCTCTCTCGCGCAACTGTAGGAGACAAGAGTCTGCTTCCTTACGGCTTCAGGTATTCAGCGACCAGCAGCTGGCAGGTTTGGAAGCGAGGTTCGAGGTGCAGAGATACCTGAGCACGCCCGAGAGGGTAGAGCTGGCAGCGGCGTTACACCTGTCCGAGACTCAGGTGAAAACGTGGTTCCAAAACCGACGGATGAAGCACAAGAAGCAGCTGAGGAAGCTCAACACCAGCGGCAACGGCAATTCCAGTTCGGGCCAGCAATCGATATCCGTCACGTCGCCCGCTGGTGAGTCGCGTCCATTTCGATCTTCTGCACGCTGAGACCGAGCCGATCGTCGGTCGCTTTTGCCCTCGACGGAAGGAACAACGTAGATCGCGGCGGACCGCGAGCCGTGGTCCACGCATTTTAACTTATTCTATCAATGGACGCAAAACGTAAGACGCCAAGCCGCAACGCAAGAAATCGACCGATCGCGGTCAAATATGAGAAGAATGACCGGACTGTCACTGGCCGATTTCTTGCGTTGCGGCTTAGCGTCTTGCGTTTCGCGTCCATTGTTGAATAAGCTCTGCGGCGCGCCCCGTCCAACGATGCTGCTTGAAAGACATCGCGATCCACGGTATCTACGGAATTTCGCATCGTGCGGCCTCCGCAGCGCGTAACTTAATTACCGGCAAATTAAATGCGCGTATCGACTTTTCGATAAACAGCTGCGAGCAGTATTCCCGCACCGCGAGTCAATTAACTTGGATTAATGGATAATGACGTCGTGTCCTAGATAAGCGCCGACTCATGAATGGCCGCGCGCCGATACGCGTTTTGGAAAAAAAAATAATAAAATGCGCGTGCACGCCGCGTATCGTCGCTACGTCTACGCGTCGGATCGCCGCGGCGAATCCGGAAGTGGAACCGCGCCGAGGCATTCAAACTCCTCGGGGGTAGCGCGTAGACGTCGCAATGGCGCGCGCGTGCTCGGTTCAATTAAGTAAAATAGGTAGCTACGGGGATACGCGTATGAAAAGGCTAAACAAGCGGCGTATCGCGAGCCGATACGACAGACCGGAACTAATCGGCCATAGTTATCGGTTAATCTGGCCGGAGCGACGAGCGGAGGAGGCGCGGGACGGCGCGTTATAACGTCGGTTGTCGTTAAATACTTCCCTGTTGTCACGCTAATGGGCGATATCTGTATAATGCAACCAAAATACCGCTGACAATAAATTACGCAAGTTCGGCGTAACTAGCCAGACCGTAACCGTGGTTACGTTGCGAGGAACTATAATCATTAACGGTATCTGCGTAATGGTTGCATTCCGTCGTAGATACACATATTACCATAATCGCTCGCCGGTGACGTCGCGTTTACAGATGCGCGTTACATCAGTTTCCCGGGGGAAAACTCGCCGCGGTGGCGTGTCGTTGCCTCCGGCCAATTTACGTATTGTTTTCCGCTTTCGATGACACGCTGCACCGCACGTTAATTGTCCAAGGCCCAGTTTCACCAACGTCACTTGACTCTAATCGTGGTTTCATTCATTGTTTGTCCCTTTTCGAGGGAACTGGTGGAAAGGGACGATGGATGAATTAAGCTAAGCTCAAAGTTAAGCGACGTTGGTGCAATCGGGTCTAAGAGAGAAGAATTCGCCGCGGTGTCGTTACTTCGAGCAATTTACATGTATTTTTCGTTTTTGATTACGCGCTTTATTGTGTTAATTTCTTAGGAGAAAGTTCGCCGATACAGTCGTCTCGAGTTTACGTATTATTTTCTGTTTTCAATAACATGGAATGTATTGCATTAATTTTCTAAAAGAAAATTCGACACAATGGTGTCATTGTTTCAAACGACTTACGCGTCTGTTTTCGATAACACGGAAAGCGTTGTATTAATTTCTTTATAGAAGAAAATTCACCGCGGTTATTGCCTCAAGCGATTTATATATAGTTTCCATTTTTTATAACACTGCATACGCTATATTAATTTCTTAGGAGAAAATTCGCCGCGCTATTATTTCCGCAAACAGTTTGCATAATATTTTTTATTTTTAATAACGTCAGGCGTATTATCCCAGGGAGCGTCACTGCGCATAGAACGTGCTTTTATTGCGCGTTTTATTGCATTGGTTTCAAAACAACATTCATTGTGTACTCAAAATGCGCGTATTTAACATGTTTGCGCATATTTGAGAGATACAATTTTTTTTATAATACTCTACATTTATACATGCTTATGCATGAAAAATTATGCACAGGCGGTTAATGGTACAGTTTTTTGGAATGTACTGCCACAATATACATTAAAAGCGCATTTAATGCAGGACAAATACGCGCACTAAATGCGAATTTAAATGTATATTTGAAGCACATTACACGCGCATTGGCGCTCCTTGGGATACTAATTTCTAAGACGACAATTCGCTGCGGTGGTGTCGTTGCCTCGAGCAATTTACATGTTGTTCTATTTTCGATAACGTGGAAAACGTTATGTTAATTTACTGGAAGAAAATTCGCCGAGATTGCATCGTTATTTCAAACAATTTACATGTATTTTCCGTTTTTCATAATGTGGCGCGCATTACATCAACTTTCTTAGAAGGAAATTCCGGACGGTGGTGTCGCTGCCTCGGGCGATTTACGTGTTCTTTTCCGTTTTCGAAAACGTAGAAAATGTTACGTTAATTTCGTAAAAAAAATTTGAGGCGATGGTGTCGTCGCTTCGAGCGATTTACGTGACACTTTCGACAAAGTATCGCGTTAATTTCCTGAAAGAAAACTGACCGCGGTGTCGTTATGCCCCGAGGGATTTACATTGTTAGTTATTTTTCCCTCTTCGATAACTCGGCGCGAGTTTTTCCTCGCGGACACGCTCGCCAGGTCACCCCGGTATTCATGGCGCACGAATATAAAAGCGATCGTTTAACGAGACGACGGGAAGACATTTCGAGAGCGATTTAAATAGTTTGGCCCATGGCGTTCGCATCCTATATACCAAGTTGTTCGTCTCGGTAGACAAGATGGCTTCGTTCGGTAGGAAGGGCTAACCGAGTTACATAGACGTCTCCTTGGTAGCAACCAAGAAGGAGGTATCAAGAGGAGGGTGAGCAGGGTGGAGGGCACACAGAAGACGCGACCGCCTCGGCGTCTTTAGACTCGAGGCGAGCTACGTAAGGAACTCCGGCGGGGAGAGACTCGTTCCCTCCTTCGATGCGCCTCTCTTTCGCCGTCTCGTTCCGACTCCCGCTTACACCCGTCTCTCGGCGAGAGAATTGCTCAATTACCCGCTAAGTGCTCGGTCAGACCTATATTCTCGATTGTGCTCGCCGCTGAGGGCTATCGTAGGCCGTGCCGCGGCGCGGCGCGTGCCGCGCATCCGACTTTTATTCAAATATCACCGCGTTCGGGAGACAGGTGCCTACCTCTCTCTCCTCACCCGAGCGGAAGATACAATTACGGAGGTACTCGCGGCTAATACGAGCGTCGGGAGATTCACCGCGAGCGAAACTAAAAAGATCCTAACGACGTTCCGCTCTCGCGGGCGCTTGGGAAATCGCTGTCGCCGCGACAGTCAATGCTAATCGACGACTATTTGCTGATGTTGACAGAACGTCCCGTAGACTTTTCGCTGAGCGGCGGACGCGAGTCGCGCGCGAGCAGCGACGCGCCCGCGGACTCCGACGACGAGGACGACGACGAGATCGACGTGCTGGGCGACGAGACGCCGTCGCCGGGCGCGACGCCGACGGCGACGCCGACCCCGACGACGCCGACGCCGGCGCCGACGTCCACGCCGACCCCGACGCCGACCTTGACGTCGACGTCGACGGTCGCGAGCCCGACGTCGGCGCGAAGCGGCACCCTGCCACCTCTGTCCAGACGCGGCACGCCGCCGAGGATTCTCCACCCGACGATCCACCCGCACCCGCACTCGCATCCGCACTCGCATCCGCACTCTCACCCGCATCCGCACGCGATCGGCCTGCACCATCAGCCGCAGCACGGCCAGCATTCCGCCCAGCGCCAGCATCGCTGAGACGCGCCACGACGTGGTTTGGGAGTCATCGCTCGTCCTTTATCAGAATCACGGCAACTACGCGTAGAGAGGAGAGGGATAATCTTCGTCCGTAGAGTACCGGCCACCCCCGTTCGGTGTCCCGCGACGACCGGACGTACCCAGCAGGTTCACCCAGGCTAGAGCTCGCCGCGTAACGGAGAACACGGAACACGGCAAGGGATTCGTCCTCGCCCCGAGGGATCGAGAGGAGAGAGGCCAAAGTCTTCGCGCAGTCCTTAAAGCGGTATTTACGTGTCACTGAAATCATTCACGCTGTTCGAGAAAGCAGAACGGTACCGTCGCTGGATGTTCCCGCTTGCGTAACGTAATAAAGAAAAAAAAAAAAGAAGCGAAACGAAGGAAATGAAGTTTTGTGCCGGTTCCGAAATCTCTACTTTTTATAGCGAAATACGGTAAAATAAATACGGTATCTGGTCTGTTGTTACTTTTTATAGTCAAGTGTGTAAAAATAGGCCGTGGTTTTCGTTGAGGAATTAAACTGTCATGCTCTGACGCGATGTGTACACTTGTTTCTCCTCGATTTGTCTTTTCCCAGGCTTCTGAAATTCTTGGTCGCATGGCACATTTTTGGGAAAGAGAGAGGGATAAATTGATAGACAGATAAAAAGAGAGAGAGAGAGAGAGAAACTCGGCGAATTTTTGGTACCGGAAGAACTTGGGACGTAGTCTGCCGAGGGCAACGTTTTCCGGGCCGCATTGTGCATCGACATTGACATTTAATTGCGTCGTGGGTCGCGGCGGACGATGATCGAGTCTCTTCACGCGATCATATCGCTAATGGCCGGCGCGACATTTCGGTGCCGTAGACATTTTCGCGATAGTTAACGAGGCGTCGAATCGAGGGTCGCGAGAGCCGCTTCGTTAACGCGTTGACTGCCGTTATTAGTAATCAGGGCTATTGAAATTTTTTAAAACGTTCATAAAAAATGCGTAAAAAAATTGAATATAAAATTTTGGACGTCGCCCGCAGCTAGGTGAGGTGGTGAAGTAGAAAGCGCGCGATTCGGAACCCAGCGAGAAATGATGTCGCATCGACATCGATCGGCGAATCATTTCTCGCTGGAAACACTACTCGTGAGGATTATTAGGCTACGGATGATGCTTGATGCGAATTCGTCCTTTTAAATCCTCTTAACAACGAGAGAAAGAGGAGACCGCTTTGAGGCACTTGAATCGCAGCTTTATGGCGAATTCGATTGCTTGCAGCAGTGCGGACTGACACGTTATTATCGTCAAAGAATGCTTTGTTCTACAATAAATACGCACGTATAATCTGATTTTAACCTTCAACAAAGCTCCTTGGCACTGATGGATCAATTCGCAATTGTATGGGTCGAACATGGCTATTTGTCTAGCAACCTGAAACAAAACTCGTAACGTCATTAATCGCTCCCGGAGCGATTAATCCTGGTCCAGTCGAAAACGCTATAAGACAGCCATAAACATAAGAGTTGACTCTGAACAAGCCTTGGTTCGCACTCGCAACAGCGCGCGCTAGCGCAAGCAACCGATTTCGCTAACAGGCTCGTTTGATCGTCGCATGATATTCTGTTGTTACGCGAATGATGGAAATTCCGCGACCAGCGCGGATAAGACATGCAAAACTGACCGACACGTCGCGGCCCGTGATTGCGACAATCGGGCGATTACGCGAGACGATCGTGTAGCGCCGTTTTTGCTACCTGTTGCGGCGACATTAGATCGGCAAGATCGGCAAGTGGCTGTTAAGAAAAGAGACGATATTGCAACGGACGATAGAGATTTTCCAACGAGCGCGCGTGTCACGGGCGGCGAGGCGCCTGCGGGGCACGTCGTGCTTCCAGTTGGGGTGAATCCTAATACCCAGATAATGGGAAGTAATTGCGAGGGATCAGAGCGAGCGAAGCTACTCTGTCGGCTGTCGGGTTCGGGGGCAGCGGGATGCGTGCGGAGAGAGAGAGAGAGGGAGAGAGAGAGAGAGGAGAGAGGGTGGCGCCACGCTTCCATCCCTCCGTCCCTTCCCTCGCCCCTCCTTCCCTACTTTCCCTTCTCGCTGTCGATTCGCGGGGGTGGAGAAAGAGGACGAAGAGAGGATCGTAATCGTGTTATCGGGACGAAATCACGGGGTACATTCTCGGATACACATCGGATAGATGGATACGCGCGTCGCGACCGTGCGCGAGACCAATCCGCGCGAGATTTACTTCCGGTGAAAGATATCGGGGGCAGGTGAGAGGTAGAGGGGGCGAGTTTGTGTATCGACGTCGCGCTTCGCGCGGGGCGTTTTTGGTTTCTCGAAGACGGCGAATTCCACTTTCGGAATCTCTCTCGGCGTTTCTTTCTCCGCGCGAACGACGCGTCGGAGGTAACTCTCTGGCGAACAAAACGTCGCGCGCGCGGGGTGGCGAGAGGGGAGGAAGCTTGGCCTTTGATGGCGCGGGGGAGATAACGCCGGCGTTGTTCGGCGGCAGAGACGCGCCGGGACCGGCCAGGTAAGCTGGTAAACTAAATGAGATCACGGGGCCATTTATGACGTTTATTAAATTCCGTTAAGACGCCTATTATTACGGTACGTAAATAAAGGGGGAGATTTCGCGCCCCTCGCCGAGGGAGACGGAGCGGAATGCGGCGAAAATAATGAAATAAAGGACAATGAAGTGGCAGGTACAATGGCCAATAGGGCATAGAACGAGAGCGAGGACGGGAGCAAGGCGCCGGCGGGCGGCTCTCCCCCGCCTCTCTCTCTCTCTGTCCCTCTCGCGCGCTGGAAGGGGTGTTGCAACAAGGGGTTACAGAGCGCGCTTTAGTTCGGCGGGCTAAATGCAGTGGGCGTGTTCCCATTACTTTCATTATTTTCAGTCGCCGGGCTTCGGCGGGTATCGATGCCCGAATGTAACCCGTAGGTCGCCCCGCGCGACGCGTCAAAACGCGCGGCCGGCGAAAGGTGGGCGACCTGCGATCCTCGCCCCGAGTCCAGGCGAATCCGCCAACGGCGCCGGCAGACTCGCCAAGATTCGTATCGGCCGGAGATCAATTTAATCCGCCGGAGACGGGGGGGAAAAAAGGGGGTGGGAGGGGCGAATATTGGGCCCCGAGGAGCGGAGTAGAGGACGCGAGGGTGAACCGTTAGCCTAACAAGCTGTCAAGACGTCGCCGCGTGTCAATCCGCGGCTCTCCAACGATCCCCGAAATAAAGCCGCCCGACGGCCCTCGGCCGACGGTCTGCGCGCGACGAGCCCGCGGAGAGTTTTTCAGCCGTATAACGCGCCTCTCCCCTTTCTCCCTCCGCGCAAAAATTCCCGCTCGACCCGTGCGGGAGATCGCACGGCGAGAGGACGCGGAAGACACACGTGACACGCGAGGCTCGGCTCGGATACTCGCCGCGGAGACAACGGCGTTACTGCCCACGTGCCGTTTAACTCGATCACAGCGGCAATCTGGCCTCGTTTCAACCTCCGGTTACTACGACGCTTCCGCTAACAAATAACATTGTCGTCGACCCTGCGGGGGCGTTCTGATTCGATTTGCGCACCGTGAAAGCGCGCCCGGGGAAGGAGCGACGGTGGCGAGCGGCGGCGCGGACGCGAGGAGTGACACGCGGCGAGGATGAAAGGCCCGTCGAAAATGTTACCGCGCGCACACGTCGTCCCTCGGCGCGCTCCTAATCAGTAATTTCGAGAGGCGCGATTGTTTAAAAGCCGCGCTACCTCGCGCGAATTACGCGCGACGCTCTCCGCTCTCCCGTCTCTCTATCCTTCGGTACTCGGCGAGATCCCTATCTGCGCGGCGTGTTTAAAAATAATTGCCGAGGTAGATCCGGCGATAGTCACGGAGTCGCCCTCACCTCGGCGCTTCCTGGCCTCTCGAGTGGCCCTCGTTCTACGACATAAAGGCGAGTCCGCGCCCCCGCAGTGCTCCTTGGCGAGGGCACACGCGGCCTCTTCCGCCGCCGGTCGAGTGGCACCCCACCTTTCATCCACTCTATCACGGCGTTTAAAGAAGTAAAGACTAAAGGTCCTCTATACGTGTCGAGTGAGCTCGCCTCAAGACCGCTCGAAGGCAGTCGAGGCTGCTCGTCGCTCGACGAGGGGCGCGGAGCGTCCGGTTTGTCGCGCGAAATTAAAAAGGAAACATTATTAATACACTCCGCGCACAATCGTCGCAACATGCTCAGGTCCGGTTTCACCAAACGTCGCTTAACTTTAATCTTATAGTTTTAGTCGCGTTTGTTTCTTTCTAAGGTAACAGTTGGAAAGAGACAAACTGTCTAAAATTTTTTTATTAATGGAACCCAACTCTTTTGGAGTGAGATTTCACTTGAAGAAATAATGAAAATACTGCCAGTCCGACTGGAGTGTAATTGCACTTTTTGAAAGAGTGCTATCCCTGATGGGAAAATGTCTCAAATATTGTGTAATAATTGCATCACCAAAAGGAGGAAATTTCACAATGATTCGCCAAAACGCAGTGGTTTTATAGGAATAAAAATTTCTAAACGGTATTTGCCTAAAAAGTGATAATCTCAATTTAGGTGGTAAATCATGCACAATTGTTTCAACGTTTAGAAGCCCTCAGGCTTCAGGGAATTTCTAAGTGCGTTTAATGCGCGCAGCAAAACCGCCCCGTGTATCTTTGTTCGAGCCGACGATCTCGGGGACCCTCAAATTATCGTATCTCAATAATAACTGGTTCTAAACGGTCTCTCTCTAAAGGAACAGTTCGGAGACAGAGGATGAATTAAACTAGGATCAAAGTTAAACCGACGAGAACCGATCAAATTCCGAGTCGACAGTTGCCTTTGAGTTACACAATAAAAGTATTATTTTACGTTTTTAGTTTGCGCGTCCTACGGGATATTGCGATGCAAAGTCCGAATGCGCAAATTTGCGGATTTAAGGAACGTCGTCACCGTTTGCACTTTTCGCTTTTTAATAATTACCAACGGTGGGAGCGCGGAGGGAGACGAGGTAACTCGCGATCCTAAGAAACACGTCCCGTGTGCCTCCGATGTTTACAGCATTTATATTTATTTCACGTACAACTTGCATATATTATAATTATAATCGACAAACAGTAGTCTCTCATAACGGAAACAATTATTATTAAATGCGATTATAACTAAAGGGGGGAGGGGGGGGGGGCAAAGATGCGCCCAGCCGGACGAGGCGCGAGCCTCCTACACTCAAAAACAAGATTACTATATGTCTATATATATTAGCCTTTGAATATTACAGAATTAGTCTTTGTGTGTATTGTTGTATAGGGAACTCTTTACTTTCTATATACGGCTCTCAGTATTGTTTCGCATCATCTCTTTCTCTCTCTCGTGCCCTCAATGAGGATCTCTACCGACTATTTCGCGAGAGACTCGCGGGAATCTCAGCTTATTAAAAATACACATCGCTCGCGGATGTATTATTATTGCGCGTTATATTGTGCACAAGTATTCGTCATTAGGTACCTCGTTTGTAAGGGGTTTTCAGGCATTGTCTATACACCTCTCTCTTTCTCTCTCTCTCTCTCTCTCTTTCGTTAGGCCATTACCATTCGGATAGAAGCATCCAAGCGCGCGCAAGCGCGACTATTGAGTCACTTATGTGTTTTATCATTAACAGACATTAATCGTAAACTTGCACTACGCGTGCCTGAACGCTGCTCACGGGTTTCCACGACAGAGATACACGATAGAGATGTCCGAGCCGGGATATGGGAAGAGGGGCGGGGGGCACGCGAACAATTGCGGGGGAGCACGGTAACAATTCGCGATCGGTATCAATGAAATTCTTGGCTACGAGCCGACGAAGGGGGAAAAAATTAACATTGAAAACACTTTAACGTTTAAAAAAAAAACAGTCACGTGTTTGATACGAAAGCCACGGTCTCGAGTCCTCGCTACGCATGCAAGAATTCAAACGTCATCGCTAATTACTAATCATCCTAATTAAATGCCTTGAGAATTTGCGAGAGTAATGTCGAAACGTAGGTTTCGCGACTCTACGGAGTATTAAATTGCGATTTGTTCGTCACGTCCGCGGACGCAAGTACGACCGAAATCGTATCCAACAATTAGCGTCGACAATTAGTCCCAGTCTTGTTAAACGGTTCTCAAACCGTACTTAAAGAAAGAGCTCAGCTTGCTGCGCCTTTGAAAAAGACAACATGATAAAAAAAAAGAACATTTCGCGAACAAATCGTCCCCTTTTTCCAGAGAAGCCCGATTAAAAGTCGCTGAAAAGAAAAATAATAAAATGAGATAAAAGAAAGCTACAAACGTAAAATTAATCTTAGCGCGACGTATTTGTACAACTTCGCTCGTAACAATAGTTGTGAGATGAGGCGAGGTAGCTAAGCAGAGCTGCTGCTTAGTGATCGAAATGTAATAAAACGCGAGGCCAATGCGCGCGATACGCACTTAGGATAAGCACTTACTTAAGATAGCGAGAACCATTAGTGATCCGATAGTAATCTTGATTTTAAGCAAGCCTTCCGTCGACAAGCGCATTGTTATAGAAATCAATATGTTACACACATATTAACTAACCGAAAGAATTAACGTGTTTCCAAAAGGATATATCTGTGGGTGTCGTCATTATGGACCAGTCCATAACGCGAGAGTAACATTGGCGCGCGAGTGAAACGCCCGGTTTAACGTCGCGAGCGAGCTCGCCTAGACTTCCTCCCGGCGAACTCGCAATTTAGTTAAACTTTATGTATGTACCAGAAATTTTTCGCTCGCGAGAGGAAAACATTTGTCTGAATTTCCGGTCAAGTTCAACAATCCCGCTGTAAAGGGACGACCGGTTTTCACACGGCTCGTAAGAGAATCTCTCTGAAAAAATATTTCAAGACGTGCGGGTTAATTTTTGCAAGAGATTTTTACCTACGGCGTAAAAGCAACAGGTGAACTCGACGTCTCGCGCGACATTGCGAGAACCTGCACGAAATATCGTTGACTCTGGTACATACAACAAAGCAGCTGAAATGTTACATGCGCGCGTTTCTTTTTTTTTTGCTAGCATAACAGTACAAAGAATATGAGTAAATATAAAAATCAAATAATATTAATAATGATAATAATAATTACAAAGAGAATCGTTATTAAAGCTTCTAACAATAAAAATGAATACCTTCCTTCGAGTTCGTAATAAATTAATAATGAGCTTTAAAAGCGTTCGCACAATTCAGCTAACAATGGCGATTGACGATGCGAAGATGAGTCATGGATCGCGCAACTCGTTTTATCTCATCCCCGTCGTAATTCACCTTCATTATCAGCCGCGATATGGCCGCGGCGTCGGTGAGATTCAAGTGAAAGCGGTTCAGTGGATCTAGCAGAAGAGCGTTTGGCAGAATTGCATAAACAATATGTCATCGAATGCGGAAACGGCGCTCGCATTCGCGAGTAGTACAAATAAGCCCAAGTTAGCGTACATACCTGGGATATCGAATATAAATTCAATAAAAATATACAAGCCGTAAAGTTATGTGATTTAAGATAACGCATATTCTTCTATTATTACCGTTCAGATATAATAGTAACGTTCGCTCGACGTCCCGCCATCCTAATTAGTTGCCCTGTACTCGAAAACAAAGCGCGGACGTGGCGTTAAGAACGAGGTTGCGGAATTTGGTCATAAGGTTGATTAACTCGACAGCCGCCCTACAATTTGCACTTGTTCTAAGATGCAGGTAGATAATGGATAATCGCATTAACGCGTTAACTGCTCAAGAACTTATTTATACTACTTATTTATACTAGAGAACGGTGCTCGTTCCCCTTCCTTCCTTGTCTTACGAAGACCGGATTTCATCAATGAAGAGAAGGCCTCGAGGCCCGCTGTTTCAGCCTGGTCAGTAACGCCTGCTCGCCGTCGTCCTCGGTCTTGGACGAGACCCCGCGGAAACTCTCCGACCGATACTTATCCCTCAAGAACGTCCTTCTCTCCTCTTTGTACTTTTCGATTCTTTCTCTACACTGCGGGTCCCCCAGATCTAGGCCGCCGAGATTTCTCAGTTGGATCTTGTCGGAGACGCTCGTGCCGGAGCTGCTGCCGACGTTGGGCGTCGAGCAGTGCTGCGCGTCCTCGGACGTTGGCTTTACCGACAACGAGATGTCTCCCGTCATTCGATTGAACTTGGCCTCGTCCAGGGAGCGGCTCAGCGCCGCCCGAGTCGCCCTCGCGTGACGCGCCCGCAGGCAAGGTGGCAAGTGCTGCGACGACTCCTCGGACTTGCCCCGCGCGCAGTCCAGCTCCTGCCTCATCTTGCTCTCTCTGACGATCTCTCTGCCGATCTCAGAGTCGAAGCTCCTTCGCTCCCTGATCGTCTCGCCTTCGTATTTTCTTCTCACGGGCGCGGACGCGTCTCCTACCGCGCCACCGGACAATCTTTGTAGAGCTAGCTCCTGCAGGATCGCCGCGGTGTCCCGCGGTGGAAGAACCACCGTGTCGTCGATGTTCGAGGCGCTCGTGAACGTGCCCGACGTCTGTTCCATCAGCTCGGACGCCCCTTCTGGCGCGTGCGCCACCTCGCAAGGCTCGGCCGCGTTCTCCGAGGGAATTCTCACCTCGATATTGCTCCGTATCTGATTAGCTTGCAGGCTGGCGCACTTGTGACCCTCGTCGCCACGTTTGGAAGCGCATTTACGTATTTGTTGCGTGTTGCTCTGCTGCTTCTGCGAATTATTGTATCCGAAACTTTGGCACTTCTTGGACAGTCCGTTCGTACAGTGGTCGTTGTCACGCTCGTCCCGCGTGACGCTCGTCTCCTGATCGCCCTCGGGTTTACTCGAGAATCGCGGGTGATTCGTGGCGTGTAAAGTGCGCGTCGTGCAATCTCGCTGCTGCGCGCCCGTGTCCCTCGACAGACGGCGATAGTTCTCAAGGGTCTCCATCTGCCGGAACAGCTCCTTATCGTCGCGTATCTCGTTCCGATTTGTACCAAATACGTTCGCGTTGTCCGCCTCGATGTAACACGCGCGAACCTGTTGCTGCTGCTCCCTCGCGTTCGACTCCTGGCCCGAGTCCACATCCGTCGTGCACGAATATCGATTGCCGTTCTCCCGGTCGCGCAGCCGAGAATGGGCGTCGTTCGCGAGACTGTCCTCGTTCACGAGACCGAAACCCGCCTGCGAATCGGCCTCTTCCCGTTTCTGCCCGTGACTCGCGTACTTCTTCGCCTCGGTGACGTCGAGCATCATCTCCTCACTTTCCCGCATCAATATTCGACTCCCCGTCGAATTGTCGATCCCCATGCGGAACACCGCCGCGGTCGAGGGCATAGTGAGTTCCAACAATGTTCCGGGAATGTTCTCCGACGCCGGATTCGCGTCGCTCTCCACAAAGGAGTCATTGGGACTAGTAGACTCGCTGATCGGCGTCGCAAAGGAATTAGCTGCCGTTCCTCCGACGATCACCCAGTCGCCAGAGTCGTTGTTGCTGCTGGTCGCGCGCGGATTTTCCGCACTGGTGAACACCTTGTCGGAGCTGTCGCAGATTACGAATCCGGATTCCTGTAGCTCCTGCAGAGTCTGCTCGCACGACATGGGGGAATCGAGATCGGTCGTATTGGATGGCAACCTCGGCAAGTCGGCCACGGCAGTAAGATTGCCCGGCGGATCGGTGGACTCGTCATGTTCCTTTACTGTCTCTTCTTTCTCTTTGTACGATTTAGACGAAATCTCTATAGAATGCAAACTCAGTCCACCTGTCACGTCCTTGCAGGCAACTCCGCTAGTCGCAGCTCCCTCGCACGAGACGGACAATCTGTTACACGGTGTCATCTCCGCATCGCTGAAAACCGAAGCGATCGCGCTCGACTGAGTCGCGACGTGACTCTCGGTACGCGAAAGTGACGTGGTCGAGTTTCGGTCGCGCAATTCCGCGCGCCCGTCGTAAGTTATGATCCTCTCGCACGGCTCCAATCTCTTATCACGGCTTTCTAAATTTACAGACAACCTATGGCTAGGATCCGACGACTTTTCAGAAGACGACGCACTGGTCTCCTTCAACTTGCTCGCGCTTCCGTCGCGCTCATCGCCAATCTCTAACGGCAAAGTGAAACTTCGAAAACTTATTCTGGGGCTGTTAGCCGGTACCGGCGACGTGGAGTGAGACGTGCCCTGCAACGTAGCGGGCGTTAACGGCGTGGAGGCCTCCGACAACAACGGTAGATAGCCTGGCGTCTGTAACGGAGACGGTGTGTCGATACTGTGAATATCCGCGTTCGTCGACACCATGACCTGAAAGATTTGACAGATTAGACGTGCACGTGGAAAAATGACTCGAGACTAATTCACGTTAATCACCTGATCGGGGCTTTGGCTGTCTATGAAACGCAACTCGACGTCGCAGTGCAACCTTTCCTCCAAGCGAGATCGTTTCCTCTTGGATCCGCCGCTCGCGGCGGCACACTGATTTCCTTCGGTTCTCTGCCGACGCGGTGACGCTTCTACCGACGCCACTCCGCCACCTTCCTCCTCCGAGAGCATCCTCATCTCCCGCTCCTCGAGATCGAAATTAAGTTGTATCTCCGAGAGATCCAACGGCGAGGATGCGTTAGGCGCGTCGGCCAAGTGATCGAAGTAAGAGTCGTGCGAGACGGATCGACTGTGACCGCAGGTTCTGATGGGAGGCGGTCCTCCCAAGAGGGGACCCAATCCATCCTCGCCGTCCAAACTGTCGGCGCTCTTGACGGGTCTCAGCCGTCGCAAGGAGTTCAAGGAACTCGGCACTGTCTCCGCCTGAGGTGGCGTGCCAATTTGCCTCGTTTTCCCGACGGCGCCCCTACCGAACAGCGCCCTCCAATTGAGCGAGGGCGATCGTTTCGAGCCATTCCGCTTGCGCGGCAGCTCTATGACGGTGTGGTAGCGCAGAGGCAGGCCGGCCGGACCCGCCCCTACCTCTATATAGTCAGGCTCGCCTCTCAGGCTTCTGTTACGCGCCTCCTCCAGAGTGAGCAATCGCGCGGACGTGGTAATCGCCAAGGACTTTGGCCTGCCGACAGGTCCGTCCCCGAATATGAGCTCCGCGTAGCAGACTAGAAACTCGGTCACGACTGCCTGGACCCCGACACCCTGAAGCGCCGCCACGCCACCCACCTCCAGCTCCTTGCACCTCAAGAGATTCGGCGCCCACACGATGGCCACGTTGCGCGGGGTCATACCCGTTTCCGTGCCGCGCGCGGCTACCCGCACCAAGTGACGCATCAGATACTCCAGTGTCCTGCGTTGGATAGAGGATTTGACTGAATCGCTGCGACGGGACAGAAGGTAAAAAATGTAACTGTAAAATGCTACCTGTAGTGCGGTGGCGGTAACTTTCTAACCGCGTCTCTCATACGTCTCAGTCTCTCGGCGTCGCTGCCAGCTTGCACCGCGTTGACGAAAGTGGAGTAAAGTTGATACGTGCACAACGGATTCGGCAGCTCACGAAAGTACATCTTCAATAACGACGCTACGGAGTGGATATCTTGCAGAATACTCTCATCGGAATGCAACGCTGGTACCCTATCCTCGTCGAAGGCGTTCCGCAATTTCTGTATGTTGGACGTAACGCCACTGAGGCGATATATACCGTCGACTAGACCGTGTTTCTCTATGAATTCCGCGCAGCACGTCAAAACGGTGGGCACTGCGAAACGAGCATCTCGTTTGCAAAGCGAAATCTCCTTCGTCTACCTTCCTCTTGTACAGCTTATATGCGTCAATTATTAAACGACAGTACGCCAGAAATAAAACTCACCGTCTTGGCCAGAGTTTAGCAGATGTTCTCCCAAGTCGCAGCCGAACACGCGCTCTCGCAGTATACCCGATTGTTTCAGTCTCCTTCTAGAGGGCCGGTTCAGTATGAAGGATCTAAAAAAGGCGATCAACTTGCCGTGCTTACGGAGCACGGGCTTAACCGGTAACCTCGACCTGACCGTCGTCGAAACAGTCAGGTGACGCGGCACCTTGTCCCCGATCACGGCGACGCACTCGGCCGGGAAAAACCCAACCGCGAATCCGTGCTTCCCGCGCCACCAGGTACTTTCCCCCGGAGGAGGCATGTCTATAACGGATATCATGTCGCCCACCTGTTTGTCGACATAAATCATTTTCGATAAGCCAGATCGCGCGAGTTCTCGCGGTAGAAAGGCTTTGCAGGCTCGCCAACCGCGCTCTGCGCCGCGAAGGCGTTTCCGCGGGGATTATTACCTGAAAAGAGATCTCGTCCTGGGCCTGAGCGGTGTAGGGTCTCACGGCGTACGCCGCGGCGACGGCTGGAGTATTGATGGGGCAGGAATCCGACTCCGGTACCAGGATCCGCCTGCCCCTGTTGTCGAGCTGCAGCCAATTCAGCACCGGGCCGCAGTTTAGGCCTTCGTGATTCAGCTGCGAGAACCGGCTCAAGTAATCCTTGAGTATATCACAGGCATTTTTTGGCCGAACATCTGGAAGCTTCGTTAGGGAGGAAAACTTTCTGTCGAATATGCAGCGGTGCAGCTGCTTGTCGAACATGACGAAGTTGTCGTAGGACCTCTGCAACGTCCAGCACGCGTCCCCGGATGTTATTCGCACGGCGTAGCTCTCAGAGTCGTTGGAGCCCTCGTTGACGGACACCTGAAAGCCGAGCCGTGTCTCTCAGTCAAGGATCTGCCCGGCGCGTACTCGCGCACGCGTGTTTTACGTACCTCTAGAGTACCGAGCTCGACGTGCTCGTAGTGAAAGTGGGCGCACTCGTCGAGCTTCGGGAAGCGCGCGATGCTGCTCATGTTGCTGCCGGAACTGACGGGCGTGCCGAAGTCGTCCGTCCGATTACCGCCCAGGCCCTGCAAGTTCATTCAACGAGATAAGCAAAAGTGAATTCCCTCGGGAGATTTTTGCAAATCAAACTCGCGTAAGAGGCTCGACATTCTCGTGGAGTGTCGAGCCCAGTCTGCAATAAGTTGCTAGACGTAGGGGCAACAAGTTGGACGAGAGAAGCGGCTATTAATCGCCAACGTCTGATTGACGATTAATAGCCAACTCGGTTGCTCGCGCTAGCGCGCACCGAGTGCGCGCTAAGGCTTGTTTGCAGTCAATTCTTATATTTGACAATCATCTTAAATACTCCCTGAAATATTTCGCAACCAGTAAAATGATCTGTACAGCATCCATGCGGACCGTGTTTTTGGCTAAATACTCTTTGAACGTGTACTTAGGACAAAGTTACGCTATAAAAACTGACTATAAACTGGCCTCAGTGTGCAGCACTCAGTGCTCGCACTAGCGCGCGAGCAATCGAATTCGCTACAAGATTCAAGTTAATCGTGCAACCTTAGGCCCGGCTTCACCAAACGTCGCTTAACTTTAATCTCAGTTCAATTCACGTTTGTCTCTTTCCGCAGTAACATTTGGAAAGAGGCAAAGGGCGTACTAAGCCGAGCTTAAAGTTAAACAACGTTGGGTGAAACCGGGCCTACGGGCTAAGGTTCCACGAACGTCGGTTGACTGTTGACCAGAGATTTCGTCGACTCCCTATCCTTCTCTATCTTATTATCGAAGAAGAAGGAGAGAGAATCGATTGTCCATCAGTGAACCGTCTGGAAAACCGGGCCGAACGGCTCGTTGCGGAACGGAGCGATTATGCGGATTGAACCTTCGCCTGGGACTCGATGTCGGTGAGCCGGTGGGCGCGGGGTCTCTCCTGCGTCGGCGGCCCGGGCATCTTTTGCAGCCTCTCCGTGGACGAGGACGAGGAGGACGAGGATCCAGGCCTTTGACCGGACTTGCCACGCGCCAGGGTGACGGCGGGTCTTCACGTTCCCCTCGATCGGGCCATCGCTCCCTGTTCGCAGTTTCTCTGCACAGATACAACGCGGAACTTGAGCGTCGTCCCCGGGGAGTCGCGCCAGACGCCGAACGTCTTGTTCGCGTCTCTCTCTCTCGGGAAAACGATCGCCCACTGACGTCTCGCTCTACCTCGGTGCCGTTCGCTCGGGGGCTTTAATAATTAAATGCAATAAGCGGACGGCCCGCCTCGTGCGAAAATCGATAGAAATTCGAGTGGCCTCGTGCCGCGCAATTATCGACCGACGTTTCCTTCCCGTGAGCGATCGTTTCGCGACGGGAACGATCGCTCTCGGAGGGGGAGATCCGGCCGCGACGCTTTTTTTCGCTCGGCGGCTCGCCATATGCGCCGCACGTCGCGCGTTATCCAGCCGACGGCGGGCGAAACTAAAAGCGTAAGCCGCGACTAAGTGAAAAGAAAAAGAAGAGGAGGAGGAGGAAGAAAAACAGAGTAGTTCGTCCCTTCTTAGCTGTAGCTCCCTCTCGGACGGTGTTGCGCGAAGCGGGTTCTTACCGCGAGGATAAACATGACGGGTGAATTCGCTCAGCGCCCCGTCGCTCCGGCTGACAGTCGTCGGGACGCGTCGTCGGTCACCAGGAGGCACGGACGCGAGTCGCGTCGGGGCGTTTCGGCTCGATCGAGCGCGGGCAGCGGCGCGCGGGGGCCGCCGGCGCGCTTAACGAGGCGAGTCTATTATCTAAGGCGCGCGGAAGTGCCAATAACCCGAAGGCGGCGGCGGCGGCGGCGGCGGCTCCGTTTCGGACTGCGGACGGGGAGGGTCGGCACGCGCGACGTCGCGCCGCGCGCCGAGATTTTTCCCCCCGACACCGCGGGCGGCGGGGAACAACAAAGTAGCGGATTCACGCACGCGACTCGCGAGCGCGAGCGAGGGGGGACCGACGTGTATATTTACATCGCGAGAGCGCACCGCGACGTTGAACGGCGGGAGGGGAAGGATCGCGGGTGCACGGGGACGGACGGAAAGAGCGAGCGAGCGAGAAGGAAGGGTTGATATCGGACCTTTCCGCACCGGCGAAATCAGGAAGACTGCGAACAGCTGTGGGTCTCCGCAGTTTCTCCCCCTCTCCCGCCCCTCCCGCTCGCACGACGCTGCGTGGTCCGAATCCTCGCACGGGGGATATAACGGCGCTATTATGTCACGAGCGGCCTCTCCTTCTCTCTCTCTCTCGTCCAGCGGGACGTCCAACGCCTCGTCACGCGCACTCGGGCGCGGGTAAAACTCTGGAGGGGGGGGGGGGAGGGAGGGACGGACGGGTCGCGCGATGCGACGCTACGAACGGGGCCGCGCGCTCGCTCTCATTCCCGCATCCTCTCGCTCTCGGTGTCCCGCTCTCCGGTGACTCCGGTGCGTACGTACACGCCGGCGCGCACTCAAAGCGACAGAGAGAGAGAGAGAGAGAAGAAAAAAAAGAGACAGACGTACCTGTCGTTGCTCCCGTTTATGAGAACCCCTGGTGGTCAGCCGGAGAGGACGGTACGCGCTCCCGCGCCGTGTCTGTAGCCTCCATTCGCCTCCGTTTACGTCCGAGCGCCGCGGCGGCGGCGGCGGCGGCGGCAGCGACGGCGACGTTGACGTCGAGGCTGGTGCACACGCGAGCCGAGTCCGACGCGACGGCGGTCTCGTTGCCACGTTCCCACTCCGCATCACCGCCCGCCGCCGTCGACGACGAGGCGCGAGAGCACGAGCGTTGCCGGGGCGGCCGCGAAGCTAACCCCACCGTCGGGATCCCAGCCTCGCGACGATCAAAGACGCGCTTCGGCTCTCTCGACGCGCTGCCCACCCGCCCGCCACCACCACCACCCGCCGACCCACCTATCCGCCACTACTCCCGCGACCTAACCTAACCCAGCTCGGTTAACCTAGCTTGCTGCGGCGGCGCGCGGCGCAGGCGCAGGCCGCGCAGAGCCGCCAACGTTCAGCGAGCGAGGCGGATCCACTTCGCTCCACCGATTACGAGGGGGGGGAGTCAATTCTGCATCTGACAATACGCGCCTCTACAAACGTCTCCAAGTGTTCCTCGATCTCCTCCTTCTGCTTTTTCCGAGGAGTACTTGGCAACATTTGAAGAGACAGCTTGTCCGCAGCCTTGTCTCCTTCGGGGAATAGCGGCTGGAAAGAGACAAAGCTTTGAACTTCTAGCATTTTCACCGTAGCGCAAGATACAGAATTGACCCCGCGAGATGCGTGCACAGTTTACGCACATAAGACAAGCAAAATTCGCGCGCAAGAATCGTTTATGTCTGAGCGGCAACTTTTCTTTCGTTTAGCACAGCGAGATAAGATTGTTGCTCGACAGATCACGTACCGAGTGAATTCATCTCGGCCGGGTCTCGGCCAGCGTTCAAGGCTCAAGTTGAATTCATCCCGGGTTCTCGTCCCTCTCGTCCACCGTTGCCTGCGTCCGTCTCCTCCGTCTCCTCTGACTGTCGCAGGATCGACGACAGATCGACGACAATTTGGCCGAGAGCGCGGCTCGCGCGTCAGACGAGTTGACCGACCGCGTAAGTTCGAAGCAACGATCTCGAAATTGCGCGCTCACGGAGTGAATCACGATATCGCCCAGCGCGTTGCTCAGCGCGCGACAGGACCTGGAATCCCTGTCCGAATCGCCGCGGCGGCCGCGGCTATCTTCGATTCCTCGACTCATACCTGCTTCGTTCTCACGTACGCGGCCGCGGATCAAGGGGACTGCACGTAAATTAAAAGCCGCTGATGGCGGGCTCGATCGGTGTCGATAAGATAGGAGACGGAATTATCGACACTTTAAGTTCCAAGTTCTACCATAGATGTCACCTCAGACTTCGTGTTCGCGATGCAAGAGCTAGGACATAGAGACAGTAGACACCGGAATTAAGTTGGCGCAAGTGGAGCAATTGTGGATTCTAATGGAGCAATTCGGGAGCAATCGTTTGAGCTAGCTGTTTTATACCAAAATATGAACTCTCAGCGCCAACTTAATTCCGGTACTAGAGACCAGTACGGGAATTTTGTAAGTTGCAATCGATGCTTTTCGGTATCGTTAACTAGCGACAGCCAACGGCGAGGACGATCTTCGAAAAGGAAAAGCGGTAAAACCTGGCGACTGGCGTTTGCGACTACTGCGAGCGCTGTTTGCGTTCATGCGATTGGTTACTTGCGACTAATGCAGAACGAGACCTTTACGGGGCTCGATCATAAATCTTTATCTCTAGCGTAGACTTGTCAAGAGCGAGAAGTTTCATTATCAAATTCAACATATTGTTCACTTTTCACGAGTTCACGCTTGACGAAAAGATTCGTGCTCGAGTCTCGGGACAACCGCCAAGCCGTTCAACGCTTATCCACCGAGTGCGCGCGCGATATATCGCCGTTTTCGGTGACACGGCGCACCTGCATTATGCGTCGCGCGCGGTCTCGATCGGTAAGAACGAGCGCGGGACCAACGGCAGTGTTGTGTGCTACGCTCGGGTGTACTTTTCTCTCCCTTTTTTCCGTCTCGGTATACGCGCGATCCGGTAGCGATCGCCCGCGTGCGCAGAAGGGAAAACAAATCTCCACCGGGACAAATGGTCACGCGGTGACGGTGACTCAGGCTCGTCGCGAGAGGCGACCCGCGCGAACAACGATCGGCGGCCCGCGCGTCAGGTGGTAACACGTCGCATCCGGAGCGCACGCACAGTGGACGGGTTTGGTCCGCCGAGTCTCGATGCCCCTCGCGGAACCGCCGACCCGTCTCGAATGACAGAACGAGACCGCGCGGACGAACCTAACCTCGAGGAGGAGCAGCGGACCGCTCTGGCGCGCAGGATCAGACACCGGTGAGTCGACGTCGCGGCCTCTGTTTTAGTTTCGCGCGCTCGCCCGGGGTCGGATCGCGGGGCGAACGGCGCCGCGACCCCTCCCGAAAACCGCCCGCGCCGCGACTCTCTCTCTTTCTCTCTCTCTCTGGTGCATTGACCACGCTCGCGAGCGCGGCGCGGATCGCGCGGACGTCACGCCGCGCGCGCGGGCCAATCGGCGCGGCCCGTGCGTCGCCTGACACTCCGCCCGGCCAATCGGCGCTTCTCCCTAATTTTTTGACAATCTCGCGTGGAATCTGCGGACCGCGCGACAGTCGCCGGATCCGTGCGCGATTCAAAATGCGACTTCGAGAGGGACGCCGCCGCCGGTGGGTCCTCGCCGCGACGAGGGAAAGCGGCGCTGAGGAGAGAAAGGAGCGTATGAATGCCGAGTCGAACGCCGTCCGTCCCGCTCCTGCACCCGCTCGCGTTTCTCCTCGTAGCGCAAAGCGGAGCGTACGGCAAGTCGAACGCCCTGCTGTCAAAACCCTGTTGACAGACGGTAAGCGTCATTTTCCGCGCGGAGGCGACCCGTGTCTTTCCACGCCGGGGCGGGAAACCTCCGCAAGAGTCTGGTTCTCAGTCGCGCGCCGTTACTTTTTATTACGCGCTCGTCTATCCTGGACTCTCGTCTTCGCGAGACCGCTCGCTCGCTCGAGAAGCTCGCGCTCCGCTCGCTCAATATAAACAAGAGCGCGCCCGCGCTTGCGGCCCGACGCGCCGTGCTTTTCCGACTGTCGCAAGTCCGCCTTGCTCGTGCACAGAAGGAAAACACGAGGGTGACGAGAGTGCGATTGATGCGCCCGGAGACCCTGAAGAGACGAAGAGAGCGCGAGAGGAAGCTCGGGGATCTCGACTTGTCAGAAGAAAAGTTTTCACGCACGATAGTATTGTATAAAATCGAGGGGTAAACCGCTGGGGGGCATCGTGGTGTACAGATTTGTGGCATTACTCGGCGTCACTAGGCATTTTTTGGCCTCAAGCCCAATGTCCACGGTGCTAGAACTTGGTCCAAGTTCTAGCATCGCGGATATTGGCCTTCAGGCCTTGCTGGGGCAAAAGATGTAAGATAATAAGGTAAAGGAATGCCCACTGGGTATCAGTGGACATTGGTGTGCACGATTTTGGTCAACGGTCTACTCCTCGTATAAAATCACAGTTGAAATATGTCCATACACATTTCTGCACTCGTTTGACCGGTATTCATTATAGCCTAACCGATTAATTATTACATGTCGCGTGAGAAATTGCTAACCGGGGAAGGATCGAAGGTGGACCGAGCCGGCATGCCCCGCGGCGATCGGCGACGTGATCGCCGCGTGGCCGGCGCGCGGCGACCCTTGCACCCACGTTCGGCGGACACGAACCGCATACGCCGCCCCCCGCGCCGCCACGAGCCGAGTGATGCACACAACTCCCGGCGAATCAGTGCAGCGCGCGCGCGACCCGGAGCGAATCGTCGCCGGTCGTCCTTCAGTACCCTGTCAGCGCGCGCGACTCTTCCACGCGGTCCCGCCGGCGTTGGCTCGCCTCGATCGCTCGCTCTGTACATGCCGCTTGACGCGGGGGTGGAGCAGGTGGTGGTGCCCAGGTGGAGAACGTGACCGGAATATGCTACGCCGTCTTCTGGACATCCTGTACGGTACTTGCTCCGCAATTCATATCGTATAGTCCCGCGTGTCTACGCACATCCCGTTTCTCTCTCTGTCTCTCTTTTCCTTGAAACAAGCCGCCACGGTAGCCACGGTGTGGGCGCTCTTTCTTCTTCTTCTTCTTCTTCTTCTTGGCCTTCTTTTCCTTCTCCGCTTTCACCCCTCGACGCGAAGGGAGCGATTTCCCAGCCGCGCCGCCCACCTGGCCAGGAGCTCCACGTCTCCGCGCGAGTACCCCCCTGGTGAGTAGCTTCTGGACCTTCCCCGGCGGGGAGGCGCCGTGGTCCAAGTCGCGCTGTGTCTTCAACGAGAAACGGCGTTTTCCACCCCGATCTCGGGCATGTACACGCGCCACTGTATTTTTGAAGGTAACGCCGAGGGCGCGTCGGAGCGAACGTCCTTCGGCACGGCGGGATCCAGCGAGGAGAGTCCAGCGCTCCGCGGCGTCGATTCCCCGAGGTATTCCGCTCGCGCGACCGAGATGTCGGAGACGACGCCGGTGAGCTTCGTCGTCGGGGAGCCCGAGCACGAGCCCGACCCGAATTGCGATACCGATCCTAGCGAGGTGCAGGAGAACGAGGATAGCTTCCCGGCCGACAGGAGCGTTCGCGGCAAGTTGCCGGCGCAGAGCAATGCCGCGACGGGACTGGTCGAGCGCCGCAGGCGGCTCAGGTGATTTTTGTTTCTTTTTTTTCCTTCCCTCTGCCCCCGTCGTCGGCAGGCAGCAGATAGCGATTCACGGTGTTCCACCCTCCTCCTCCCACGTCCACCCTCTGCGGATGAGAAAGAGAGAAGTCACGGCGCGCTCGAGGGATGAAACGCCAAGTCGGCGAGTCCCCCACCTACGTCAGGGGCCCGCGAGAAAACTGGGCTGCGCGTGACCCATTTCACCTCTGCGGCGTCCGCGCGCGACAATGAACGTTTGAATATTCGTTTGTCATACCGTTTAGTCGTTTTTCATATTGTATAGTTGCTTCCGTGCGGCTTATGTAATGGCGAATTCGGTTGCCTGCGCCGACGCTGGCACTGAGCGCGCGTCAAAAGACTAGTTCATAGTCACGTCCGAAAACTATCCAGCGAGAAAAATGATCCTTACGAATGCTAACAAGTATTTCAAGAGGTATTTAAGATGATTCTTGAATACTAGAATCGACAGGAACAAGCCTTAAGCCTGATAGTACATTCGTCGTACGACAACTGCAGGGTCGGGAAGTAACTCGTTACTTGTGACGAAGTTAAGTTAGAGGAAACTAGTTTTTGGTAACTCTAACTTAACTTACGACAAATGTAATATTAGGCCAAGTCCCAGTCTACAATAGGTGATTTAAGCCCTAAGCTTTAAGAAATTAGCCAATCACGGTCAAGTATGAGTAGAATACGCGACGTTGATTAGTCAATTTCTTAAGGCTTAGGGTTTGAATCTCTATTGTAGACTGGGACTAACGCGTTACTTTTCAGAATTGGTAACTAGTTACATCTTAGCAAAAAAAAACCTGTAACTAGATACTTTTATTAAGTAACTTTCTCAACTCTGGACAAATGTAATATTAGCCTTAGTGCGCACTCAGTGTGCACTGGTTCAAGCAACCGAATTCGCTATGAGAGCTGCGTTCGGAAACGTCACTCGAGTGCCCCACTGTATCATTTTGTTCTTGTTTACCATTTGGTAAGCACCAAAGATAAAATGATACACTAGGGCACTCAGGTGACGTTCCCGAACGCAGCCAAGATACCGACATTCCGCAGAAGCGCGCTTTTCGCGGGCGCTTTCCCTCGGAATCGTTATCAGGAAGCGTTTTTGCGTTTTCAAACTGTATATATGCGCAGATTAGCTCCTCTACACTGCGAGCTGCATGATTCCGACCTTACGCGGTTATCGCGGCTGGCTATCGCTTATTTAAAATACTTTCAAAGAGCCGATAACGCAAAAACTGTCTTTTTTTCGGTTCTTTTGCATTTCACACACGCGCACGCGCGTGCAACACACACACACACACGCACAAACGTTGTTCGCACACAGTTTACGTAAACGCGAGTTGGGCTAATTTGTCGTACGAATGCACGAATTTTTCAAGCGTGTCGGTTGGCTGCGGAATTGAAAAATCCTTGAGTGTTCTGGAAATTTTCTATTCTGCGGCCACTCGACACGATGGAAAATTTTGTCGTACGACAAATGTAATACCAGCCTAAAGGCCTGAGCAAAATGGCTGTCTTGTACTCTTAAGACATAAGATAGTTACTGTGCGTTACCTCAAGACAAAGGCTTAAAACACAAAACATTGTCTTAAGGCTATCTTAAGAGTATAAGACAGCCATTCTGCTCAGGCCCTTAGGCTGGTGGCGGAGAACAATCCGTAAACGCTCTGTCTTGAGCCGTAGACGTAAAGCAAGGTAGGGAACAACTTAAGTCGTATACATGATACAAGAGACTCACGATTTAAGTTTTTCTCTGCCTTGCCTTACGTCTACGATTAAGACAGTCTTGAGCTTTTGCGAATCGTTCTCTGTTACCAGCCTAAGGGCCTGAGCAGAAAAATTATTTTGTATTCTTAAGTCAGACAAGACAGTTATTGTGCGTTACTTTAAGACAAACATTTAAAACACGAAACATTGCCTTAAGCGTACAAGACAGCCATTCTGTTCAGGTTTTAACAAACAAGGTGTACGTAAATGTGACGTTATCGCGCAACCTTCGACCACCTTTCGCCACGTGATTGTACCACGGTGTCTTCCTTCGAGAATTGACTGAACGGCTCTCGTCTCTGCGCGCGACAATATATGATGTACGAAACATCGAATGCGTATAGCAAACGGTTGCGTAATGTGTTTTCACGCCGTCTCAATTTTAGAGCGTGTCGTAATTCGAAATCTTTACGTTGTTCTCGTGCGTGCTCGAACGTAAACGCGAATGCAGTTCTCGAGTACAAAATATCAAATGTAAACGGCGCAAAATTGGATCGCACGGGGGAGGAATATAATTAAGGGAGGGGGGGGGAAGAGGTGAAAGGCCTCTGAATTCCTTCGGCGCGTAATTGATGACGGTTGCTTTTCGCTCGACACGCGAGCGAGCTTAATAAGCAGATTTTGAAGCGTCGCGCGTCGAGCGCGTGATTGATACGATACGATATCGATACGCTGTATAAATATAATTTTCTAATCTCCCTCGCGCCGCTGTTACAGCAATGTTGTTTATTTTGATAAACAAATGTCGATGTAGGAAAGTGAACGAGATACGATACATCTTCCGAATTGCTGTGAAGGCTCCCGAAAAGAAATTATCAAGGAAGGAGAGAATGCCAATGTGAGCCACAAAATGAACAGACCTCAGTTCTCACAATATAATTCTTCGATTTCTATTTAATATATACGTTTCGACCCTTCTTCGGGTCTTCTTCAGTAACTACTTTATTATTAAGTTTGACTCGTTCTGATAATGCTATGTCACAGTCAGTTTAACAGCGTCGTCACGGACTCATCCCTAGTCGAGTTAATCAGTCCTCTTTATGTCAGGCATTTAGAGATTTACCGATTGACAAAATTAGAGGATTGACTTCGATGCTGCGCCGATCTATATTTGCGATTACGAGGTACACGTTTTGATTATGTTGCTTCCAGCTATAGATATATATATATATATATATATATATATATATATATATATTATACATTTGATTATACTTACACTTCTTTGTAGTTACTGAAGAAGACCCGAAGAAGGGTCGAAACGTATATATTAAATAGAAATCGAAGAATTATATTGTGAGAACTGAGGTCTGTTCATTTTGTGGCTCACATTGGCATTCTCTCCTTCCTTGATACGATACATCTTGTTTCGAAGTAAGTTTCGAAGACGCTTCGGTCTTATCTCCGTGCTTTCATAAGCACAATAACCGAAGGAGACTTGATTCACGCGGGAATCCGACCACGATGCCCTCTCGAATCAACGAGTACTTTTTCCCCGTACTCGAGAATAATAATATTTATTAAACCAGCGTACACAAAGCCAAGAAGTGGACTTGATTTACAATAACAAGCTCATCTTAAGGTCATTCGCCATTTTTCTGCCCGAAAAAGAGACGTATCAACAGGATCAGTGACATAAAATGGTTGAAACAATTTCATTAATGAATGAAAAACATCAGATAGTTGTCTTAATAATCTGGATATTTAGTTCTATGCTTAAGATGGTTCCTGCATAAACTGACCAAAAGTAGAAAAAAGTGAAATTTAAGTATGTTGTAGTTGTAAGTTTTATCGTATCAGTTGTTAATGAATTCCCTAAATTTTTAATGCAAAAATATCCATTCTTTTTTTCCTGTACTCATTTCCGCGTTGAAGGAAACTACATAAATGTTTAATGACCGAACGAGGCTGATTGCGAAACGCATACACGAGCAGAGTAGTGGGGTAGTGGGGATAAATAAATATTTAAACAAAAAAGACCGTCCTCGACTATAAAATCGCAAACTTTTTGCTTTCCGATTTGCCCCGAGATTGTCGCGACGTCCGTCCGCTTCAAAGCGCCGCGCCGTTTAGAAACCATCGCGTTTTTTTCAATCATAAATACGCAATCGGTGAAAAATTAGAAAGGCCCTGCATGCGCTTCTCTCTCTCTCTTCTCGAGCGTCACGCATACAAAAAAAGAGTAGGGGAATTCGCGTGTGCACGAGGAAGGAAAGTCGTTTGGATAATCGTCAAGAAACTCGCCAGTGAACGCTCGTCTTCCTCGACCGCTGACGGAACACTCGAAACGTCACGATAAAGTTTATTTCGTTCAATTTCCTTCACATAGAGGGAATTCCACGGTGCAGGACAGTTCGTAAAATTCTGTTGCACGCAATTGTGACTCGCAAGTATTTACGACAATGACGCGCGTCGTGGAATTAATTAATGTTTCGCATTTTAAAAAGTCCCATATTTTAAAAAGTCATCGTCGAAACGAGTGGTCGCAGCTCCGCCACTTGGTAGGCAAAAATCCCGCATTTTTTTGTCGTTGTCCAGTCCCCGGTAAAAAATTTTTTATGCACGCGTACGCACACAGAAAACAAATGCTGTTGAATAAAAAAAATTAAGTTGCTTGAATTTAACGTTGACGTCACGGGCTGCCACAAACATAAATAATTCACTCAATTGTATTTGCTATGGATTTTAATTTTAAGCATTGAACTAAATATCCAGATTATTAAGACAACTATGTTGTTTCAACAATTTTATTTCAAACATACTGATATTGTTGATACATTTTCTTTCCGTGCATGAATATATAGAGGAAAGTCCCCTATTATGAGGTAGGCTCCTAATATGAGATAGCGGGGTTTCTGTTAAATTAACAGACATAATTCGTCGATTCCCCCATGAATTTATTGCCCTTGGAGTAAGATTTGTTTTGTGCAAAAATTATCATTTGATTGTATAATCGTTGCGAAAAAGAATTTGGCATTGAATTTGGGTGTTGAAACCCTGCTATCCCGTAGTAGAAACCGATTTCACAACAGAGAACTTTCTTTTATTATATAAAATTATACATGAAATATGTCCATACATATTTTTACATTGTATATTTCTATATAATTCTACACAATTCTACACAGTTCTATGTAATTTTTTTGATAGATTTATACACGCTTTTATATAAAAATTTATTTAAAGGGAAAAATTGCTCATTTTTTATGTATATAACTTTGTACAATTATATACATATAATTATAAATGAGAAATTTTTCACATTAAACATTTTTTTCGTATGAAAGCATGTATAAATCTATAAAAGTATACAGAACTGTGTAGAATTAATGTATATTTTTATAGAATTCTATATATTTATTCACGTTCCTGCATGAAAAATGTTTTACCGGGCTCCGCAGATATCTCCAAACGAGATAATTTGTTTGTTCCCACGTTTATACATTATCACATCCTTCATTATGATTATCTTCTTTTTTTAACGTTCGTTTTAATTGGCCTCTTTTGCGACGTACCACGCAACGAAAAGCCCTCGACATGAGAATGACGAGCTTTTGGTGCTTTATGTCGACGTGCCGACGTGCCGACGTGGTAAACGTTAAAGTTGATTTGCAAGATTATTTGACACCTCGGATTAAACGAAATAAAATAACTACAAGCTGTTCCGTGGACGATTGTAGCGTTGAGCTACTCGATTCTTGTCCTAAACTTCGCAGTCGCGCGCATGTAGTTGTTTCCGCCATTTTGAATTTTACAAACATTTAAAATCGAGACTCGCACGATGAAGCGGGGAAAAACAGTCGTCTTGTTAGAAATCACACGGAAGTATCCGAGCCAGAAGAGCTCGGATAATCCGTCGACTCGTGTCTCCGAAATGAGCACGGCGAGAGACGGCGAGGAAAATGCCGAAGAGAAGCATTTATCGGTCTTAAGATTAACGTAAGTTTTACTTTGCGGATATATAGAGATACCTTGAATAATTCGCAGACATTGATCGCAGAGAAAATTTCTTTTAAAATGTTTCCTAAAAATATTGTAATCGCGGGACTACGCGGCATTTCAAGGAGTTTATGAGAGCGTTTTGAAAGTTTACCATACATTTCACTAGTAAAATGTATGGTAAGGCAAACTTTCCAAAAGTTCTCATAAAATTCTTCGAAGTGCCGTGAGGTCACACGATTACATGACTTTTGGGATAAATTTTAGGAGAAAATTCTCTCCGTGTAACATCAATAATATCAATAATGAATACTCATGAACGCGTATATGGTTCGACAGACCCAGCATGTCGCAGGGCACGGTGATGATCCAGATGCAAAGTCGGCTCCATGAGAAGGACTTCACCGTTGCGACTCCCGAAGAGTTTGTCCGTCGCTTCGGAGGCACTAAAGTTATCAACAAGGTAAGCGTTCGCTTCGAGCTCAGACGAATGGTTGATGGACCGATCTTTGCATTGTGGACCCTCGTTTCGTAGGTGCTGATCGCCAACAATGGTATCGCGGCAGTTAAATGCATGCGGTCGGTTCGACGCTGGTCGTACGAGATGTTCAAAAACGAGAGAGCCGTGCGCTTCGTGGTGATGGTCACGCCAGAAGATTTGAAGGCGAATGCGGAATACATTAAAATGGCAGACCAGTACGTGCCTGTGCCGGGCGGGTCCAACAACAACAATTACGCCAATGTGGAGCTGATCATCGACATCGCGATACGTACCCAAGTCCACGCGGTTTGGGCCGGATGGGGCCACGCTTCGGAAAACCCTAAGCTTCCGGAGCTGCTCCACAAAAATAACATCTGCTTCATTGGTACGAGTAACACGAAAAGTTAGATTAACATGTTAAAGAAAACGAAATATATGTACGCATAATTTGCGTTTCTCCGGCTGTTATTTGGCCAATGTTGTCGATAAAAATCGACAAGATTATCGCGACAGCATTTTAGAATCAATATTCATTAATTAAACCCTGGCTGAGCTATTATTTTTTGCAATATATTTAAAATTAAAATTATTTTGACACTAACACCCTGTCTTGGCTCTTACTCCTTTATTACTTCGTATTTGCGTTTTCACGTTAGAGCCTTATGAATTTTATTACTCATAAATTTCGATGCGCTCTTACATTCTCATGTTTTTACATTGTTCGGCAGGACCGTCCGAGAAAGCCATGTGGGCTTTAGGTGACAAGATCGCATCCAGCATAGTCGCTCAAACCGCGGACGTGCCGACGCTGCCCTGGTCGGGGTCGGAGTTGACGGCGCAATACAGCGGGAAGAAAATCAAGATATCGTCGGAACTTTTTAAAAAGGGATGCGTCGCCACCGTGGAGGAGTGTCTGGCAGCGGCCAACAAGATCGGCTTCCCGGTTATGGTAAAGGCAAGCGAAGGTGGTGGTGGTAAAGGAATCAGGAAGGTTGAAAACGCCGAGGAATTACCCGCTTTGTTTAGGTAAGGTCCAAAATTCCGCTCCAAAAAAAAAGACTAATTCCACGGCACTGTGTAAATCCATTTTCATCGCAAGATTTTCTGACATTTAGGCAAGTTCAGATCGAAATACCCGGTTCGCCGATATTCATTATGAAACTGGCCAAATGCGCTCGCCACCTGGAGGTACAATTACTGGCCGACAATTACGGTAACGCGATATCGTTGTTCGGGCGCGACTGCTCTATTCAGAGGAGACATCAGAAGATCATCGAGGAGGCACCTGCCGTGATCGCCCAGCCAGAGATTTTCGAAGAGATGGAAAAAGTAAATATCACAATAATTACATCCTTGACGACGCTGTTACTGACCGCGTATTAACAATCTACTATCGAACGACAGGCCGCTGTGAGATTAGCAAAAATGGTGGGATACGTTAGCGCGGGTACCGTCGAGTATCTGTACGACACATCGGGCCGGTATTATTTCTTGGAGCTGAATCCACGTCTTCAAGTGGAACATCCTTGTACCGAGATGGTATCGGATGTGAACCTACCGGCCGCCCAACTGCAGATAGCCATGGGTTTACCGTTGCATCACATCAAAGATATACGCCTTTTGTATGGTGAAAGCCCCTGGGGGAACAATCCCATCGATTTCGACCAGCCGCGTCATAAAGCTCAACCGTGGGGCCACGTTATCGCGGCTAGAATCACCAGTGAAAATCCTGACGAAGGTGAGATTGCTTTTTACCGCAAAAGCTCCAATTTTGTAGAGAAATGATATAATTCGCTTGGATCGCTTTAGGCTTCAAGCCGAGTTCCGGCACGGTGCAGGAGTTGAATTTCCGATCGTCCAAGAACGTGTGGGGCTACTTCTCGGTTGGAGCGTCGGGAGGACTCCACGAGTTCGCGGATTCTCAATTTGGCCATTGCTTCTCTTGGGGCGAGGATCGTAATCAAGCTAGAGAGAATTTAGTCGTAGCTCTAAAAGAATTGAGCATCAGAGGCGATTTTAGGACAACGGTCGAGTACCTTATCACCTTGCTGGAGACCGAATCCTTTCAGCAGAACAATATAGATACCGCTTGGCTCGATTTGCTGATCTCCGAACGTGTGCGAAGCGACAAACCAGACGTCTTGTTAGCCGTCACCTGTGGAGCGCTTCATATTGCCGATAGAGCGATTACGGCTGCTTTTACTGGCTTTCAAACCGCCTTGGAAAAAGGCCAGGTTCAGGCCAGCAACGACTTGGATAACGTCGTTGACGTAAGTTCTTGATGTTGGTCGAACAATTTGGAACTGATTCCACATATTATGGACTATACTTTCCTCTTATCTTTATTCTTTTTTATTATATCACGTATTGCAGGTGGAGCTTATTAACGACGGATACAAATATAAAGTACGGGCTGCCATGTGCGGTCCCAATACCTATTTCCTCGTGATGAACGGTTCTTTCAAAGAGATCGAAATCCATCGCATGTCGGACGGAGGATTGCTGCTTTCGCTGGACGGTGCCAGTTTCACGACTTACATGCGCGAAGAGGTGGATCGTTATAGAGTTATCATTGGAAACCAGACGTGCGTTTTCGAGAAGGACAACGATCCATCCTTACTAAGATCACCGTCGGCCGGCAAGTTAATCAATTTCTTGGTCGAGGACGGCGGCCACGTCAACGGCGGTCGAGCGTACGCCGAAATCGAAGTGATGAAGATGGTCATGACCGTCACCGCTAGCGAGGCGGGGAGCGTTTTTTACGTCAAGAGGCCGGGTGCTGTGTTAGATGCCGGCACATTAATCGCGCATCTTGAACTGGACGATCCGACATTGGTGACGAAGGCGCAAGACTACACGGGGCAATTCCCCGCGGCAGCAACATCGGCCATACCGGAAAAGCTGAATTACCTTCACACCAAGTATCGAAATGCTTTGGAGAATACATTGGCCGGCTATTGCCTGCCCGATCCGTATCACTTGCCGCGTCTACGCGAGCTAATCGAGAAGTTTATGTTTTCGTTACGCGACCCTAACTTACCGTTGTTGGAACTGCAGGAGGTGATCGCGACGATATCCGGCAGGATCCCCGTCTCTGTGGAGAAGAAGATTCGTAAACTGATGTCTCTGTACGAGCGCAACATCACGTCGATCTTAGCTCAATTTCCCAGTCAGCAGATTGCCGCCGTGATTGACGGGCACGCGGCGACTTTGTCCAAGCGGGCCGATCGAGACGTGTTCTTTCTGACCACTCAAGCCATCGTGCAACTGGTACAAAGATACCGGAATGGTATACGCGGCCGAATGAAGACCGCCGTGCACGAGCTTCTTCGACAGTATTACACGGTCGAGAGCCAATTCCAACAAGGTCATTACGACAAGTGCGTTTCCGCCCTGATAGAAAAGTACAAGGACGACGTGGCCACGGTGACCGGTACGATTTTCAGTCACAATCAAGTGACGAAGAAGAACGTCCTAGTCACTATGCTGATCGACCATCTGTGGGCGAACGAGCCCGGTCTCACGGACGAGCTTTCGAGCACGCTGACGGAACTGACCAGCCTGAATCGCACGGAGCATAGCCGCGTCGCGCTGAGAGCCAGGCAGGTGTTGATCGCCGCCCATCAACCCGCGTATGAGCTCAGGCACAATCAGATGGAGTCCATATTCCTTTCCGCGGTAGACATGTACGGGCACGACTTCCATCCGGAGAATCTGCAGAAACTCATCCTTTCGGAAACGTCCATCTTCGACATACTTCACGACTTCTTTTATCATGCGAATCGCGTGGTGTGCAACGCAGCCCTGGAAGTCTACGTGCGACGGGCCTACATCAGTTACGAGCTGACGTGTTTGGAACACTTGGAGCTGTCCGGCGAGGTCCCACTGGTGTATTTCCAATTTGTTTTACCGAGCAATCATCCTAATCGTCAGAATCAGTCCCTGGTGGATCACAGAGCCGGCGCGATGGCGGCCTTTCAGGATCTCGATCAGTTCAGCCAGTACGCGGACGAGATCTTGGACTTGCTGGAGGATCGGTCGGGCCCCATACCGATAGTGTCGGCGAAACTGTTGGACGCGATGGAAGCCGCCGGTAGCGAATCGCGGCACAGTACGTCGATCAATGTCTCCCTGAGCGCCGACACGACAGCCGCGACGACAGCGACGACCACCAGCGACAAATCCGCCGAGCCGGTTCACATATTGAGCATCGCGGTTAGAGAGACTGGCACCGAGGACGTCGTCATGGCCAAGATGTTTGGCGACTGGTGCGCAAATAACAAGGACGAGCTGATATCCCGCGGCATCCGCAGAGTCACGTTCGCCGCGCTCAAGAGGAGGCTGTTTCCCAAGTTCTTCACCTTCCGCCAGCGAGAGGGCTTTGTCGAGGACAGAATCTACCGGCACCTCGAGCCCGGCTGCGCCTTCCAATTGGAATTGAATCGCATGCGAACCTACGATCTCGAGGCGCTCCCGACGTCCAACCAAAAGATGCATCTGTACCTCGGGCAAGCCAAGGTTGCCAAGGGCCAGCAAGTGACGGATTATCGCTTCTTCATCCGCTCGATCATCCGACATTCCGATCTGATCACGAAGGAGGCCAGCTTCGATTACCTTCACAATGAGGGCGAGCGCGTCCTGCTCGAGGCCATGGACGAGCTGGAGGTCGCGTTCTCGCATCCTCTCGCCAAGCGCACCGAGTGCAATCACATCTTCCTCAACTTTGTGCCCACGGTTATCATGGACCCCAGCAGAATAGAGGAGAGCGTAACGAGCATGGTGCTGCGATACGGGCCGAGATTGTGGAAGCTGCGCGTACGCCAGGCGGAGATAAAGATGACCATACGGCCCGCGCCGGGGAAACCGACCTCGAACGTGCGTCTGTGTATCGCCAACGACAGTGGCTACAGCATCGACTTGCATCTCTACACGGAGGCCACCGACCCCAAGACGGGCATCATTCGCTTCGAATCCTATCCGTCCACTACGACGAACGCGGCCAACTGGAGACCGGGTCCTATGCACGGCTTACCGATCTCCACGCCGTACCTGACAAAAGATTACCTCCAGGCGAAGAGATTCCAGGCGCAGAGCGCCGGCACGACGTACGTCTACGATTTGCCGGATATGTTCCGGCAGCAGCTCGAGAAACTCTGGCAGAGACACGTTGAGGAGAGGCCGCCGAGCGAGGGCCAGAGCCCGATTCCCAATCCGGTGATTGACATCGTGGAGCTGGTGTTGGAGGGAGAGCAGTTGGTCGAGCAGAAGCGGCTGCCGGGCGAGAACGACGTCGGCATGGTAGCATGGCGGTTGACCCTGTATACTCCGGAGTATCCGAACGGCAGAGACATCATACTCATTGCCAACGATCTGACGTACCTGATAGGCTCGTTCGGAATGCGCGAGGACCTGGTGTTTTGCAGAGCCTCCGAGAGAGCGAGGCAGCTCGGGTGTCCGCGCATATACTTCGCCGCCAATTCGGGAGCGCGTATCGGCCTGGCCGAGGAGGTGAAGGCGCTCTTCAGGATCGCGTGGGAGGACGAGAACGAGCCGGAGAAGGGCTTCAGATACATCTACCTCACGCCGGACGATTACGCGCGCCTGGCGCCCTTCAACTCGGTCAAGACCTCGCTGATCGAGGACCCTGCGGGCGAATCGCGTTACAAGATCACGGACATCATCGGCAAGGGCGACGATCTGGGAGTCGAGAACTTGAAGTACGCTGGCCTGATCGCGGGAGAGACGTCGAAAGCTTACGCTGAAACGATCACAATCTCCATAGTGTCGTGCCGCGCGATCGGTATCGGCTCCTATCTGGTGCGTCTCGGTCAGAGGGTGATCCAGATCGAAAATTCGCACATAATCCTAACCGGTTACAAAGCGCTGAACGCCGTGCTGGGTCGCGAGGTTTACGCCAGCAACAATCAGCTGGGCGGCACGCAGATCATGCACAACAACGGGGTGTCTCACGCGACCGACCCTCGGGATCTGGACGGAGTGGCGACCGCCCTCAAATGGCTGAGTTACTTTCCTAAGAATAAAGGCGCCCTGTTGCCGATGCTGTTGCCCATCGCCGACCCGATCGATCGAGAGATCGCTTACGTCCCCACGAAAGCGGCCTACGATCCGAGATGGATGCTGGAGGGCAGAATTTGTACCGAGTCGAACGTTTGGGAAAGCGGCTTCTTCGACCGCGGCTCTTGGCACGTGAGTTTCGTTCTTTCCTTCTCTCGTTTTTACAGCAATTCGATGGTAAACTGTAAACCGCTCTTGTCTCGTGGAACAGGAAATAATGAGGCCATGGGCGCAAACGGTGGTGACGGGACGAGCCAGGCTCGGTGGCATACCGTGCGGCGTCATCGCTGTCGAAACGAGGACCGTCGAGCTACACTTGCCGGCCGACCCTGCCAATTTAGACTCGGAGGCGAAGACGATATCTCAAGCGGGACAAGTCTGGTTTCCGGACAGCGCGTACAAAACCGCCCAGGCTATTCAAGATTTCGGAAAGGAGGAGTTGCCGTTGTTTATCTTCGCTAATTGGAGAGGCTTCTCCGGCGGCATGAAAGGTGAGCTCGATCGCCGAGCCCGGTCGACCGCTGTTTCAGTTTCGCTAATCTAATCTCGGTTGTTCTCGCTTGCAGACATGTACGAGCAGGTCGTCAAGTTTGGCGCGTACATCGTGGACGGATTGCGGCTGTATTGCAGACCGGTAATCGTTTATATACCACCGAACGGAGAACTCAGGGGCGGCGCTTGGGCGGTAGTTGATCCTACGATAAATCCTCGTTTTATGGAGATGTTTGCCGACAACACCAGCAAAGGTGGCGTCCTGGAAGCCGACGCTATGGTGGAAATCAAATTTCGCAACAAGGACCTCGTGAAGACCATGCACAGGGTTGATCTCGTTATAGCGAAGTTAAAAGTACGTGAGCGACTTCTTCCCTTAAATCAAGCTCCCGATATGTTTATTCAATAATCCGCGGGTGTTTTCTAGGAAAAATTGTCGACCGCAAGCACGGCGGAGGAACGAGCCGAGATCGAGGCGCAGATTCGCAAGCGCGAGCAGAATTTAGAGCCAATGTATCGTCAAGTCGCCGTCCATTTCGCCGATCTGCACGACACGCCGGAGAGAATGTTGGAGAAGAATACGATTAACGAGATAATACCGTGGAAAAAGGCGCGCCGGCTGTTTTACTGGCGATTACGACGAAGGCTTTCCGAGGAAGAGATCAAGAGCGAGATCTTGTCGACGCAGCCCAGCTTCGACGTCCGACAAGTGGAAGCGATGCTTCGGCGCTGGTTCATCGAGGACAAGGGGGCGACGGAGTCATACTTGTGGGATCAAGACGAAGCCGCGGCTTGTTGGCTGGAGGCGCAACGTAAAACCGACGACAGTGTTGTATCGCGTAATATAATGTGCGTGAAGAAAGACGCGGTAGTAACGCGTATCAAGGAGGCTTTAGAAAACTATCCGGAAATAAGATTGAACGTGGTGCTGGAGATTGCGCACAGATTGCAGCCGACCGAGCGTGCGGAACTGCAAAGAACGTTATCGCAGTTAGAGACAACAGGGCAGGAACATCATAAAGACACGAGCGTTTCGTCCTGAGTGCATTTCGTATAAGCGTACCTGCTCCGTGCTACGTATTCATTCCAATTTGTTAATATTTAAAATAAATATTAATTTAAATGCGCATCAATAGTACAATTCATCATCAAAGATATATAATTATTCATATCAATCTAAATATGCCGTGGTATTAAGGGTTAATAACTGAATAGGATATTTCGCGAGGATTTAAAACGTTTCGTAGAATTTAACTTTTTCAAATTTCGACTGCAATTTCGGACACGACCATCGGTTTTTTTTTGACATTCAATGTTGGGGTGGTGTCCCAATGGTTCAAGTTTTAATAAAGTTGATAATTTAAGGAATTCGAAAACACTAGGCGAGTGTCCGACTAGCTTGTTAAATGACGTTTTCGTAATCTGTACAAAGTGTTTCGATGTTCGAAGATATGTATTTATGACAAAAATAGAAAGACACGTTACTGTCGTTTCGTGACGAGCTTGTGGATTATGAATTGTGAATACAAAGAGATGTATACCCAAAATATCGCACGTTCCTTCAGTTACGAACTCCTTGAATTCCAATACGATTCTCTCGTAGGAGAATCTATCGCAGATTATACTGTTTCTTTATCGTGACCGTTGAACTTTCTGAAATTAGACATCCGACTGCAAATCTGAATATTTAAGTTAAATTAAGTTAAAATAAATTATTATACCTGCAAGTTAATTCAAATGCAAGATCAAGAGTAAATTGTTTATTTGTAACAATTTGTAACGTGCCATTTTGGAGAATATCTTTTAATCTTCAATATTTCACAAGGCATTTCATAAATGCTCGATTAACGGTAAGACACGCCTCAGTGGGACATTCTGCATTGTATATCTGAAAGAACATGCGTTGTTAAGAGTACGGTATTCTGTATATAATTGTATACAGACACGCGCAAATATATAAAATGTATATTTATTTTTCGAAGGAAAACATTGTAGGAGACTTTAACATAGATGAACAATATGCTTGCACAACTGCCGCATTTAAATAACATCTCACGACAGACGCAAAAATGTATACATTTGTGTGTATAACGTTAATTTCTTCTCTTTCTACTAATTGTTTTTCTCTACGTTTTGCGGAAGATGTACACTTTTCTTTTTCAAACACTATCACATACTTTATAAGAAGTGCGGTCGAGGCACCGCAATTGAAATTTGTAACAGACAACTTATGGGATCGTATGCATTTACACATTTATTCGGTCTAATCGACGTCACACGCATTCTTTGGTACAGACAATACTCACTAGCATGTTCCATCATGGCAGATGATAGACACGCACGCACACGCTCTCACTCCTAAATCTTTTATACATCTCGTTTGTAAAATTACTATGTAAACTGTATATCATGTACATTCGAGAGAGAATTTCTCATAAAAAATTATAAAATTTCACACAATTCTCAAACTTATGTAGAAGAGCGTTTTCAAAAAACTGGTATTTGGCTCCGATGTACATCCGTTAGGTCATCATCTAAAGTAAGCAATACCATAAACGAAAAGAACATTGCTAATGCAGAGAGAAAGTGCCAGATATCGTGGGAGTCAAAAAAGTTCAGTAACGCGCAGGGTTTATTATACAGGCGGGATTGGGCCGGTGTGAGAGCCCAAGAAATCGTTTTATTCACGAAGAAGTACAAGGCTGCCCCCCAAAACAGCATGGATAGAAAGATATAAATCGCAGGCATAAAAAGAATCCGTTCCCTGTGGCAAAGCTGGAAACAAGATTTTCGTATTAACGCAAATTAAAAGTACTTTCTGCTTTCTTACCACTGACCACGAAAAAGAGAGAAGGAAAGGAGGAACGTACGTACCTTCATCATTATGTAAAAGAACGTGTATAAAATTAAATTGGACATCAATATTGCCAGTAAAAACGTAGCGAAGTTGCCTCGCTGATACATATTTCCGAACACCGCGAGACCGACGTTGCACAGGTTCGCCAGCACGAGCATTATGAACCTCGCGGGATAATACGGTCGAAGTAAATGCCATATACCGCAGCGTGCCTCGTGCTTGAATCTCTGCAAGATATACCAATACCTCGCCAATGCCTCGCGACTTTGATATTAAATAGATTTACCGTACCTGTATTACTCTCTTGAAAACGCTCCTGTCGAATTTGCATCGTCCCATGTAATATATTTGCACAGTCAGAAAGAAGCAGATCAGTAGATGCAGGATGGAGAATATTATCAGAAAAGACTTGGAGCCATTCAGGACGCCGATCAGTCCTGCGAATATTATAACGGCCAACATTCCAAACGTTACCGGCGCTCTAGCGTTTATGTCGGGATGGCGATTTTGATAAATCTTGATCATGCAGAGCACCGCGATCACGTACATGAAGCTGGTATCTGGAAAGCGATTGTGCGAATTTATGAAATTGAAGACAATATACTTTGCGATTGACGTTTTACTTACCAAATTGAAAATTACTACGGCTAGGGCATACGTGGTAACTCGCCGACAATATACCTTCCATTATCAACGCTGTGCCCATTGCGTAAAACAGACCGTAGTGTTGCGGTATGCCGTAGCACTTGGCATTCTCCTTGTCCGGCTCGTTGTGCTCTCGGGAGTAAGTCAGAAATATGAACAGTAAACCCAGCATAACGTATCCGAAGTTCGAGAACACGTGATTGAAATCGGACAGCAGCCCCAGCGGATGGGCGCACAGAAAGTTGTAATAGCACATATCTTGATTCCCGGTTGTATGGAGCACACGCTGGTACGTCACCGCCAGTTGCACGACCGGCAGGGTATAGAATACCGCGACGGTCGCCAAGTAATATAAATACAAACGAGATTTGTGTCGCAATATTCTCGGTTCCTTGCGAGCGAGATCGCAAACCGAGAGGATTACCTTCGATCGTATTACGTCCTTGTCGGAGAGAGCGTCTACCATTAGATCTATGTCGTCCTCGTCCAGGGACGAGTCCTCTTCCACGGAGTCCCACTGTTTCGGACTGTTCTGAAGCATTCCGATGTCAAGCGTTGCATTATTATAAACATACTGTGCAAAAGACTCGGGACGACTTTGTACATCAAGTCCAAGTCACTTTAACGTTCATTAGTTACCTCCTCCACCATCGACGGACTCGGCACGTGCTCGTTAACGTCTCGGCTCTGCTCGTTGATCGGCTCTTGCGTCGCGAGTTTCTTGTTCTCTCTGATATTGAACACTATTACGGCCGTTATGTATGAGACACAGAAACCTAATACAATCGCCGCCGCCGACCCCGACGCAACGACGTAGTCCCGTTTGGTAATGGTAGGATTCACGATTAATGTAACGTTTTTAGTGCGAAGGGGATTACTACTGGATAACCCATTGCAGTCGGTGTCCTCCCCTTTGACGACGAGTACAACGAAGAATCCCAACGGATAAGCCTCCCTCTGAGACAAGTATTGCAAGTGTTTTGTTGTAACGATTTATGTACATTGTAAAGCCCGTATTAGACTGCGGATTGAGTTTGAGATTAGATTGAAATTTGAGCAATCAGAATAAAGTTTACTAATATCAAGTTTAATGAATTTTACTATGACTGGTCAAGTCTCAATCTCAATCCATAGTCTGATACGGGCTTAACGAATGCTGTTGCATTTATGATAGCATATTGGAACAACTTTGTTACATTATGTGTATATGTAAAATACATGAATCCTACGAAAGATTATTTTAATACAGCGTCGCTTACCGGTACTGTGATGCCGCCTCTTCTGCTTATAGTCTGCCAGTGTCCAGAAAACTCGATGTTTCGTTCCAAGTCGAATACAGGGCACTGAGGGGAAAAACGACGATTCGTAAGTGACCGATTCTATCGAGAACTGCGTCGCGACTCACCGATGTATTTTGTATCGACACCGTCATGCAGACGTCATTGTCGGATTCGACGCGAACAATAACCGAGGAGTTCTCCTGTTTCGAGAATATGTAGCCGTAATATATGGGCTCGGATGGGGAGATCTGCACCTCTACTTTCTTTTCAGAACTGCGAAAGATCAAACGCGAAAATGCGTGTGAGCTGCGTCCTCTCGACAATCCTGGGGAGTCAATTCTGTATCTTGCAACACAGTGAAAATGCTAAAAGTGAACGGCTTTGTCTCTTGTTTAAAGAGACAACTAGCATTTTCACTATAGTGTGAGATACAGAATTGACCGTCTGTGCTCGCGCGGCGATACGTACCTTAAATAAAAGTCTCTGACTTCAACCACGCTGATGCCGAAGAAGACATTGTCGCGACTGGCCGTGGAGATACCGACGATAACGTAGTCCTCGTCGTCTTGTGCGTATCGATAATATTTCGTGGAACACAGAGTACGACTAGTCTTGTTATATATTACAGTGTCCAAGTCCACGCCGTTGACGAGCAGAGGTATTTGCCAGGATAGAATGCCCGTTGTCTGGCGCACTACTATTATCAACGGCAAGCTGTGGGTCGCGTTGCTTTCAATCTTGAGTCTCGCGGTTTCCAAGGACATCTACGAGCACACAATTGGATACATAGTTTCACTCGACAAGCGCCACTCGTGAATTACTTTCATCGGGGCTTACATTGCTGGCGGGATACAGAAACACGTATTCGACCGTGGCGTTGGTCACGTTGCTGTAATTCTTTTCGTACTCAGCCCGGATGACGATCGGAGAGAAAGATGGGGATGCCGGGGTCGAAGCGGCGGTCCTCGCGGCGTCAACCAGCAGCGCCAAAGCGATCAGTCTCCAAGCGTGTTGCATCTCCATCGTGATTTTGCTGGAGAAGAGACGAAATGGTTTCAACAAACTCGGCAGACTGTATCTTGGTGACGTATATCCATGTATAAAAAAAAAAATACATGACGTAAGAGATACACATGTTGCTCAATAGATATGTATATATAATATAAAAAATATATGGTGCGAGAGATAGATGATGTTTACTCAACACCAGTGTTGGTGTTGACGTAGCGATAAGCCGGAAGGTAGCTCGATAGGATATTGGAGCAAGGATGGGCGAGAGGATAAGTTACCCAAGCTGACACTGTTCACAGTGTGCCTTCCCGTTTCAGTCGACACAAAGGAGGCAAAAGTCTTTTTCTCTCCTCGCTACAAGCAGTGCCGCTTTCATTATTGCGCGGCGCATGTATACGCGAGCCTCGGTGATTTGTGGCAATTAACAGAGGTCGAGATACAAATTCATACCTTGTTTATATCTATTGGCTTGTCATTCCAAGCAGATGTCAAGCGCTGGAGCAATTTCGAGCGCACTGGGAACAGCGTTTAGTTTTATTTCACGCCTTTGCTGCTCGTAAATTCCCGTCGTGCCAGAAACGCAAGACCAAAACGTTCCAACTTGCTCGTCAGACACATCGTCCCGCACAACTACGGCTGCTACGCGTTTGACACGTTGTGAGCTATGACACATCACATATACATATAAGTATAATAGCGTGACGTATGTATGCACTAGTAGGAAAGCGCTCGACCACAGTATGTACATACGTGTAGCACGTGGTGAATATTCGAATCTTTTTCTATTTATTAAAAAGTCTAAACACGCTACAGTATTGCTGCATTGCTCCTTATGAACTAAGTCCAGAACGCCAGATTCGAAATTTACTTAACCAATTTGTTGCGAACCTCCTGGCGGAAATCCAACGTAACCTGTACATCATTTTACATTATCAAAATTTTCCCTCTCTTGACGCTGCGTCAGTGCTTGAAATTAAGTTTAAATGCCTGCAATTTACAAAATACGAAAACCCGGAAAACATTTTAATTTGACATTTGCCCACGGTCGACAAAAAGGATAGCGATTGTACCGACCGCGCGAAAGTAACGAACTTTGATTTATTTTTTATTGTAGTATAAGCCCGAGCGGAAATAGAATCAGTTGTGTAATTAGAGAATACAATTCGGCAAAATTATAATTTCCAAAAATCGTCAAAATATTCTGTGTGATCGGATAGGAATTGGATTAGTTAAAATTTCGATAATTATGGCTCCTCGAATTTTTAGTATTCGTAGTCTACAGAACAGTCGAAATTGAATATTTTTTTCTTTTTAAGTTTACCCTTTCAACCGTTACGTTATATCAGCGTATTATTTCTAAAAATTCTTGAAATCCATTGTGTTTAATTGCAAACACTGAATCCAATACTAGGCACTTCAGGTGCTGAATCTTTGTAAATTTTCCCTGACGGAAAATATGCGGGACGAGGGTCGGGATCGAACCGAGGACCCTGCTATTTAATCACTCGTGTTAGCGCAGAGCTACACGTCATCCAAAAAAAAAAATTGAATATTTGAAAAACCAATCGGCTGCCGCGCCCGAGCTTCGGTCGGCCGTCGCGCGCATAGGTGGCGCGCTTAAGCGCGTCTCGCACTCCGCCGGAGTCGCCCCTCGCAGTCGTCGCTGATTGAACGCGGGGTAAATAATGGCGGAGTCGTGCATTGTTATTACGTGTGGACGATAATGCTTTTTCGTATCTCGGCACGTAAACGTACGAGGCATCGGTCCTGCTCGGGGAGATGCGCCAGCTGAGACGCGTCTTTTCCGCCACGTCGCGAACGTGAGGCGACGCCCGAGGACCCCCTCGAGAGATCCCAGGCGAGAGAGAGAGAGAGAGACGGAGAAGGAGAGTGACTCGCGGTTGCGTGTCGTAATTCGGAGTAAACAGCGACGTATCCAGCGAGTACCTCGCGACGTTACGACACCCGTCTCGCTCGGCCACCGCGGAGACGGGCCAGGATGTGCCGCGGGCGCGTCGCACGACATGAACGGTACAGGCGACACGTCTGATAGCGCTCCCGTGTGCCCCGGTGATGCGAGCGGGTCGTCCTGACGTACGTGCTGTCCGCCCGCCGTACGCGCCTGTCACTTGTGCCTGAGTACCGAGTCCCGCCGTTCATCATGGTGCACGGTAACATACCGAGCGCATACAAGTACAACTTCTGGGCGGAGCGGCCCGCGGACGCGCACGAGCCCGCCGTGGTGGAACTCACGTGCCTCATGCCGAACGGTGTTGTCATACCGTTCGAGATCAATCGCAATATTACCTTAGATCAGATCAAAGAGGTGAGTGCGTCGCGCGTCCGGGAGGTCAGTTCTGTATCTTGCGGCGCAGCGAAAGTGCCTGCGGGCCTAATATCTACAATGCGCCCGCCGCATCCAGAAACATTCTGTTTTATACAAGCAGGTCGAAACGCCTCAAAGATTTGTTGACAATGCACGATTGTACGGCGTGCAATGTACAATTTATTCACTTGCGCAAATTTTTTCAACTCATTCATCGACTACAAAATAAAACGTTTGTAGAGGCACAGGGTAGATTTGGCTTTAAAGTGAGCGGACTAAGGGGACGGTTAGAAAGAGACAAGGCTATTCGCACTTGAGCATCTTCGCTATAGTGTAAGATACAGAATTGACCCCAGGGAGGAACAAGCTCCTCTTCTTTCTTTTATTCTCTTTAATCCTTTCGCTGTGTGGAGTTTAGTGAAATCGAGTCTGCTATTTCACGCATGATGCTCGTAATGCATTGTTTATCCTTATTTAACGTCTGGCGAACGACAAGGGTAAATCGCATCATGCGCGAAACGCACCTCTGGTCGCACAGTTAAAGGGTTGCCGCGTAACCGCGCAGAGTTATAAGCTAATGGATGCTTGACAGGATCTGTGGGACGAGGCTAGCAAGTATCCTCTGCACGGGACGCTGAAAGACGCGCCGTCGTATGTATTTTCGTGTATTAACTCGAACGCAGAGATAGAAGAGTTGCAGGATGAAACGAGACGTCTCTGTGATATAAAGCCCTTCTGTTCGGTATTAAAAGTTGTAGAGCGCGAGGGTATAAAAAGCGGGAACTTGGACTCGCAAATCGGCGTCCTGATCGGTAAGGGGCTGCACGAGTTTGTCGCCTTGAAAAATTCCGAGGTCAACGACTTTCGGTGGAAGATGCGGTTTCTGGGGAACGACGTGGCGTCGAGCAGGCAGAAGAGATGCTGGGTGGAAAAAGTGCGTTATCAGTTCCCCTCGAGGGTTGCGAAGACGCCTGCTGTGCCTAAGAATATCGAGTCCCGTTTGAAGGACGGAAATATCGCTATAGTTACTAAATTCGAAAACTCGGAGGTAAGTCACAATCATTCCCCTCGGTGCTTTTGGTACCTTTACCTTTTTGAAGATACCAATACAGATACAGTTAGCTACTATGTGTATTTGCATCTTTCTCCGGAAAATCGAAGGGACTCGAGAAACTTGTAATGCAACTTGCATCTCCATTCCTTCGCTGGATCCATTGAAAATTTATCTTGTCTGTATCTTTGATGAAGGAAAGTCGAGATACCAAGCTCTGCTCTGAATTCGATAGTGTCCCGTACGAGCGAATTAACACCGAGATCGACGTTGTTGCAGGCATCGTTCACCTTTCATACGGCACACACCACTACGCCGCCCGAACTGCTCGAGGTGATTCTGAACAAACGGGCGACTAGGCTGCAGACTCGCGGCGAGCAGCCGAGCGACTTCACACTCAAAGTTTGCGGGCAGGAGGAGTATTTGATCGGTGACAATATTCCGCTCATACAGTTCGGCTACATTCAAGATTGCCTCGCGAAAGACACGACACCTATGCTGGTCACGCTCAGCAAGCAGAGTGTACCTGTGGACCAAGATAATGCTTTCGACAATCCGGACGTGGACACGTTGCAACGTACGAAACCATCGTCCTCGACGTTAACGCTGCGTAAAAAGGGCAAGCATATCTCGGTGTGGAAAATCGAGGAGCCTTTTGTTTTCACCGTGAATGGAATTTCTCGACTTAACTGCGATGCCGCGCATCGCACCGTAGAGGTAAGCTTCTCCGCATTTCTTTGATATTTCTTTTTAAGTGAGATTACCTGAAACTTGCGTAATTTCTATTTATCTCTCTTTTTCTCTCTCTCTCTCGTGCACGTAGATTGGACTACAAGCTGGCCTTTTTCACGGTGGAAAATCTCTCTGCGAAAGTCAAAAAACCAAAGAAATTATTGTAAGTTCCGACGGTAGTTGCGAGTGGGAAGAGACTCTCAAATTCGACATTAAAGTCAGGGATATACCGCGGATGGCGCGGCTGTGCTTTGTATTATACGAGATCAGTAAAACTGCCAAGGGTTTAAAGAGCAGGAAACTGATTAGGGACTCGAAGCAGGAGTTCTTCATAAATCCTCTATGTTGGGCGAACACGACGATATACGACTTCAAGTCCCAGTTGAAAACGGGCGCTATGACGTTATATACGTGGACGTACGCGGAGGATATACAAAACGACGATTTGCTTCATCCTCTCGGGACGGTAGTCTCCAATCCGCACATCGACAGAGCAGCCGCTCTCATGTTAACGTTTCCAAAGTAATTATTTGTTTTTCTAATTGAGAAAGTGACACCAGACGTATCTGTACTTTACACCATGCGTCATATCTGCTTATTATTTTACAGCTACGGTAAAGATCAATGCGTCCTTTATCCTACGCCAGAAAAGATGGTAGAATATGCCGAGACATTGCGAGACCAATCTAACGAACGCTTGAGTAAAGACGAATTAAGTCAGGAGTCTGATGTTAGTCAACAATTGGAACAACTGAGATTACTAGCCGACAGGGATCCGCTGCACGAATTACACGAACAAGAGAAGAAGACGATGTGGGCGTTGAGGCATCATTGTCTCCGCGAGATCCCGACACTTTTGGCTAAACTGTTACAGTGCGTCGAATGGAACGATCATAGGTAAGAAATTGATCGAGTGATCGTTCATAAAACTATTAAAAAGACAAGGATAACGAGTCACGTCTCGTCGACATTTGTAGAGAAGTCGCGGAGGCTACGGCGCTTATACAACAATGGCCGAAACTACCGGTAGAGAAAGCGTTGGAGTTGTTAGACTACGCTTACGCTGATCAAAACGTCCGAAATTTTGCCGTTCACTGTTTAAGAGACGTCACCGACGACGATCTCAGCCTCTACTTACTGCAGCTGGCGCAAGCATTGAAACACGAAAATTATTTGGCGTGTCCGTTGACGGAGTTTCTCTTAAAGCGGGCACTTAATAATCAGAGGATAGGACACTTTCTATTCTGGCATCTCAGGTTGGTGACATTTTGTACGCAATATTGTTTATCCACCTAGTATAATTTACAATCTCTTCTATGACATGAGGAATATATATGTATATATTCCTATCACTTCTAATTGGAGCATAGAACTTTTTAAGAAATTTTATCAGTTGTTTTTGTTTCGTGAACCCTCTTGTCTACATCTGTGCGTCAGACGTATGGGATCTACAGCCGACTCCGAACTGTTCGAACTGGGATCTTTGGATCATGAGAACAGCGCGCAACGATCGCCACAAATATCGTTGATGCGAGTTATTTTTCCGGTTTCCTTTCCTAATAATTTCAATAATCAAGCAGTTAGGCTGACGGGTGGTATTAGCCCATCGAGCCTTAGTTTGGAGATGGGGCTGCCAACTATAGCGCCCAAACGCACCTCAGGATGTACCGGTCCTGGCTGTACCCCTAAAGGGATGTGTGTGGCAGGATACTCCCAGTGGTTGCCACTTCTCTCCGAGAGAGAGGTGGCGTCCGAAAAAACCAACAGTATCCGTGGATGGATTTGAACTCGAATTGTTTCGTTTATTTATTTACTAAGCAGCGCACATTTCTCTGCGCCACGCTCGCCTTCTTCTACTTTACAATTTACGATTTATACTTATTAGTCCTTTTTCGTAAATTGCATTAGGTCAGAAATGCAAGTTGGCTCGGTATCCGTTCGTTTCGGCCTCATACTGGAAGCGTATTGCAGAGGAAGCCAACAACACATGCTATCATTATCTAAGCAGATGAAATGTTTGGACAAATTGAGGAGTGTTTCGCAACAAGTGAAGCAGAAGAAAGATCGTAAAGCGGCTCTTCAAGGCTTCCAGGACATTATCCAGGAAACGCATTGCCAGGAGGCGATATCTGACGTCCTTAATCCTCTCGATCCGAGTTTCAGATGGAATCGCATCAAGTGAGCTCACACTATTCTTGTTGAACGTGTTATTTTGCACATTTGCTACATATGTTACCTCTCTCTCTTTTCAGAGTCGAGAAATGCCGAGTAATGGACAGTAAGATGCGTCCGCTCTGGATGGTTTTCGAGAACCACGATCCTTTCGGCGAAGACATTTACTTAATTCTCAAACACGGAGACGACTTGAGACAAGACATGCTGACACTTCAGATGCTGCGTATTATGGATAAGCTCTGGAAGAAGGAGGGCTTGGATTTACGTATGAATCCGTACGGTTGCATATCTACGGAGAACAGAGTCGGAATGATAGAGGTGGTGCTAAATGCGGAAACGATCGCGAACATTCAGAAGGAAAAGGGCACGTTTTCCGCAACGGCGGCCTTCAGGTAAGTAAGGCGACAACTGTTTGTCGGAGGGAAAAGTAGTACAGGACTTTTTTTTTACTTGATTTGGTCTCAGGAATATGCTGTTGCAATAGTGCTCCAATTGTTGAAAATTTTTGTGTATGTTACAATATACAAAAATGAGACAACCTGTTCGTTCGTATTTACAGGAGAGGTTCCTTACTAGCTTGGCTAAAGGACCACAACCACACGGAAGCGGCACTGAATAAAGCAATCGAGGAGTTCACTTTGAGTTGCGCGGGTTACTGCGTGGCGACGTACGTTCTTGGCATAGCCGATAGACACTCTGACAATATAATGGTTAAAAAGACTGGGCAACTGTTTCACGTCGACTTCGGTCACATTCTGGGCCACTTTAAGGAGAAATTCGGGTTCAGACGCGAACGAGTACCCTTCGTTTTGACCAATGACTTCGTACACGTCATAAATAAGGGTCAAACGAAGAAAGGGCACGCCGCCGAGTTTCAACGATTTCAGAATCACTGCGAGCAAGCCTTTTTAGTTCTGCGTCAGCACGGCGGACTTATATTGTCTCTGTTCGCTATGATGATATCTACCGGGCTGCCTGAACTCTCGTCGGAGAAAGATCTGAATTATCTTAGAGATACTTTGGTACAGTAGCCACATCAGGCACATTAACATACGCTACAATTGGGTCTGTATGAACTGATACCTTTGACTGATGCGTTTAAATGTGTTTACAGGTTCTAGAAATGTCCGAAAGTGAGGCACAAAAGCATTTTAGGAGTAAATTTGACGAGGCCCTCTGCAACTCGTGGAAAACGTCGTTGAATTGGGCGTCGCATAATATGTCCAAGAACAATAAGACTACATGAATAGCAACAATCGCCGATAGCGTGAGAGATCCTTCGCACCCAAGAATGCTGTCATGACGTCGTCGAACATTACGTCGCGTTATAAATCGTAATGTTAGGATGCACGCTGACGCATTTGACAAGCACGTTTGGTCGCTTGTCTAGGGCCGGGTAATTGAGAAAGAAAGGGAAGTAAAACTCGCTTCCGACAGACACCGTCGTCAGGATTGGAAATCGACGACCGTAACCAGTATTTGAGACTGTATAAGGCGATCTGTTGCTGCTAGTATCAATCAACTCGTATAGTCGAGATGTGACTTAGTAGAATGATTTCTCAAGACTCGGATACATTCGTACAGTTTTAGAGCTCCACTTTGTGCAGCGCAAGCAGTCGGTGCCTACGTTCATGGCGATACTTTTCTCTATTATGGACGTACGGTACATATCAATTGAACAAGAACCTTCTCAAGTTCTTCTTAATTGAAACTCCACGTGAGACACTCGAAATTCTAGCGATTGATTCTAAATTGTTAATCTCGAGAAACTATTATTTTTATTTTATTAGTCAAGTAAATCTCGTTAAGTTGAATATTGTTTCGAAATTCGTTTATTATAATACGTCGAAAGCCTGTGATGGTACGCATACGAATGTTATTTGTAGTGATACTGCTGTATTTGATTTATCATGAAGGGGTAGACATGCGTCGCAACGTTGTTTAATTCGAGAAAGCGATAGGATTTGAAGATCGTTCAGATAACGGATGATATGATTTATTCCGTACCATTGGCAACGACCGTGTGATAACCCAAAGCAATATCTGTTTTGTGAAAAATTGCCTGTTACAGTAAAAGTATTATCATCGATCTGGCACGAATCTTGATCGAAGTAATCGAGTATTTTTCGTTCAAACACGATTGCGCGAAGACCTGCGAGTTCATTGCCGATCCGTGTCAAATGCACTCCGTCGACCAAGGACTATTTTTCTTCCGTGATTTTCTTACGTTCACGTTCAAAAGCTTGCTCGTTCAACGGACAAAAAAAGTAACGATACATTTCGTGCTGGTGATTAGTAAAATTCCTTAATTACTATCACGCGTGATATCGTGATTGAAGTACATATACGCGAAGATAACGAAAGAAAACCACTACGAGAGATATATATTTTGATAAACATACCGCAATATATTATAATTATTATCCACATATTAAGCGATAGTTAAATCAATAGGGCCACTCATTCTTCAGTGCTGTCCTACTAGACCGCTATGCTTTCTAAAAACGGCTCTAAAACGCACGACCGTACGCGCGCTCCTCACAATGTAAGATAAGATAATGATCTCTAATACACTAGAAAGAAATAAATAATGTTGCAGACTGCGTCATTGCTGCATATCCATATCATCATCCTCTTACTAGCGTATTATATTTAAATTGTCGAGAGACGAACGAGAAAGAGAGCGAAACTTTATACACGTAACATTATAGATATAATACACGTATGTACGTCTTCAAGTCTCCTGATTTTATTTCTCAGTGCCGCTTGTTTTTCGATTTCTTTGCAGACGGATTTGCGTGGGCCCCACCAGAGCGCATAGATAGGGCTGTAAATATGCAATATACGGGATGGAGAGGGGCACGCGTTCCTCCAATCTCCACACGCGTATATATCGCGTACGCGTGTTCTTTCCCATTGTACGCAGGTGTACACGCATCCGCGACACCGCAATCCCGGGGAAAAGAAGCCGGCTCGCACCTCGAGCGTATTTTCCGTACTACATCTCGGGCAATAATCACTCGGCTATTTTTTTTTTCTATCGTCTCGCAACAGTGTCAGAGAATGTAATTTTATACAAAACGTGGCTGAATCTTCTGTATTGGTCAGTGTCTATTGTAAATAAAACCAACTTTGAAGCCTGAACGTTTCTTAATTGCAGTCGTTTTGGAGAACGGCATTATGCGAATTACCGCATTCTCTGCTCATTATTAGATTAGAGACCGGCTAAGTTTTAATCAGTGTACCTGTCGAGCGGTGGAAGTCGCGTAGGAGAATGACGGCTACCGAGGAAACGGAGCCGTTGATATCCACGATGTCGGCATCTTCCGCCAGTAAGACCCAGAGAGTCACTTATCATACAATCTCTTTCGTAAGTACAACAAGCAAGATACTTGCGTGACACGATCCTTCCGATGCGACGTCTAGGCGAGTGATGCCGAGTTGATGCGGCGATTCTGAAACAAAAATAACTTGGTTGGGATGTATGCCGCACGTTGTTTCTTTTTATTTTTAACTTGTGCGTACACACTTTATTCTCGTACACACACCGAGTACGTCACTGAGAGGTCTCGTAAACTCGGCGCAGACGATATTCATATCTATGGCTTCTATTCTCTGATCGATGACATAATAGCGTGTAATTGGACATAATTGCACTTTCCTTTCTTTAACAAAGACATCAAGGTAGATACAGTTTTCAAGTAAGCAACAATTGAAAGTATAATAACGAGTTACTTAGTTTTTAACGATAATGGAAAGGTGCAATAAATGATATTTTCATAAAGAAAACTTCGTCCTGAAATTGGCTAGAGAAGAAGAAAAATTATAAAAACTATTTGGCAGCTTCGAAACACTTAACGTATAATAGTAAAGACACTAGTAAAAATGTACCCGTTTCAATATATTGTTATCTATACTGAAATGCAGTTAAAACGGAAACGTCTACGTTTTACAATCGTTGTAGGAAAACAATGAGAGAGATACGTTACATGGCGAAAGCTCGGAAAACTCCTTCGATCTTAAATCGATTTCGAACGTCTCGACAACCGTAAACTTCAACAACGAGAGTTTCGGTAACAGTATCACGTACACGTGGAGCGACGTGAACGTGTACCACAGCGTGAGAACCGACAGGCTTTGGAATCGGCTGATGTTCAGGCCTAGAAAGTCCGTCGCACGGAAACACATATTGAAAGATGGTAAAATAAAGAGGAAGGAGATCCCTGTTTAATATGATCAGATTACATTAGATTACATGCAATTTCAATGTAAATAAGAGCCTTATTAATTTACATTGAAATTGCATGTAATCTGACCATGTGTTCTATCTATTAGTTTAAACGGGGATTTCTCTCTCGCGTATCTTTCATTGATTTGCGACAGTTTTACAGTCTCACTTTCGAAATAAATCATTCTAGTGTGCGGCGTGGCTTATCCTGGCGAGCTGCTCGTAATCATGGGTGCGTCCGGCGCGGGCAAGACGACTTTGTTGAACGCGTTGACGTTTCGTTCAGCACGCGGACTCTCCGCGTCCGGCCTGATGGCCGCCAACGGCCAGAGAATATCGCCGGGCGTTCTCACCTCGAGAATGGCCTATGTTCAACAAGACGACTTGTTCGTCGGCACGCTGACCGTTACCGAACACCTGATGTTCCAGGCGGCGGTGCGGATGGACCGGCAAATCCCTCGTAACCAGAGAATCAAGCGAGTTAACGAGGTCATTGATGAGGTAGTTTGATCATGTAAAACATATTGCACTTGCTACGGGTGCTTACGCAAGTGAGAAAACCCTGCATCGTTCGCTTGCTAATTGCTCTTGTTATTAAAATGCTCGGGTCTTATTTTTCCTGCTAGCGTGTACATTGGGAATCACCGATGCCTTCCCACGTAAATTTGTGCACATGTCAACATCATGTCATTTATACATTTTGCATACACATACATGGAAAATGTACATGTGTCTACATGTGCCTAAATTCATATGGGAAGGCATCAGTGATTCCAACTTCTTTTTTTTGAGAGCAGCTTGCCCTTTCGAAATGCCGCAACACTGTGATTGGGATACCTGGCAGGGTGAAGGGCCTTTCGGGAGGCGAGATGAAGAGGTTGTCCTTCGCTTCTGAGGTTCTGACCGACCCTCCGTTGATGTTCTGCGACGAGCCGACGTCGGGTCTAGACTCCTTCATGGCTCACCAGGTCGTCTCCATTCTGAAAGCATTAGCGGGTGAGTTGGAGCCGATGAAAGATCCATAAACACCAGCTTACAGTTATATAACGTCAGCATTGTAATTTCTCAATCAACAATATAATTGTCACGCATGTTGTACACAACAGTTACATTGCTGAGTAAGAAATTATGATATTGATATTATGTCGGTGTATTACTGATGTTTACCGGGCACCTACGGGCAAAGCTATTCTGCATTCGGCGTTTAAAGGGCCAATAAATAAACGGTTCAACAGCACGTGGTAAAACAATCGTCGCAACTTTACATCAACCCTCTTCGGAACTGTACGCTCTGTTCGACAAGATCCTGCTGATGGCCGAGGGAAGAGTCGCCTTCATGGGTACAACCGCGCAAGCTTGTGCCTTTTTCAAGACGTAAGTCCACTTGAAAAGCTTACTTCTACACAGAGAGAATTTTCTCTTAAAATTTATCCTAAAAATTATGCGATCGTAGGACAACCTGACATTTTGAAGAACTTTAAATTCTCTCCATGGGAATCGTTTGAAATCTGCATTTTGCTTCGCAGGCTCGGCGCCGCCTGTCCCAGCAACTACAACCCCGCTGATTTCTTTGTGCAAGTGCTGGCCGTGGTGCCGGGACGCGAGTTGACTTGCAGACACGCGATCGAAACGACGTGCGACGTTTTCCGGAGAAGCGAACACGGTGCGAGCATCGCCCTGGAGGCGGAGGCCGTCCACGGCGAATTCGAGGACACCCTGAAACGGTTCAAACATTCCGAGAAATCCGGCCGATCGGTTTACAAAGCGAGTTGGTGCGAGCAGTTCCGCGCGGTTCTATGGCGATCCTGGCTGTCGGTGATCAAGGAACCGATCCTCATCAAAGTCCGCCTCTTGCAGACCATCGTACGTTTCCCCTCCGACATTAATCTACCACAAAACCAAGATTAAAGTACAGATCTGCGCATCGTAACTTGTAAAAATGTCAAAAATAATTTACATTTCAATCCTCTCGAGCGCTCTTTGACGCTCTGCTTATTTGTGCTTGCGAACGATCGTGCCATTAACAAGTGAAAGAAAACCAGACAGAGAAGAGACACGAATTTTCCGCCGCAGATGGTCTCGCTGCTGATCGGTGTCATTTACTTCGGCCAGCGAATAGATCAGGACGGCGTGATGAACATCAACGGTGCCCTCTTCATCTTCCTCACCAATATGACTTTCCAGAACGTCTTCGCAGTCATTAACGTGAGAATTTACGACGTATAAATGATCGTGCCGCACCCGCAATTTTGGTTCTAATAATTAAATCGAAAACGACACACGAGAGATCGTTCAACAAAGCTAAAACACATATGTGTTGTATACAGGTGTTTTGCGCCGAACTGCCGATATTTCTTCGCGAGCACAAGAACGGCATGTATCGCACCGATGTCTACTTCATCTGCAAGACCTTGGCGGAGGCGCCGATTTTCTTAGCGATACCGCTTGTCTTCACCGCCGTCGTTTATCCCATGATCGGCCTCTATCAAGATGTAAAGCACTTCTTCATCGCTACCGCTGTAGTGGCCCTCGTAGCCAACGTGTCGACTTCATTCGGTAATCGAGAGCCCAGGGAACATTCGCGTTGCATCGTTTGATGCTTTGAAATAATTGCTCTTGTTTTCTTTCACAGGCTATTTGATATCTTGCATCAGCAACAGCGTGTCCATGGCCCTCTCCGTCGGTCCTCCAGTCATTATACCATTCTTGCTTTTCGGCGGCTTTTTTTTAAATACAGCGTGAGTATCTCAAGTCGTCTTGAATAGCAACGAGCGAAATGTTGACTGAAATACTTGACTTTTTCGCGTATAATAGGTCCGTACCGCCCTACTTCGTGTGGTTCTCGTATTTATCTTGGTTTCGTTACGGCAATGAAGCACTTTTGATCAACCAGTGGTCCGAGATCGATTCCGTAGCGTGCACCAGAAGCAACGTGACGTGTCCAAAATCGGGGCACACGATTCTGCAAACTTTCAATTTCAAAGAAGAGGACTTCTGGATGGACATCCTCTGCTTGTTCGCGCTCATCGTCGCATTCCGCTTTCTGGCATTTCTCGCGCTGCTGTCGAAAACTTGCCGTTCGCAGTAATCTCGGCACCTCGATCGTTTTATTACTTTAGACCAGATATACGCAACTGTGCGGCCCGCGAGGTTTTCCAATCCGGTCCAAGTTTGACCCACAGAAAAGGTGAAAAAAAACCTTGAAAAGGGCATTCGATTTTGCCTCACCTCTACATGGTGTTTCTTAGTTAATAAAAAGTTCTAAATTTGGCTGCTGCGGCCTGCGGTATTGCCTCAAATTGTACACTTGGCCCGCCAAAAAATCTGGTTGCGTTTCTCTGCTGTAAACACAAAAACTGTGTGTGTACTTTTAATAAACAATTTTAATAAAATTCCCGGGTCTTTAGTGTTTCCGTCAAAAACGCATTCGCAACGAACGAACGTTTGTATTGTATTGTCGGCAAATTCGGAGATTTACAAATCGATATGAATATAATTCGTGCGAGCGTCTTTGAAACTATCGATGTCGACGCGAGATGACCGCGAAAGGGCCGCGTAATAGGAACTTGGAAAAATGTGCGCCCCGACGGAACGTAGTGCAGCTACCACCTACGTGCCGACGTTTCCTGCACCGAAGCCGACCGCTCTTTCATTCGCGCCTGGGTATCATTGCAAACCGGTTGCCATACATACCGTGCGACCGCACGTACGGCCCACGGATATGAGAAACAATCTCGAGCGATCTTCGAGTGTGTCGCAGGAAAAAGTGGGGAAAAAATAGGTCGCCGAGATCTAAATGATATACTACTCGCTTGATCTCGCGATATCGCTGTCGGCCGGCGAATCGTGCCCGGGATTGTCGATTCGGCTGGAAGCGGGCGACGCGACGCGAGAGGTACAGAGGCGAGGAAGAGGCGCCGTTATTATCGATGTCTTTAAAAAGCAACGTGAAACAATTCCAATAAGCGAAATAAGATCGGTCTGAACTGGCCGCTCGTCTGTCTCGCTTGGCGCATATAGGGTTTCGGTTTTCGATTACCGCGAGTCTTCTGAGTCACGAATGTTTACTACAGTGCGGAGGGTACTTTCGAAGAAAGCCTCGGGTGGGTGTCCACTCGCTCGCTCACGCATCCGCAAGCGGGCTATCGATTCGAGCAAGCGTCGGATTACCGCGTTCCTTCATCGTTTGCACGGTATTCTTCGTCTTTGCCCTCCCGATATCGCTGGAGAAAATCTTACGCCGTCTTTGCAACAATTTCGCGATTCAAAAGCAAATGGTAACTCGATAGAATTCACTGTGCCGTCATCATTCATTAATATTGAGTGTCTGAGAATAAGATAAAATGCGTGTGCATTCGCGATCGATACACTTGGACGAGCCTCCCCAATACCGGTGCTCGCACTGCGTGAGTGCGTGGGTGATATTCGGTTGCGAAGAGAGGCGAAGAAGGGAAGCGAGCAGGCGAGGTGCATCAGGTGTATCCGTAGAGTGGTGGTAGAGTTACGCGCGTTGACGAGAAGTGAGCTCGACGCCCGCGAGAGTCATGCTTTTAGCGTCAATCTTCGTTTCACGACACGTCTCATCGGTTTCCCGTCTTTCTGCGGACACGTGAACGCGCAGTTTTCCAGCTGCGAATCGTCGTGCTTCGGCGGGCCATTTCGTCCTTGTCGTTATCGAGATAGCGGCGGTATGTAAGTACACATCAATCTCTCGCGCGAGAATCGAGCGTGGTCTGAAATTTGTAGACTAGCTTAATTAACATCTATAAAGTCTTATCTTATCAAGTTCACAAAGTATTTTTATTTTAGTGCTGTTAAACGCATTCTTTCTAATAAAATATCAATGAAGACGTCGATTGAGTCGAAACTCCTATCAGGTCGATGAACAAATGTCGTTTCTGATGTATTCATAATGTAAATGTTTTATAATTTCAACATTATTTTACCTTTTCGAGATTAAATAAACAATTATGTAAATACTATCTTTATTGCATAAAAATATTAACGATGCAAATAGTAAGCCTTGACGAACTTTTAAGAGTTGATTAAAGTAAGACAACCATATAGTCATATTTGTGACGAAGTCATAGGAAAAATGGATATAAGAATCTTTTATGCGTTTGATGCAATGAAGTAATTACTGGCAGGAATGTATACGTCAGTGTAATTAAATAAAAAAAGAAGCTAAAAACGAGAAGCTAAAAACAAGAAGTTTCTGCGGGCGAAAGAAGATATGACGAATAAACGCGCGAACTAAAATAGAATAAAGCATTTATAGTGAGGAGATAAGAAATTATCGGTGTGTGCCGTGTTACGGTATTAATTTCAGCACTGCCATATTTTGCTACTTAATTGTCTTAGACTTAATTGTCAACTACTTGATCTATTGTCACGCTTGAAAATTTTGCAATTATCGCGAGATAAAGTCGTCTCGAAAACCGCTTCTCTTAAAAACATGAGATTGAGAAGAGTTATGCAAGCACTCACTTTGTGTTCTCTTGTCAAGTCCTGAACGGCATGGACACGAGGCACGAAGCCGCGCGGCGTAGAATGAGCCACGAAGGCGCGACGCTTTCCTGGCGAAACTTGTCCGTTTACGCGGTGGATCAGAGCCGACGCACTGTAAGCAAGCAGCTCATCAATAGCGGTATTTAAACAAATATTATTTCTCATAATGTGTACCGCAAAATAAAACCATACGACGACGTCTGTCGCCTTTCCAGCCCGAGGCGTGGTACGGCCTGGCGAGCTCACCGCGATCTTAGGCGGCAGGTAAATTGTCCGCGATCAATTATACATTGCACAGGTCAACTGGCGTATTGTTCGTAATCGAAACTATCTCTTTCTTTTTGCACGTGCCGTCGTTCCCTCGCAGCGGCGCTGGAAAAAGCTCGCTGATGACAGCACTGGCATTTCGCACAGAACGTAGGTAGAATTCAGGAATGATTGAATCTCTCGAGGAGAATCCTGTTTAAAATATTAGATAGAATATAAAACGATTACATGCAATGTCATTGAAATTGCACGTAATCTAACGTAATCTGATCGTATTCTATCTATTATTTTGAACAGGGAGGATACTCAAAGTTTGGTTTTTTATTTGAACCGGCAGCCGGCACCGTTGTGCACGGTGATGTCCACGTCAACGGCACGTCGGCTGGCTCCTCGTACATGAGACGTCACAGCGGCTTCATGCATCAGGAAGACATGTTTATCGAGACAATGACGGTGCTCGAGCACATCTGGTTTATGGTAAGGACCGCTCCGCGTTCTTCGCGAGTCCAGCAGTACGCGCCTATACCTTTAACACAATCTTCACCAGGCTAGAATGAAATTAGACGGGAGAATGCGCACCTCGGACATTCGTCTCAAGATCGATCGTTTGTTGAGGGACATCGGTCTCGTCGAGAGACGCGACGCTCGCATCGGCGGCGGCGACGACGGCAAGGTTTTATCGGGCGGAGAGAAGAAGAGGCTGGCTTTCGCCACCGAGGTGCGTGTGCATCCGCGTGTAATCCCTGAAAACACCAACTAACAGTTTACCCCTGGTGAACAGTTTTCTCAGAATTTTTATACGACTTGAGACTTTCGGAAATACTGAGAAAGTCTACGTCTTTTCGTGCAAGTTTTTCATGTACGTGAATATTCGGAAATATTTTACTTCCAAGATTTCTCATTCTATAATTTCTGAAAAAGTATCTTAAACTTTATCAAATCTTATAAGATTACGTCTGAAATTATAGAATTAACAATCTCAGAATATTTCAGAATTCAAATGAACAATTTTAGAAAAGATATAAACTTTCTCGACACTTCTGAAAAATGCCCAATTTGTATAAAAAAAACTGAAAAAAACATAACGTCAGTGTTATGATTTTTCCACTCAGCAATATAAATGTAATACAGCACATATTGTGCAGTTATATTGTTGAGTAGCAAATTATATAATATTGACGTCATGTGACTATTAGTTTAGAATTCTAGTCGGTGCAAAACCCCGCTTTTCCAGCTGCTGACGGATCCTGAGATACTGTTCCTGGACGAGCCAACAACGGGACAGGACGCGCATTCGGCCGGCGTCCTCGTGTCGCACATGACGTCCTTCGCATTGAGGAACCGCACGGTTTTGTGCACCATACACCAACCGAGCTCCACCATCTTCGACAGCTTCCATCGCATAATCCTCTTAGCCGGCGGTAGAGTGGCGTTTGCCGGTACCAGCACGCAAGCGATACAGTTTTTCTCCAGGTATGTTTCAACACTCGGACGCGAGGCAGACGACAGGTCGTAATTTCGCTGAATTAATTCGAAAAGGTTCCGGAACATCGTCGGGATCGATGAGGAAACGCGATATTGCTTTTCATTTTAATTATAAAATAAATCCATCTTTCTTAGAGACCAAATTTACGGTAGGACAATGTATCTTCATGCCTGGCGTATCGACTAATATTCTTGTCTTATGTGTCTCTTCCTTTTTTTATCCCTCACGATTTTAATTTCCATCCCGCTTCATCCTGCAGATTTTATTTCTCATAAGTTGTTAATTCCCGCCTTTCTAGTCGATCCGAAAGCATGTCGCTGTGTTCGATTAAAGCGTTCTTTGCCATTGTCGTCTACAGCCAAGGCTACACGTGTCCGTGCAATTACAATCCGGCCGACTTCCTGGTGGCGACTCTGGCGATCGCGCCCAGCGACGCGGACGGTAGCGGAAGAGTCGCGCAGAAGATCTGCGACGCGTTTCTCACGAGCGAAGCCTGCAACGAAATCGACATTATATTGCAGCAGGAGCTCGATGCCGCTCGTGTGCAATGCCCCGTAAGCGAATTGTTGCGAAAACGGACGTTAAAGATTGACGGACATTAGACGAGAATTCACCTTTTTGTTTCAGGCCAGAGGGAACACTCGCGGGTCGCACGCCTTGTAAGTATCTCCCACGCCAAAGATTTGCGTCACAGTTCGAAAGTATCCGAGAAAACTCGACGACACGAGTTACATTTATGTTGTTGTCTAATTCAGCGTGGAACCGCGCTGCTGGTTGCGGCTCTACTGGCTGATCCATCGCGGATTCCTGCAAGTTCTGCGGGACCCCTCGGTGCAATTCATCAGGATATTGCAAAAAGTGGTGAGTGATCGGTACATAGAAACAATTTTCTTTTAAAATTCACCCTAAAATCGTGTAATCGCGGGACAACATGGCATTTTGAACAACGTTATGGGAGTTTTCTGAAATTTTACCATACATTTTACCAGTAAATTTTCAGAAAACTCTCATAAAGTTCTTCAAAATGCCATGTCCCACGATTACGCGATTTTCAGGATAAATGCCAAGAGAAAATTCTCTCCGTAGATCTCGGCTCTTCGAACGTCGAGATCTGCGTTCGAGGAATCGATTGAACGATTGACTTGTATACGGAAGTTAAATGATCGGGTCGGGTTGCAGAGCATCGCAACGACCGCCGGCCTCTGCTTCGTCGGCGCCGTCGATCTCGATCAACTGGGCATTCAGGCCGTGGACGGCGTTATATATCTCCTGGTGTGCGAGAATGCGTTCTTCCCCATGTACGCGACCTTGGCGCTGATCCCGCAGGAACTGCCGCTTCTCCTTCGAGAGTACAAAGCGGGCATGTACCCCGTCCACCTTTACTACCTGGCGCGAATGATATCGCTGGTGAGTTTGATTTCCCGCTCGGTTCACTGTCCTGTTTAAAATAATAGATAGAGTATAACCAGATTGCATGCAATTTCAATGTAAATTGATAAAACTCTTCTTTACATTGAGATTGCACGTAGTCTAATGCAATCTGATCATATTCTGTCTAACATTTCAAAGAGGGTGAGTCGCGCACGCGACTCGATTAGCGACAGCGTTGAGAGTTTCAGGTACCCGGGCTGCTGGTGGAGCCGATGCTGTTCACCGTAATAATGTACTGGCTGGCGGGCTTGCGTCCCGCGATGGATGCTCTCGGCCTGACTATCTTGGTGGTTGTGTTCACGATGAACGTGTCTACCGCGTGCGGTAAGCGTTTCCGTCCGCCCAAGTAGCCAGCGGGCAGGCTACGCGTCCGCCTAACGCAAATTCTCGCGTTTCAGGGTGCTTCTTCTCGGCCGTCTACCAGAGCGTGCCGCTGGCGATGGCGTACCTCGTGCCCTTCGATTACGTTCTTATGATAACCATGGGACCTTTCATCAAGCTCGGGTATTTACGATTGTCTCTCGCATAAATTTCCACACTTCTGCAAAGTTCCAGGACCCCGATAGGAAGATATCTAGCAAATTACGCGACGAAACCCGGATGAAACTTGGAATGCTGGAATTATGTCTACATATTCGAATAACGTATGCAGAAATAGAGAGCTTTCATCAAACATTGATAAATACTTGCACAGTGTATTTCTAAATAGTACGCCAGCAAAACAGCTGCGTTTCGGCGAATCACCTTAATGCAATCATTGTGAAATCTGTTCCTTTTGGATAATACAACGATTACACAATATTTGAGACATTTTCCTATCGGGGGAGTGTCACGGACATCCGCGCGCTCCGTGAACACTCGAAATTAGTAGAGCCTCTCGTACAACGCGGATTCATATAACAGAAAAATTGCGGTGACGCTCATATAACGCGGTAAATCAACCCATGTTACATTGCATTAGATACATATGCAACAAGACACAATTAATCCACCGTCTACTCGCAGGCGATACTCAAACGATAACATTAGAATGCATTTGAGAATAATTCACTCGAAAGGGAGTAATTCAGAGTAATCCTTTCACTTCAGGTTAAACCGTGCAGAATTTGAAATTTTAGTTTACGTTTTGCCTCAAAGTAAAATGAAAATTCCATTCTTTAAAGATACCATATTTCCATCAATCAACCGTGCCTCCCCTTCTTTTACGTCGCGAGATTCTTTTAATTGTGTCTTTATCGATGCCCGATCGGCAGTTCGTTGCCCGTGTACGTGCGATGGGTAAGGTACGTCTCCTGGCTGCTGCACTCCACGGAGGCCCTCACAATTATCCAGTGGCGAGGCGTGCATAATATATGTGAGTTTCATTCAGCGTCGCTCCTCTACGAGACGCGTAAGGCCCGGTCTACAATGAGTTGGTGGTCGCTAGTCAGAAGTCGGAACCATATGTTGATCCTTTTCCTATCTGGGTGGAAGAAAAAGGACCGACATATAGTTCTGACTTCCGACTAACAACCCATTGTATGCCTAAGGCCCGGTCTACAATGAGTTGTTAGTCGTTAGTCAGAAGTCGGAACTGTATGTCGGTCCTTCTTCTTCCACCCAGAAAGGAAAAGGATCAACATATAGTTGCAACTTCTGACTAACGACTAACGACTCATTGTAGACCGGGCCTAAAGGCTCATCTAGACGACAAGGCGTAAGGCGCGGCGCAAGAGCGCGAGCACAGGCGCAAGAGGATTTTTCCCCGATCGTAGGGTCGTGGCGCAGCGGCGCAAGCGAAATAAACTAATTTTCTTTCCAACGCCTACGCCTGAGCTCTTGCGCCGTGCCTTAAGC